ATTAATGAAATCAAACCCATAACTTCTATAAATCAAAAATCAACTTTACAACATAAATCTTAACTTAAATCTTCATAAATAAGGAAGAAAAAGGAAGAAAGAAAGCTTATCACACATATTTCAAGTGTTAGGAAGCTTAAAATTGCCTTCAAGGGTCTCAAAACAAAGCTTCAATGTGTTCTTCATTTTTTTCCTTTCCTCTCTTCTGTTCTCCCACATAGAGACGAATAGATTAAATCAAGATTTTGGTCGTGTGCCACGATGCATGGCACAAAAAGGCCGTTGCATTTAAATCTACCCCTGTGTGCCGCGGCTAATTAACCACACGCCGCAGCATGTGGCACAGAGGGCATACCTTTACTTTTTCCTCCTCTTTCAAACCCACTTCTAAGCATGAAATTATAATACATTACATCAATTAAGCCCCTCTAGCTATACACATCATTAACTCATTAATCACACTCATTAGGCTAACAAATCACACTTAATTTTTTTGGATGTTACATTAATAATCATAAAAAATTAACACTTTCAACTTCTAATTTCACACTTTAGTAACCAAATTCCATAAGCTCAATTTCACATCCAATAAATTTATTAACTCTCATAAATTCTATTTAGCTCCCATCATATTAGCTTAGTAATCACTAATATAATGTCTAATAATTTAAAAACATTCTTCCAAGGCCTAAGGTTCATTCAAAATGGATGACCCAAACTCCTAACCTTTAAAAACTCCTAAATTAGGTGTAGAAGACTTAAACAATTTCCATTAATCCTATTTAGACTAATGGGTTTGGACTTATAACACTAGGTCTGAAAATTACACTCTTCCAACCTTAAATCTTACTTCTAAACTTTTAGAGAGAAGAAGAGGGAGTAGGAAAGACATGCTTAGATGAAAACAAGCTTCAATTACCTCCAAAATGTCAAAAAAGAAATTTACCCTAGTAGACTCAATGCTTTCTTCGTCACCCTTACTCAATTTCTCCCTTTCTCTTTTTGTATGCTTTCGAACTTGATCCAAGAGTTGCAACCAAACTCAATAAGCCTGCTAATCATCACAAACCATCCTCAAATTAGTTAATACCTATGCCCACCTAATTATCCTCAATTTATTCAATCAATCTATGGATAAAAATTTGAGATGTTACGAGAGGGGGAAGACAGGGGGAAGAGTGAAAAAAATATTTAAAAAATGAATTGTGGGGCCTATTAATGCCAACAAATGGGAAAGAAAACGGTAAGGTGATGTGGGAGGAAATCTTTAACATTAAATGACAGAATTAACTTATAATTAAATTTAAAATACTCGGCAACCTTTTAGGTAAAGTGAAAGAACAAAAATGATACTTAGCTTTTTTTTATTCACACTAATATTAATATATAGATTGGTGCCTAGGCTTCCAAATGTTCTACAAATCCCAAGGCTTTAATCTTCTAATCAGAATATTGAGTTTGTATATTTGAAAATTATTATTTCAATAAATAATATATGGTTTAATTTATGTTAATATTAAATCAATACACAGTAATACAAATTATAGTTTTATATAATATTATTGATAATTAATAACGAAACTGAAATTGCTTGATTGTGAATTTTTTCTTTAAATTAATTTATTCTGCAATGCGTGAGGGACTGGTTGTTCATAAATTGCTCTTGCACTCTTTGTTCAGGTCGCCTAGCCTTCTGCTGCACAAATCAATGCCCAGGTGATTAATGTTAGGCTGAGTGATTAATGTTAGTGGACAAGAAGCACGTGAATCAGATAGATTAAATGGTAATTTGTGGGATTTTCCATATTGGCAAGCTTCACAAAATAGAGGTGTATTATTGCCGATTTCGACCTTACAATCATCACAAATTGGAGTTTCATTCTACCAGATGCGTTTTTATAGGTTACAGTGGACAACACAAGGGTTATAAGTGCTTGAGCTCCTCTGGAAAAATTTTCATTTCCAGACATGTGACATTTAATGAGAAAGATTTTCCCTTCTCCAAAGGCTTTATCAACAAATCTCAACCTGTTATTGTAACTTCTCAAATGACTGATTCTTTTCCAATCAGTTTCCAACAATTTCAGATGCCTAGCTCAGATTCCACTATCGAATTGGGCCAGGAAATCCACTCACTACTAATGATATTCAGATTACAGAGAATCTAAATGCAGCTGTCTCCCCTAGTTCTGCATCTCAGCATGTTGGACAATTAAATTCTACTGAAGATAACTTGACAAATAGCAGAAATGTCGAACCTGATAATCTTAACAGCAACAGTGATAATTCACAAAGTTCTATGCCAACTCCTAATATTCTAATGTCAATGAACTTAGAATCATCAAGTACAGAATCAGATATTGCTCCTCCGCTTAGTCATCCCATGATTACAAGATCAAAAAGTGGGATAGTTAAACCTAAATATCCTTTTATTGAAATTACTTCAATGGCATCAGATCATTCTAGGGAACCTTCCACTGTTCGAGAAGCTCTTTCTATTCCACAATGGAAAGAAGCTATGATCAAAGAACATACAGCTTTAATAAAGAATCAGACATGGGATCTAGTCCCATTTAACAATCAAAAAGTTATTGATTGCAAATGGATCTTCAAGACTAAGTATATGTCTAATGGAGTAGTTGATAAACATAAGGCAAGACTAGTTGCCAAAGGTTTCCAACAAGATGCAGGAGTAAATTTTGGAGCAACTTTCAGTCCTGTAGCTAAGATTGCAACAATCAGAATTATCTTATCCCTTGCTATGACACTCAACTGGCCATTGAAACAATTAGACATTAACAATGCCTTTCTTAATGGTTTCATTTCAGATGATGTGTTTATGATGCAACCTGAAGGGTTTGTTGATTTAAAGAAACCACACCATGTCTGCAAACTTCGTAAGGCTCTCTATGGTCTTAGACAAGCTCCACGTGCTTGGTTTGATAGATTGAGTGGAGTGCTTCACGACTGGGGATTCTACAACACTAAGAGTGATAACTCTTTATTTGTTCTTACTACTGAGACATATGTGATCATTCTACTCATCTATGTAGATGATATATTGATAACTGGGAGTGAGCCTTATGAATTGCAGAAACTCATTAAAAAAACTCAATGATCTTTTTTCCCTTAAAGATCTTGGTGATTTGCATTATTTTTTGGGGTTTGAAGTTCGAAGAGATTCTTATGGCATTTTCATACATCAAAGTAAGTATATTGAAGATTTGTTAAAAAAATTCAATATGTTATATGTTGCACCATGTAGTACTCCCATGGCTGGAGGAAAAATCTTGAGTGCAAATGAAGGTGCCCTTCTTAAGGATCCCACAGATTATAGAAGTGCTCTAGGAACATTGCAGTACTTGACAAACACCAGACCCGACATCTCATTTGCCCACAACTGAACATTGGAAAGGAGTGAAAAGAATTTTTAGGTATTTGAAGGGTACATCTCAATTTGGCTTGTCTATCACACCTTCTCAGCTCTTAAATGTAACAGCTTATGTTGATGCGAATTGGGCAGCTTGCCCAGATGACAGACGATCAGTATCTGGGTATTGTACATACTTGGGAGGTTCACTAGTTTCATGGTGTTCCAAGAAATAAAGTGTTGTGTCAAGATCCAGCACTGAATCAGAATATCAAGCACTCTCTAATACTGCAACTGAACTTGCCTGGTTATTTTCTTTGCTATCTGAATTAAAAATTCCAAAAATTAAAGTTCCTGTTATATGGTGTGACAGCATTAGTGCAGCAGCTCTTGTTGAAAATCCAGTGTATCATGCAAGAACGAAGCATATTAAGATTGATGTGCATTATGTTTGTGATCAAGTGCTAGCTGGGAAATTGAAAATCAAATATGTTCCTTCTAATGAGCAAAATGCCGACTTTTTTACTAAGCCGCTGTACAGGGCTTAGTTTGTATATCTTAGAGACAAACTCGAAATTCAGTCTCTACCCTCTCGTTTGAGGGGGGATGTTAAGGATATAGTCCAACATATCCAAACCAAACCCATCATAAGTTCAAGCCCAAGTATAAAGTCCAAAGATATTAGGTTTAACACTACAGAACATACTAGAATAAAGCATGTCATCTAGATATTTTATAGTGCTCTTCCATTAGGTTGACACGTGTATAGTAGTCATGCTTGTACCATATTGTGTAGTGCTCGTGTATATATGCGTACAGTGTATCAATAATTGGTAATGCAACAATACTGAACTTTTCCAGCCAATATTTCTTGTCTCTTTGCTTTTCTCTTACTCGGAGAAGCTGGGTTGGTAAGCTTGGATGTGGTGAAACATTTAAATATACTAATATAGATAACCACTTGCAACATGCAGCGTTTGTAGTCCAACGGTTAGGATAATTGCCTTCCAAGCAATAGACCCGGGTTCGACTCCCGGCAAACGCAGCTGAAAATGTATATTTTATTTTGGCATTCTGCACCCTCTTCGAACAGGAATTGACTGAGCGTTTGTTTAATTAATGTTTATACCGCTTTAAGCCGGTGCAGCATGTCTACTGGAATTTGGACAGATATGGAAGCATGAAAATCAATACTAAAATACATAATCATGCCTACATCACCCTTGTCAAATTCTGCGCGCTATTTATGTACTGATGAATAACTAAGAAATGAAGAGAGGAAAACATTGATGGATCATGGCTCTTCACAGACTGATAATAACAGAACCTGCTTTTCCCAGCAATAGCATAGCCACGTGTTGATAGCAACATTTCATTGCAACCGTACTTTGGAATCCATTTGTTTCCTGCACCTAATGGTTTCTCCTTCACACTTCCACTATCCTTTGTATCCCACTTTCATCCAAGGCATATAAAGCTCTTTGCTAGCAAATATCATAACCCACTTATAATGCAATTAGCATAAGCACCTAGCAGAGCCAAAAAGAGGCATAAAGATTTCTGTTCTCTTTTCTCGCGTAGTGTAATATTGCTAACCAACTGAAAGGACAAAAACTTATCTATATGCAAGTATACAAAATCAGATATCGATATATATATATATATATAGAATGTCCAGAATCAGTAACATGATACAGTACATTATGTACTAAATAACAATTAGCATCCACCCATTTTTGCAGAGAAAGAAAAAGTTAGCGCCACGCGCGCACAACCAAGAAGCTTTGGTCATCTATGCAAGGGTGATCTCCAATCCAGATTCTCTTGAGGATAATCTCTCTGGAGTTCCTTAGGAGGAATGAAGCAGTCCATGGATAAGCCCACCACGTTGAATGCCACATCATCAATGTTCCATGTTTCTTCCAACCTTGTGATGGCAGGGCCCGCCTTCAGATTATCCCCGAACCTTGTAATGATCACCGTTGATTTCCCCGCGTGAGCAATCATCACACCGTCCACCAACTTATAATCCTCGATTTTTGTCGACATTGTTGTCTCCCAATATGTGGGGTGTGCCCCAGGTGATTGAATTCTGGTCAGGTAAGAATCCTCTAGTACCACTAAAAGTCCACTTCTTTGGCTGAAATAACCAAATATAACATGCTTGATCATCTCTGCTGTGTTATCACTGCGATCAAAGAGGTCCTTCTGATCAGCTGAGAGCTTCAGCACGAAACAATCCACGCCTGAGATTTGCTTTTCTCCCATGTACTGCGCCCCAGAGAATACAGCAGATACTGCCAGAGGGTCCAGTCCCTACAACGTACAGCAATAATGTCGTTTTGAGGATGACAAAAAGCACAGTAACTGACATTGCACTAATCGATTTGAAACAACACAGGTGCCATTTTTTGATGCTGATGAAGTCACTGCATTATTCTTTTATAGTTTCAGAGGGGACCCAGAAGGCCAGAACGAACATTTTTTTCCTCAGATATAGGAGAACTTTCAGAGCAACTTCCATGTTAATGTAACCTCGTAAGTTGTTTGAGTAAGCCAAAATAACAAGGCACGAAGATCATACTGAAGGGAACTCCAAAATAATAAAGAAAAAGGGTAACAGAGGAATGTGGTTAGATTGAGCAAATAAAGGGAATTTAATAGGGGAAACAAAGATCCATTACATTGGCCGGTGGCATATGTATTAGGCAAGCTTGGTATTAAAGAAAATTAACAACACCACTCCAACAGTCATCAACCAGCATTTATGAATATTATAGAAAAGAAGTTGAAGAATTTTCCGTAGGAGTCCACATCATTTACATGATTGTGTCAGAGATTTGACTAACCATTGATTATAATAATGCTAAATTCCAAGCTCCATCGGCATGTCACAAGGGGTAAGTATATCCTCAACTTGAAAATATTGAATTATTCCGTAAGGCTAAGGTTTAGGTGTATGACACCACTACTGTCTGACAATAAGTTGGTGTCATTCTACACGGTTAAGGTAATTAAATATTAACAATTACACACACACGTATAAATATAGCTGTCTTGCACTATATTAGAACCTAGATTAGATCCGACAAGATTAAAGAAATGCATAAATACACCACCAACATCTCTGAGAAAATTTTTGGGAATGCAGGGGAAATTACGTAACATTAAAAAGTTCACCCACCCCTGCTTTACCAAATGGTCATATACACACACATAGAAAATAACAGTAAAACTAACCAGCAACATCCGGTTGGTCAGAAAATTTTCAAACAAGACATGATTGATGAACTTGCCTGAAGAGCACGACGAAGAGGCCGGACGCCACCTTTAGCGGCGTGCGCGCCAAGCCATGGAGTGTGGCGCCAAGCCACGGCGCCGTCACTACCAGCAGCAACCTTGTGGCCAGCCACGACGAGCTCTATTTGCCATTTGTCAGGAACCATTTGCCACATAACAAAGCACCCTCTTTCTGAAATTCCGGTGGCCCCTCCGCCGCCGGATCCAGGCTCATCCACCACACCCATTGTCACCTTCCCTGTCGCAAAGATGTTTTTTACTCTCCCTTCCAACTTTCGGCACCCGGTCGCCGCCGTGAAGTGCTGTATAATATACTGGGCTGAAGATGACACCTATTTCACAGTTTAAAAGAACTAAAATCATGCAAATTATCAGTGCTGTATAATATACTGGGCTGAAGATGACTCCTATTTCACAGTTTAAAAGAACTAAAATCATGCAAATTATCGAACTGCACTCCCCTTTCTCTGTTCTCTTTTCTCTTTTTCCTTCCTTTGCCTTCGCAAATTTTTCTAAGTAGAAACAAAGAACGATCAAAGGTTCTTTTTTGATAGTGAGAGATTTAATTAATTACAAAATCCTTAGTGTAAATCAGATGCACATGATACCTTAGAGGGAATGCAAAAGTAAAGAAACGCATCACTGCATCAGTCATTGTTGTGCCATGCCATACGTAAAGTTCCAAGTATCATAAAGTGATCAAGAGAAACCAATGATAACACTTGTTGCTAACTTTAAGCTAGTAACTATAATTTATCAAACAAAACACAGTAAAATAAGCACTTGAACCTTATATAATCAACATTTTATTCCGATTTATGGCGGGCAAATTTCGCAGTCCAAACAGCATTACACCCCCAACATTCTCTCTGTGAAAGAGAGAGTGGAAGATGAAAGAAATAATTGAAGTAACGAGGCTTGCCTCATTGTGGTGTTGTTTGGGGAGAAGAGGAACAGGGAAGAGAGGACAACCCAGAACGCTGAGAAGGATCTTGAGGTCAGACTTCTTATTGAAGACGAGGAAGAAGGGGGTCTTGATCCAGCTCCAGTTTCGCCATGCCTGGAGACCTTTCCTTGAGCCGGTGGTTCCATCGTTGTCTTCATTAATGGGTTCTTCTGACAGAGGAGCAAGTCGACCCATCTTAGTTCTCTGCCACCTGAAAATTTTGGAGAGAGACGAAAGAGGATGCACAAGCGGCAGGCGGTAGAGTGGGAACACTATTAAAAGAAACGACCCTCGAGGCCTCAACTATTCTGTTGTGATTTTAACACGCGCAAGGAAGGTGCGTGTGGCTCACGATGAGAAAGGATCAGAGGACGGGGATGTACTTAATGAAATATAATTGCTGAAAACTATACAGATTAACCACAGAATTTAATGCTGGACCAACTTATGTTTTTGGCCAAAAAAAAAAATTCTGCAGGTGTTTCCAAGTGCCCAAGCTTTCTTTACATATATAAGGATATATTGCAGAGAGATGTGAAAAATAAACTCAAGAACACTAATATGGATTAAGTTAAGTAAAAGGGGCTAATATTTTATAATGGTAACATGTAAAATTTGAATCCCTATAAAAAAATAATCTCATGTCTAATGTCTGACCTTATTTTTAAATATAATTATTTTTAATAAGAGAATTATAAGCAGTAAAAAAACTTTGGGATCGAGAATTCTTTTTTAAGAATTTTGTCCTATTTTATTACCATTAATTATGGGATACCGCAAAAATGCCCAGCACATGCGCCGCAACAACTTTCCCATGTCACGTGCTGCGCATATTATCTCCAGTAAACCCCATGAAATGTGAAAATTTGTGAGAAAGATATTGTGCCAACCATACAAATCATCTGATACCTCACGCACGCACAGGACCTGTTGCTCGTTTGAGAACCCCTAATGGTCCATTGAAAAATAAACGACACACTTTTATACCAACGTCTATTGGAAACATACATAGGCCAAGTAGCTATATATGTGTTTGGAGTTTTTAACTTTTCCCGTGATCGAACAGCAGTTTCTTCCCAATCCAGGGTATTATATGCTGATTCCTGTCCAGTGTTTTTTTCCCGCACAGATGCTCCAAATGTTTTTCAACTTTGGGTCCAGGATATTTGGTAAGCATAACTAAATGGCCCCGTTTGCTACGCTCGCGGGAACCATTCCCGAGAAAATTGATTCTGCTTCTATCACTAAAGATTGCCCTTTAATTTTTACCAAAAAAAAAACCAAAAAAAAAAAAAGATTCCCTTTAATGGTGACGGACTTATCATTTGACAAAGATAACCTTGAATGGCGAAATGAACCCATGGTGCCTGCTGATGTCCACGTCGGAGGGCAGAGGGCTTCCATGGCTGCAGGCGAAGAAGAAGCTAAAAATTTATAGGTGCTTGCAATTTTTGGGTGCTCCATGCATGTTACTAAGGTGGCTGCAGGGATTGGCTTTTCCCAGATAGGAAATAGGGTCCAATGATTGACACATTTAAGGTTATATTTATTTATTTTTTTAAAATTAAAAGATAATTTTATCCTTAAACTTAGTTCAAAAGTCCTGACTATTTTCTTGTTTTCTCAGTGCAATGTTCCCTTTTGATATTTTAAAACAGCATAATATCATTTTTACTGTTGATAAAAATTAATTTTGACCGTTGATTAATTATAAAATTAATGGAAATGACTTAAAAAATTACAAGAATCCCTAAAAATTAGAAATAAGTACTGTATAAAAATGATATTTGTTATCATTTTCTGTCCTTTTTAATAATTTTTTGGTCAACTAATAAGTTAACATTTCTTGAGTTTGTTAATGTTTAACTAGACCATTACATTAAAAATAAATTTGTGATCCTAAATGTTTTTGAACGTATAGTTTAAAGATAAAATTATCTTTAATCTACTTATTTATTTGTGAAAAAATACAAAAACAAATTTCATCTACATTTTAATGCACCAAATATATTTTTAACTAAGGCGTAATTCCATTTTACTTTAAAAAAAATAATTACAACTTAACTCTTAGATAACGCGAAATGGTCAATTTATTTCATTTTCGTTAGTAGAATTTATTGTTAATAATGAGCAATTTTGATAATAAGAACGTACTGCATAGCTCTACTGGTTGTTCAGACAAAAAAAGAAAAAGAATTTAGCACTCTCAGTCCCAAATTGGCGCCGGAAAAAAAAAAAAAAAACCTCGTCGTCGTATGAGATGAAACGGAAGGAGTAAGCGCGTGAGAAAGATGATTCTTGGGGAGGGCTGCGTATGAGATTCAGAGGTGGGGAACGTGGGAATATGGAGGAGGAGCTTTTAAGGGAGGCAATACAATGCGGGTGACGTGTCCACATCCTCCCCTGTTTGCAATTATGCTTTTTCGGGTAGTTCGGTGCGAATTCAGGAGCTTATCGCTTGTTGCTTCGGATTTGGTTCGCAGATATGAGGCCACCATATCAGCGCCTTCAACTGTGACTCCATTGCCGTGGGCTTTTTTTTTTTTTTTTTGATGTGCTTGTGCTTTATGCCTGCGCAGGCTGCAGAGTGTAAAATTCGTGTCATTCGTCCAGATAATATCCTTTGGAGTCTGGATGTCCTACTTGCAAATTTCACCGTCTTTTTTATTTTTGGGGTAAGAAAAAGAGGCCCAATCCCTAATTTCACTATATTTAATTTAATCCTCCGGAAGTCCTGCACGAGCGAGCCCCCGTTATCTTTATTGTCTCCCCCATCTTATGCCTATTCTTTTTTCTTATTTATATAATTACATATCATTTATGGATCGAATCGGATAAAATTATGTTAATAACAAAACTCTCCTAATAACTATTTAACACAACTACATATAGTTAAGCTAACACAATTCGTCACTAGTTGAACTTCATGCTCACTAATTGCTTATCCTCTGCAGCTAATATAGCTCCTGTCAATCTCGTCACACTAAACCGACAACCCCAAGAGGAGGAAAAAAATTTTAGATTTAATACAAGACAATAGCAAATCATGCAAAGAAAATTTCTGGTCACATCCAGTATTATAAAATTTTTGCACCCATAGAGTGAATCATAAAACCTTATTAACGAAGTTATCATTGGAAGCTTGACAGAAGGGGGAAAAAACAATTATTTTGTAGCTACAGCGAAAAGGACGAGCTTAGATATACTTTTAGATTTTTCGCCAAGTTTTGCTTAATTGGGTGTTCAAACGTACATCAACAACACGCTTCTACCATGTTATATACGTTTCTCTACGTGCCAACAAATTGGCATCTCTCATCCTCAGTCAAATTCTTTAGCCAAAAGAAATCGCCAAGCGTGGACAAAGAATAGTTAAATGGATGAGGAAATAGCCGAGAGGACCTCAGGGAAACGAGACTTAATTCAGATCATAATTCCAATGAAGGGAGCGAGGGGAGGAAAACAAACATGCGGCAACGACAGATCCTTCCTACCAACTTAATATATCGTCAAACTCGGCCACAACCACACAAGGCACATGAAATAGAAAGCGTTGTCCAGTCTGGATTCGAAAGCCCCATATAAAGAGCTCTTGAAATTAGTAATGAGGAATGGCCTTAGAAAGCTCAACCAAATTTATGATCAGTCTAGTATAAACTTCGGCTCCTGCTTCGACTTCGGCTTCTAGAATATAAACGCTCCCTATAAGGTGATCTGGAGTATGATTGCTCCCTATACCTCCGGTCCCTTGGTGATATTGACCTAAATCACGAGAAAGCAACTCCTCCAAGTAAGCAAACTCGCAAACCTCATACTCCAAGGCAAAAAAAAAAAAAACCATCTAAACAAAATCTAAATACATACCTGGAATAACCGCTTCGTCGTGGAGAAGGTGTATACTGTGGACTGCGAGAATAGGCGCGAGCATAGCGTGGTGAGTGAGAATACCGGGATGGAGACCTCCTGTATGATCGGCCCCTGGAGACAGGTTGAGAATGTAAGTGTTATGAAAACAAATACATTAACAACAAAAACTGCTGTCTGTAACTTGTAAACGGGTACTATTACCTATGCCGTTCTCTTGCTCTCATTTCAGCAGGCTTCTTTCTGTTTTCCTCAGCAAACACCACAGTCAACTCACGACCAAGTAGAATTTGACCGTCCATGTGATATTTAGCATCTGCAGCATCAGCTGGATCCACATATTGGACAAATCCAAATCCACGTGGCTCCCTGTAGCATGATATTTGAGAGTCTTAAGGAAAAAAATACATATACATGATACAATGTGAACAGATCCGCAAACCGATTCTGAGATTATTGCAGAAACTATAGCCCTGCCTTCAAAGTTCAAGATATTATATAATCATATCTCAACACTCCTAGAATTCAGAAGTAAACATCACATGGATGCTAACCTTGTGGACGCCAAAGTATAAATTGAGATGAAAATCTTCAAGACTTGAACTTTCTTCACAATGTACTCAAACTCAACCTTCTCCGAACCTTCATGTACACTAACATGACCTTGAACAGGACTCTTATTACTTGATTGGGTGTCTTCAACAAAATACCTTTATTACTTCTTTGTTGTCTTCAACACAGTACTCTCTTATTACTTCATTCGTGTCTTCAACTCTTTCAATAAAACAACCAAATTCCCATAAAATGATTGTAGTAACTATATTGAGCAAAAAGTTGCAAAACTAAATAAGGGAGGAAAGCCACCATTGTGCACTTCACAAATCCTTAAATCAAGACATCTTAACTCGGTTGAAAATACCATTGCTAAAATAAGAAAACGTATTCATAGTTCTTTTTATCTTTCTTTTTTTTTTTTTTTTTTGGGGCGGAGGGAGGCCTGTAAAACTTTCAAAACATAAGCTATCCTTCAGGCAGTAAAAAAATATACTTACCCAGTATAATAATCTCGAGGTAGGTAAATGTCCTTGAGAGGACCAAAGCGGCCAAAAGGTCCTCGTAGATCTTCTGCCCTGTAAACCAAAAATCAAATAAAAATTTAAATCGGCCCACTTAAGTTATAGGAAGCAACAATACCTTCCCGGTACAGTCAACCCATGCTCTCTTCTCTTCCATTCCATTAGTTCTTTCCTTCCATGAAGTCTCTAAAGCATATTTTGATATAATATATTATTTACAAATTTCATAGATACTCAAGCTAGATTATAAATTCATGAACATCAAATTGCACGATTCATTACGGCAGGAGCTTCCACTCATGGAGCTAATTTCTTTACCAGAGATTGCAAAAGATTTCAATTTGAAGCAGATGAGCACAATACAATGGCAAGAATACCATAAAGAAGTAGCGTATCCCGTTTAAGTTGGGCCGGCTCATGGAATAAGATTGCTCTAATGATCACAAAGAAATACAAGGCAGGCTAGCGGCAAAACTGAAATTCTCTAGTACCTGCAATCTCTGTGAAGGTTCCTAACCAGAAGACTAGTTGGCAAATCCCTACCACGGGCTCCATAACGACCCCGAGGACTAGGACTGCGGTGTCTTCTGCTATAACCTCTTGGAGGTGAGGGGCTGTAACTGTAGCTTCTGCCCCTCATTTTGCAGTTTTACCCACACCTATCATCACAAAAAAGGAAAAAATAACTACATAAACCACCTTTTTTAGCACAAATAACTCACATTAAAAACAAGCTGAGGAAAGTCAAGCATGCATAACAGCTGCTAATAAACAATAGCCAAAACTGTCGAGCATCCTCAATACCCATTAACCTATAATAGTCTTTCAGTCCTCAGAAAAACATCAATAGAATGGACCCATAATGAGAATATTTATGGACACGTCGTCCGATTTTCTTCGAACAATAATGTAAACTGTGGGATTATCTTTCAAGTTTCACATGCTTAGTGTCGAATGATGATTCCTACGGAGCTCTGTTGTTAGCATCATATTTACAGAGGTAGTCAAGAAAAATTTAAAAAGGAAAAAAAAATCAGCCAACGAAGCCCGTGCAAAGAAGCAATATCGTCATGTTCAAACCCATGCCTGAAAATCAACTTTTTTTTAAACCATGCCTGGAAATCAACTAAACTTGTGGAGGGGGCGTTATAAAATACATACCCAACTCTGTGCCTCAATCGCGCCAGAAATCAAATAGACGCTAAACATGAAAGAGTAAAGAGATAGATTGGCTTCCCTACGATGAATTTGCTCTCTCTCCCTCTCTCTCAGATGGATCAGAGTCAGGTGATAGGAATAGGGAAGGTGGAAAAGGCGGAGACGAGGACATACCTTGTCTGGAGGACAATCGGCAACACGCCTCTAACACGGCGTAGAGAAAAGCTTCGGCTTCTTTTCTAATCCCGAGAAGCCTCTGGTTCACCCAGGGAACTTTAAATCAAAAGCTCCGTCCCTCGTGTTCGAGAAACTTCTTCGTGGGTTGACTTTTCTTGGGCCGTTGGGCGGTAAGAGGCCTCAGGGGTCCATAGCAACGAATTCGGCCCCAGTTCACCAATCGGACTGGGTCCCTTTTGTGAAATGAATAGTATCAAAAAAAAATTAGGGGCCATTTTATCAAAAAGACGCATTATGGCCCTCACAAACAGAGCCTGGACCTTAGTCTTTGTTTGGTTGGATGAAAGTTGAGACTATGTTTGTTTAAATGAGAGGAGGAGAGGTTTGACCAACAACAAAAAATCAGGGGAGGAGAGGGATTTTATGTTATCTATTTAGCTTTGTTAAAGGAAAGAGGAAGATTTTTTAATGATTCTTTATTTAGTTGGGATGGGAGGAGAAGGAGATAATTGCTTATTTACTATCATATCCTTATATGCCAAGCTTTTTTTGTTGTTTCTTATTTAAAGTAATTTCACACTTTAATTCAAATGGCATAATTTATACTCCCTCTGTTCAAAAATGTAAAGCATTTTTAGTCTTTTGAGGTGTAATCATTACCTTTTTTTAATAGTGTCCTTATTAATAGTGACTTTATATTTATTATAGGGTATTTAATAGAGATAAATATAGAAAGATAGGGTTAATTTGAAAATATATAACTACTTTGTTTGGGGTAGATTCGGCTAAAAATTTCTTACATTTTTTTAATAGAGGGAGTAATAATTTACAAATTTGAACAACTAATATTACAATACTTGTTAAATAATTTGATGCCAAAAAATTATTTAGAGACTTGCAGAGAAAAAGGTTGTGCCCAATAATTCATCTATGTGTCTATATCAAATACAACAAACTCAACTAATTTAGATCCTTTTTAGTTACTAGACAATAATGAAATAGATTGAAAAATAAAGATGAAAATAAGATGATCGAAAGTGATAGGTGAGCACATTCATGTAATTGAGGGATAATTTAATTTACAAGATTAAGAATCATGATTCATGATTTTTCAAAGGATGTAATAATTCATACACTTGTGGTATATGTTAATGAGTTTTATCATACTAACCATAAAAAAAAAGATGATTTGGTTCATTTTTTAATAACTTCTCCAACACATTCTATTTTAGTGACCAAATGGAACTTTGGTATGACTGAGAATAAATTGTGCCCAATACTTGGTGAGTATCCTAGCAATGGAAAGACGCATACAAGTTCAACAAGAAGGAGAAAACATAATGAAACATGATTATTGTTGGCTAAGCCCACACAAAGGACGGATCAGGTAAGATTTTAGCATAACCTGAAATTTGGTCCTTTTTATAAAAAGAACTAAGTTAAGAAACCCATGTTCTAGTCTAGGCTTCATATAACTCGAAGTTGAATAGGGCCAGACTAGTCCAATAAAACTAGGAGATTAGTCCTAGTCTTCTCTGATATCTCACTTTATTTTTTTTCCTTTTTCATTCATGAGAGACAACAATTTATTTTAATATAATAAACTCATTTAGCATAATAAAATTACTTACAGTCATATAAAATTTATCACAACATTAACAATTATAATTCCATAACAATTTTCAATGACAATAAGAAGTATTTCAGTTACAATATATAGGATTTAAATTAAACAATCTTCAACACATTTAAAGTCCATCACACTGTGCTTAAAACAAATTTCACCAATAAAAAAAGAAAATTGAAGTTGGTCGATACTAGAATTTTACTCAATGTTCATGACTTACAAGTATAAAAATACAAAAAATTTCTAATTATTATTATAAATTAGCTTATTATTATAATAATTAGTAGATTAATTATGATTATATTAAATACATTTATAGGACTAGGCTAGGTAGTTTAGATACTCGGTCTTTTGTTTAGTCCAACCTGAAGAAAGAGTCTGATCTCTTTGATCTTAAAATATTAATTTTTATATGGACTGAATCGGACTAAGTTATTACAGGTTGGACTAGACCAAATGGGATCGAAGGACTTTTACACAACCTTACTATTGGCCTTTATGGAATATGAGAAAATATAAATAGGAAAATTAGTTAAAAAAGCTGACTCCCTGCAAAAAATAAATTAGGGAGATAAAATAAGGAGAATAGGGGAGAAATTTTGGCTCCCTTCCTCTCTAAATTTTCCAACCAAGTGAGGGGGAAGGGAACATTTGCCCTCCCCCCAGCCAAGCGCACCCTTAGGGAAATCAGTAACGAGGAGAGATGTTTCAAGGTGTTCAATTGTTTGGGTGGACGCCTGAAGGTGCAATAGTAACATCGCAAGACATATGCTTCTCGCAAATTGATACTCTATTTGGTACAATGTAAGTGATTTTAATGGAAATGGAAATAGGCATGAATGTGGAAATGGAAATTGATATGGATGGGGGAATGGGAAAGGGTATGGAAGTAACATGGAGATTAAAAACATGTTCCATATTTTCATGAAATTATGATATAATTTTTGATTAAAATGTATTTTCACAATCCCAAGGGACTAAAATACCCTAGCCCGGAAAAGAACTCACACTTGCATATAGGGGTGAGCAAAACTGAATCGAAACTGAAAATCGAACTGAATCGAATCAAATTTTATCTATTTAATTTGGTCTATTTGATTTTTTGGTTCAATTTGATTAGTAAAATTTAAAATTGAATAGACCGAACTGACCAAATTACATATAATTTATTAATTTATAAATTATATTTAATTTATAAATTATTTTATTTTTTATTTTAATAAAGAATAAAAAATAATAACATCACTTGAAACCCTATTTCGGTCAATCACTCTCATCAGTGGGTGTTGTAACTGGATTATGGTGTTATGATTGGATTGTGGGGCCATCATTTGATCATCAATGTTTATTTATGGTTGTTTATTTGATTATCCATGCCTTTATAATATTCGAGCTTTATGTCATATGGGTGTAATTAAAATGGGCTCATACTGAAAAAAATGAATAGAAAAAAAGGCATAATTTTGTAGTGTTGTTTATTTTAATATTAAAAAAAGGGCCCAATTTCAATAGTCTAATATAAAACCAAAAAATTGAATTAACCGACCGAACCAAATTATCAAATTTTAGTTTGATTGGTTTGTTCGGTTTGATTTGATTTTCATTTTCAGTGTTATTCGATCAATCAATTTTATATATTTTGGGATCGAACTGAACCGAACCGACCGATGCTCACCCTTGCTTGCATAACCACCCTCCACTATTGATGGCACTAACAACAAAAAACTAAGATCATCAACAAACCAGAGCAAAATCAAGCCTGCATTTGAAGACCCACCCCCAGGACAATAGCTCGATGACAATCAATGAAATGCTATTCATAGACCTTGGTTCATCCTCACCATTTACATGTCTGAAAAATGACACGAAATCAAAAAACAGGCTCAAAACATTATAGAGAAGATGAAGAAGAATTGAAGATATGGATAAATCGAAGATAAAGCTAAGGATATGGGAAAAGGATAAGTCATCATTGTTAAGCTTCAAATAAGGAGAAAAAATCACAATGACAAATTAGAAGTTAACAAAAATAACAAAAAAAAAAGAGGTAATATTGGTGGTTAATGAGGAAATAGGGAAGATAGGGCGATGTCTCAACCTTATATTGGGTAAAGACAAGGTGAAGAATAAGCTAGAGAGGTCAACATTACCTCATCATCATCGCTGAGGAGGTTGCTGTCGATCGTAGACCCTAGCTTGTGTGATACATTGCAATTACTAAAAAATTTCATTGAAAGAGGAGATAAAAAGAAAGGAGAAAAATGTTATAAATCTCAATTCCATGAAATTTTGAAAAATTTCATGGATCAGGTGATGGAAATCAATCCAATCATTTTTTCGTAGAATGTGAATTCACATGAAATTAGAATTTGACATGCCAAACACGCTAAGATATGATTTCCACATCTAATTCCATTTTCACACCCCTCAATTTTATTACGCCAAGCAGAGCTTGAAAGATTTGTTTGGATATATGTTAGGTAAAATTGATTATAAAAAAATCAATTAACGTAATTGATTTTGAATATAACTACTCATGTTATATGGGATAATTAATTTATAAAATTGATTTCAAGTATAGTTGAAAATCAGGTAAAACCATGGTTTTGAAAAATATATCCAAACATCTACACGACATGTCAAAATCAATCATGAATTCAAAGTTATGATTAAAAAAAATCCAAACACCTGTATTGTATGCTAAAATCAATTATTAACCAATCTTTTAAGCTACTATTAAATACTTTCCAATTACATTTTCATAAAAAAATTACCCAAAAATCATGTAAACTGTATTTTATAAATCTTAGTTCTAGATTCATAATTGATTCTAACATGTATAAGGAAGCTTTGATATTTTAAAAAAAAACTATTATTTTAAATTCATAATTAATTTTAATATGGAATGTAAGTGTTTATATATTTTCAAGAAAACTATAATTTTGTATTCATATTTAATTTTGTCATGTAATAGAAACATTTGAATTTATTTTCACAAAGCTACAGTTTTAGCTATCAAAAATAATTATTTTGGGCTATTCAAACATACATGGGATATTAGAGTTACATCATCACACCAGTCGTATACAACCATTTCCATTCCCAAGGCCTGGTTTGGGTGGAAGGAAAAATATGAAGGAGATAACAGCAGAAGGATGAACTTTTAAAAAATAGTAATTTTTTTAACTATTTTTTAGAGTTTCTTCCTTTCAGTTTTCATTCCTCGTTACTTTCTCTTTATCCAAACAAAGTGTCAATATTGAGGAATGCATCCATAGCAATTATCCAAAAAAAAAAATTGGGCTTTAGGCCACTTCTGAGCAAGCTTCCTCGTACTCTTTTTTGGATTTTAAATTTCCAACCATCATCTTCCACAAGCTTGTAAGATGTCTTAGTCAATAACTACATATAGGTAACGAGCTCTAAAGACATTTAGCTTGCCTATAATCATAGCACGATGAATCTCCTACAATCAATAGAACAATTGTTCTTGATAAAAGGTTCTCAAAAAGAGGCTAGTTTTATCCTTTGTCATCACTTTCATGAAGTCAATCATGGGTTTTGTCTCACTCGCTTTCTCTAGCCTCATGCAATGCAAGAAGTTTTAAAGGATCAAGATCTCCCAACTAATTATCCTCCCAGTATCTCACCTTTTAATAACCATCACTATTCTTCCATATTTAATACCCAAATTAAATCTTTTCAAGATATTTACAGTATATCTCTCCAAGGATAAGGAACTAGTGCCTCCTTCAAAATGCCCTCAATACATTCTTGCCACATGTACTTTTTCATTGAGACTAGAGCTAGAAAAACAGGTTAAACTTGCGGGCTAGCTAATTGAACTCGTAAAATTTGACGGGTTAAGTTGAATAAATTGGCCCGTTAGCCTAACCCGCAAACTTAGCCAGATAAAACGAGCTAACTCGTAGACTAAACGAGCTAGCATATTTTTTAAAAATATTTTATATTTTTTAATCACATTATATCTTTTTATAAATCTACAATAATAATAATATTTCTCAAATATATAATTCATGACTCTCAAATATATTCTTTACATTTAAAATATAGTGTAAATCTTTTTTACAATTTGCAAATAAATTTTTTGTTATAGTTTGTAAATCAATAATTTATTAGTTTTTATAGAAATATTTTAAATATATATTATTTATTAACCTCATAAGATCTATTGATTGAAATCATAAATATAAATTCATTGAGAAAAATAATATGGATTTATATTTAAATTTTTTTCCCATTAAGAAAGATAATACACTTAAGCAAGAAGATGATTGAGAGAAAAAATCTAGTAAAATAAATTTGCTTGGTTGAATTCTATATTTATTTTATTTATTTATAGGTTCTTCAATTGTTAACTTGCTTTAAAATGTGAAATAAATGAATATATTTATATTATATAAATTTTAAATTGTTAAAAAAATTTGATAAATTTTTGTGGGCTAACTCATTAGAAAATGGGTTAGGTTGATTTTTTCAGCCCGTTTTATCTGGTGGGCTAGCCCAACACACCTCGCAAAAATGCCAACCCGCACGAGTTAACCCATGGACTAGCCCTTAACCTGTTTGCTTGGTACTACTTGAGACCTTAATCTAAACTAAATAGAGTTGAGCTATGGGTTTAGTCTACATTATGATTTCATCAAGAAAGTTTGATCGTGACTTTCCATGTAATTATACAGTCTCGCTTTACATGAGACTAGCTATTTCTGTTTTAATGCGTTACACTAGTTGCCCTACCATTTTAGCAATGCAATGGAATATTTGATAATTCTTTCAATGTTGTTGCATAGCTTGGTAATTCTCTAATCAAGTAACAACATTTTAGCAACCTCCTTCGAAGAGTTTATATGACTCAGTCCTCTATACCCATATAAATTCTTCAAGCATCCCTGCCATCAAATAACAACACACCATTGTTGTTATTAGTTTTGTGTTCAAACTCATTGCTTATATGATTACATCTTGGTTGATTTTTATTATTTCACGAAAGAAGAAAGCTTGGGTTTTTGTTACAACAAATATCATGTCCCAAGCCACAACAAAATCCTCTACTTATCACCATGAAGAGGTTGCAATACACCATTAAAGGGTTGAATGTGCGGAAGGGGCTTGATTGTGTTTGCATATATCCCCAGGTCCAATTAGACAGGGAGAATCACATATAAGACCTGCACAAGGAACATAATTAATTTGCAAGTTGGATAGATTCTAATATTTCCGCAAGTCTAAAGGTTTGAAGTGCAATTATTTTCCTTGACGAAGTGATCTAATTGCCCTCAATAAATGAACAGGCCTAGAGTGCAAAATGACTCATGTAAATAAGTAGGCTTTTTGTTGTAGATAATTGAATTTTTCTTGTTATTTACAAACCCTTCGTTATTAATTTTTTCCAATTAATTTGTAAATTCTCTCTTCTTCAAGTACAAGAATAGATTCATATGAACTTTTGTGAACGAATGGACTTCTTGCTTTTTTTTTTATGGTTTGTTACCCTTGATAGAGAAATTATTAAGATTCTTTTACTTCTTTCATTAAAAAATATAAAGTATTTTTTGAGGGATTGAATATTTAAAAAATATAAAGTATTTTTAATATTTCAAGATGTAATTAATGTACTTTGTTTTCAAAGCGTTCATATTTAAAAAATAACTTTATATTTATTTTAAAATAAAATATTCTATTAAATAAGATTAAAGATGAAAAGATGATATTAGTTTAAAAATAAATAACTATTTTATTTAAATAAAATTTAATTAAAAATATTTTATATTTTAACAAAAGGAGTATAAAAGATCAAATATATTACCAAAGTAAAAAGACAATTCACAACAACATTACTCAGAGCTTGGCAATTATGTAATTTTTTTAAATTTTATTTTTGTCTTGATGAGATAAAAAAGTTTGCTAATAATTAACACTTTGAACTTTAACAATGATGGATAATAAATTAATAAAAGAATAGAACATTAATTATTTAGTTTTTATAATTTCATCACCTTTTAATTCAGTTTTAGGTAAAATGAAAATAATTAAATTAAATTAAAATCACATCTTAGAATAAAAATAATTGTATTAAGTCTTAAGCATTAGGTAATATTAATTTTACCTGTCAATAGCCAATAAATCAATAAATCATCAATGGTCAATAAATAATAATATATCATCAGTATTTATTGCGTTCTCCACCGTTACCCGGCAGTGTATCGTATAATATCATACAACCATAAGGGAAACCCCATATAGCATTTCCGGCGCCTCCTTCACCTCCCAGACAAGCAAGTGACGCTGCCGCCAACCCTTACTCTAAAACCCCATAAACCTTTCGGTTTTCGGACTTCGGCCGCACCGCACCTGTACGCCGAGAACAGAGCCATTGCTGTCGGTAGACATGGCGCCTTCTTCGAAAAAATCTCAGAAAAATAAATCCAAAGGCAAGCTCGTGGACAAATCCTCTAAGAAAATCTTTAAAGAGAAGAGGAAACCAGCCAGCGCCATTAGCTCTGAAGCACTGGATATGCAGCTCCAAGATGACGTCCCTGATTTTCCCAGAGGTTACAGCAAGTTCTTTATGTTGATTTCTCTCGGTTTATGAAATTCAGCTCACTTGGAACCATTGGTTATGACTTCGCTGAAGACATGTGGGATTGGAAGAAAATGTTATTATACCAATTTCTGTCTTCCATTTGAAACCAGCGAAATACATACCTATAAATTTAGCGTGCGATATAGCTTATGTTATTTTTATGTTTTTTATTTTTTATTTTTTTTACTCTTTTCATCGGCCTTCAGGTGGAGGGAGTTCTCTGAGCTCCAGGCGAACTCGAGAAATCCGTGCAGATGATGATTATGAATTTGGGACTGAGGATCATTTGAAAAAGAAGAACAAAAAGAGAAGCAGCATGTCTAGTAAGAGTGGCTTATCCGCAGATGATTTGGGTTTGCTATCCGGTGGCGGAATCAGGGGAAAACTACCAAGATACGCGAATAGAATAACTTTCAAGGCAGGCTTTAACTTGTACATTGTATATTTGTTGTTTGTTTCTTTGCATACGGTGTTCTGTAATACGCATCCTCTTGCAATGTTGTCTCTTCAACTTTCAAATGCAATTACTGTCTTCATATCCTTTTCATAATTATCGGATGTTATAACTAAATTTTTGTCTGTTTTATACTAAGTATGACTAATGCTTTATTACAGTTGGCGGAGCGAGCATTGAAAGACATTCTCTTTTATGTGCAACATTAATGCTAGCTTTCTTTGCTTTTCTTTTCTTTTTTCTGTTTGTGCTCTAAGTTCGTTTTCAAATAAAAACTACATGTTTAGAACTTAAGTCTCTTTCTGCTCATGTCTAAGGATTGGATTTCTAGATTGACGTGATAAAAAATTATATTACTACCAACCATATAAAATTGGTTTTGTCTTTTCTTGTTCAATATTTTTAATTTAGAATTAGAATGAGTCTTAAAATGTGTCTGAAGTCTTTACCTTTTTCATGGGACTTATTTCTGTTATTCCTTGTCAAATACATTCCCTTCATTTTCTTTCCCCTTTTATCGAAACGTGCTTAAATTTTCATTCTTTGCACATGTGCAGAATATATCTCCTGGCATGAAACTTTGGGGACTTGTGGCTGAAGTCAATGAAAAAGACCTTGCAATTAGTTTACCAGGGGGTTTACGTGGATTAGTTCATGCATCTGACGCGGTTGATCCTATTTGGAACGACCAAATTGAGGTGTGTGTCAAGCTTTCGCCCGTGATTATCCATTTAGCCTCTCTCTCCCTCTCATAATGCTTTTGCCAATCGTTCAGTTCTTTACTACTGTTATGCACAGCATTAGCTTGTCTTCCTCTCTTGCCAGGTTGGAGAAGGTTTCCTTTCTAGTTCCTTTTATGTTGGACAGCTGGTTTCTTGTGTTGTATTGCGATCAGATGAAAACAGTAAAGACAAAGGCAAACGAAAAATTTGGCTGTCTTTGCGCCTTTCAATGTTACACAACTTCAATTTAGATGTCATTCAAGAAGGCATGGTATGCAGATTTTTCTAATCTATATAGAACAGAAGTATTTGTGGTGATATTTTTAATCCCCCATTAAGAGTAGGTTATAATTTCATATTAATGTAGTGAGGCTTTCAAGTATGACATTGTTGGAGGAAACTATATGCATGTTGACGTTAAAAAAGGCTTGACATTATGTTCTATAAAATTAAACTTCACCATGTTGAAGCATTCCCTTGTGGACCCTTAACTTTAGGTTTTTGTAAGAATGCAAATGTGAATTGATTCATCATGCCATTATTTATGACTTCGTATCTCTCCTTACTTGGGCATGGTCATCTGAATTTATACAAACCTTGGAATTACTTCACATTTTACATGCATGTTAATTAACGTCTTTTAGAGACTTGTGGCGTAGTTGTTTTCTCATATGTATTTTACAGTATCCTGTTTGTTCTAAACAAAGGTAAGTAATTAAGAAAGTTTCCTGCCTTGGATAAACAGAATTAAACATCTTCAAGAAATGGCTTTAAAAGGTCATTGTACTTACAGTTAATGTCAGTGACATGCCAATACACCCACAAAATTCGCAAAATACAGGTCCTTATGTGACATATTGCTTATTGAGGATAGGACTTTTAAATACAGGTCCTTTCTGCATATGTGAAAAGCATCGAAGACCATGGTTATATTCTTCATTTTGGCCAGACTTCTTTTATGGGATTTTTACCAAAGGATAGTCTTTCTGGTAAACATCAGACAACTTTTGTGAATTTTTGTTGCTTTACTTTGTGTAACATGGTTAAACCAAGTTTTGGTTTTGGCTTCCTTTCTCTCTTTCTGTATATAAATTACTGCAGATGGTAGGAGTGATAGGGTAAAAACTGGGCAACTTCTGCAGGGAGTAGTTAGGAGCATTGATAAAGGTCGTAAAGTTCTTTATATGAGTTCTGACCCTGATACAGTCTCTAAATGCGTGGTATGCTCAATCAAAACTCAGTATGATGTATTTTTTTAATGATCTGTTGATATTGATATTTTTACTTTTTCATGATGTCCCTCTGACGTTGCCTTTGAACACTTGATGCAGACCAAGGATCTCAAGGGTATATCAATTGATCTTCTCATACCTGGCATGATGGTTAATGCCCGTGTGAAGTCAATTCTTGATAATGGCATTATGTTATCATTTCTCAATTATTTCACTGGGACTGTAAGTGTATCATTTCCTCATCATGATTGCAATGTATAGCTAATATTTTGAGTAAAGAAATTTACTTAACAAACTCAACATATTTTAATATGATTTTGGAACACATTTCATTATTTTAGGTTGATCTTTTTCATTTGCAAAATATATATCCTTCAACAAACTGGAAAGATGATTACAGTGAATCTCAGAAGGTACTTTTTATGCATCTTTTCCATCCTGCACGGCACTGCACTTACTACTGCAGGTTTTAACCCATTTAATAATGTTACATATACGCATATAGCTTTTCCACTGTACGCCTATAGGTTGAGTTAGAGTCTGCGGTATCTCACTTTTTAATTGTCAGACTAACACTAATTAAGCTGAATATGTCATGAAATTTAATCTCTAGCAGAACTATGGGAGCCAGCAATTCTGTTAGCTAGAAAGTTGCTGTTCTAAAAAAAAATTCTTTTCTTTTTTCTTTTGGGCTAATTTTAATCAGTAACTGCATCCACAATTGTTATATTCTTAATAAATAAGAAATTGATTCAATGCATTAATACGCACGTTTGGAATTTAAGTTGCTAGAATTTTAATGTAGTTATGTGACATTCTCGTTGATTTGTTTTTTTTTTTTGGCACCATTGAATTTCACATTGCTATCATGTTGTATCATGTTAATTATGCAGTTTGCGACCTCGAAATTCATGTCTCTACCATGATTGACTTTTACACATAATGTGTTCCAGTTGCTGGTTATGTTTCTTTGTTTGATTCTTTCATCTCTGAACTGATGCTGTTTTCTTTTTTGAAAGTTTCTGATTAAGCACCTGCTACGTCATTCAGGTTATTGCTAGGATATTATTTATTGATCCATTGACTAGAGCTGTTGGTTTGACGCTGAATCCACATCTTGTTCAGAACAAGACCCCTCCATCTGTAAGTATATTGCCATTTGTTTGTGCCCCTATACGCAAGCAGACTTTCACCCATCGTAATGAATTCTAGCTATTCAATCTAATAATTTGTTGCGTGCCATTTTTGGCTCTCCTGAAGTTAAATTGCAGTTATTCTGAATTTTTAAGGAGAGAAGAATGCAGTACAAAGAAAATGATAAGATATTCTAAAAAGAAAAAAAAAAAGAAAATAAATATAGCCAGAGAATAAAATGGCAAGATGCCAAGATACTTTACAATGAGGAAATGCAGGATAATGAAAATAATAAGATATCATAAAGAGAAAATAAATAGAAAAAATTATTGACAAGGACCAAATTCAGAATCTAATTATTCCTAAGGATCAAGTTCAAGTACTTAACACTCAAACTATGAAAATTTACAAGTGTCTGTCCAAGCATTTACCACCCGAGGTTCTTGGGAATAAATGGTTTTTGAATTTGGTCCTCTTGAATATTATTCCCAAAAAAGTGCAGCTAGAGAACAAAATGACAAGTTGCAGAAAATGCATTCAATCAATAAAAGATCTCCAAACTCCAAGTCCATACAGATATCTGTAATTTTCTTTCCTTAATATTATCAAATCTTCTTTGTTAGATTAGAAGAGAGAACTCAAAATTTGCATAACTTGTATCACTATCAGTGTGAAATAGTTGATTCCTGATGAACAATGCTACCTCTTATAAAAGTTGGCCTTGAGAATTTTTGAAGTACTGACACTAGGTTATAAAATCGTATGGGGCCTTCAAACCTTCCATAGATCAATCCTATTGGTGATTTCTCTGGAAATTGTTTTGATGAAAGGAGAGCTTACACCACTAGGACCCTGTCTCATCGCAAAAAATTCAGAAAGCTAGATCCATATGTCTTTGCCTTTATGCTTGAATTTCTGTAAAGTTTTATCTTCTGGAATTTGTATTATTTATTTTTGGATTATAGACATTTGTTTCTATGTTTTTTAGTTGCTTGGATAATTTAAAATCTGTCCTTTCTGAATAAAATTTCTTTGTGTTAAACAATCTGACACTGGTTCTTGGAGCTCAAGTTATCAGACCAAAGCAAGATATGATCACATGTTATATTAAATTTATGAGTCATACAATGAAATTGTAGAAAAGAGCGATTGAGCAGAGGGTGAAATTGGAGACTGGTATTTTTGAGAATCAATTTGGCTTCATGCTAGGTAAGGGGACTGCAAAAGCGATTTATTTATTAAGGGGATTAATGAAAAAGTATTAATGTAAAGGTAAAAATTTACTTATGATTTGCATTGATTTGGAAAAAGCTTATGACTGTGTATTAAGAGAAGTACTTTGGAAAGCCTTGGAAAAGAAGGAAGTTCAGGTTGCTTATATTAAAGTTATACAAGATATGTATGAGGAGGCAACGACAAGTATAAGAATGTCTGGCGATGAAACAAAGGATTTTCCTATAAGGATTGTACTACATTAGGGATTATTTTTGAGTCCTTATTTGTTTGATTTGATTCTAGATGTTTTGACAAAGTATATTTAAGAGAAAATTTCCAAATGCATGTTTTTTGCCGATGATATAGTTTTTATTGCAGGGACAAGAAAAAAGATTAACTGTAAATTTGAATTATAGAGGAGGACATTGGAGTTAAAAGGTTTCCGCCTGAGTAGGAGTAAGATGGAATATTTATATCGTAATTTTGATATGAGGTTAGTCGGTAGTAATTTGGAAGCGAAATTGGGAGATCAGATTATACCTCAAGTGAAAAAATTTAAAATTTAGATATTTGGAAGTCATTATTTAATATGACGGGAAAATTTCACATGGGATACAAGTTGGGTGGTTTAGTTGGAGAAAGACTAAAATAGTTATTTGCTATTGTAAGGTACCCAATAAACTTAAAGGGAAGTTTTATCAAACTATTATAAGACTGATTATGTTATAGAATAGTGAATGTTGAGTTTTAATGGTTCAATAAGAACATAAAGTTTGAGTAGCGAAGATAAGAATTTTGAGATGGATGAGCGGATATACACATAAAAATAAAATTCGAAATGAGTACATACGAAAAAAAGTGAGCAGAGCACTTATTGGGGAAAAATAGTAGAAAATTATTTAAGATGGTTTGGACATGTCTAAAGAAAATTGTGAGAGGCACTAGTGTAGAGAGTGAAATGAATAACTTTGAGTCCAATTAAGAAAGGTAGAGGAAAGCCAAAGAGAATACTTTTAGAAGTTGTTAACCGAGATTTCTTAATTAACAATATTTTTAAAAGCTTAGTAAATAATAGAGCATAATGGTATTGTACGACTCATATAGCTGACCTCACCTAATGTGGTAGGCTTCTTGTTGTTGTTGATCACATGTTACATGGCTTTTGTATGATGTAAGGTTTTTTCTTGTTTGATGTAGTTGGCTATTGTAAATTAGAAGTTGACTTCCTCTTAGCTGTTCATTCTCACTTTCTGTTAGTATAATCCTTTCTGGACAAGATTGCAGAAATGTTTTTGTATACTTAATTTACTCATCCATCTTGTTTGAGCTCATTCTCTTCTTGCATGAAGCCTAAGATAGAGATGAATCTCCATACCTTTCGTCCTGTTTGACCACCTAGAGAAAGCTTGTTGATAATTGATATTGCCAAGATGGCATTCTTTTATTGTAAGTAGACAACTAATAGTATACACTGATGATTTGCTTTGTGGTCCAGGATGTTAAAATCGGAGATATATATGATGATGCAAGAGTTGTTAGGGTGGATAGAGGTTTAGGCCTATTGCTTGAAGTTCCATCAATTCCGGAGTCAACTCCGGCATATGTCAGTGTATGTTTATGGTCATTAATTCAGTTGCTATATCAGTTTTTATAGTACATTACAAAATTTTTACAGTTTGAATGGTTATTATATATATATATATATATATTTACAGACATCTGATATTGATGAAGTGGAGATCCAGAAGCTTCAAAAGAAGTACAAGGAAGGAAATCATGTTAGAGTTCGAATCCTTGGGTTAAGGCATTTGGAAGGACTTGCTACTGGAATTTTGAAGGTTGCCCCTTTTTTTGTTTTTTGTTTTTAGGGGCGGGGCGGGGGAGCATTGGGGTTAAATCAAACGGAGATAGGTTTTGCCATTTACTCTAGAAAGCATCAAAGATGGATTACTGCTACTAGTTACTGTGGCTTTTCCTATGGATTGTGTCTTAAAACATAATCTTTAAAGGGGTTTGACCATAGTTACTCTATTGAAGTCACTTTATAATTTTCAGTTAGTTAATCATTTTCGCCTGGTGTATTAGTCTTCTTTCCTTCTAGCGACTTTCTTATGCTTAATGACAACTGGAGTCAAGGTGAGTGTGTGTGTGTGTGTTTTCTTCTAATTTGACTTGAGATTTTTTCAACACTGGTTTTCTGTCAATTTCTGTATTTCTTCTTCCTATCCCAACTCTAACCATCAGATAGTTTCATTGTTGTTTGAGAATCGTACTCATGATATCAAGTATGTGTGTTCAGTATCTTAGAGTTTGGGACAATATGCTGACAGATGTAAGAGTTCTGATATTTGACAGTGCCTTTTTTTCTTTTTTTGGTGCTTTAGTGCTTGGGATCAAATTCTGAGATCATTAATCTGTTACGGTTTTTTAATAATTTTAATTGTGAATTGGCACTAATTCTTTTTTGTATTTTTGGAAACCTTACTCTTTTAATGAACAAGCTATTCATTTCCCCTATTCTCCTGGTTTTGCTACTTAGCCACTGATCTTCTCTGCTCAAATTACGCCATTTAAATTAGTAGTTCCAGAAGCCCTCAGTTGTGTTTTCCGGAGTCTTTTTTGATTAATTGGTTTTTCTAGAATTTATGTAATTATATGTGAATGAATTTGTAATCCATTGTACCTATTTGAACTGGTGGTATAGTTAATTTGTTTTTCATTTGACAGTTCTTGTTTTAGTGTGTTAAATTTTTTGGGTTTACAAACTGAAAGAAAATCTTATTGAATGTTTGACAACTGTTTCTGCAATTTTTTATCCAGGTCTTGTGTATAATGAGATTTTACCTGGCTGATGTTGACTCTAGGATGTTCCATTTAATCTGTTGTGTGTTTCTGTACCAAGCAGGCTAGTGCTTTTGAAGCAGATGTGTTCACACATTCTGATGCCAAGCCAGGGATGGTGGTGAAGGCTAAGATTCTTTCTGTTGATGCCTTTGGTGCTATTGTGCAAATTCCTGGTGGTTTGAAGGCACTTTGTCCTCTTCGTCATATGTCTGAACTTGAGATTGCTAAGCCCACAAAAAAATTTGAGGTTCTGTTCTAGCCACAAATTTTTAAAGTTCTATTATGCTTTGTGCACTAAAATAATTTGTGCATTTTTTCACAAGTCTTGTACAGACAAGACATCCTATTGCTCATTTTTTCTGCTTGGATTATGGTGCAGGTGGGAGCTGAATTGGTATTCCGTGTACTTGGTGTCAAGTCAAAAAGGATAACAGTTACCCACAAGAAAACCCTTGTATGTTGCTTGTTTTAGCACTTTTATATATATATATATAGTTTTTACTTGAGTGAAGTTATACACGAAATTTTTCCCTTGTGTGTGAAGTTTTAACTTCATTCCTCTATCCCTAGTGTTTTAGGTCCTTATACTTTTGTTTTTTGTTGTTCTAGGTTCCTCCATAAACAAAGTGTAAGGACTTTGGAGAGACCTAGAACACTGAAAAACAAAAGTATAGGGACTTAGAACACAGAAAAAAATGCAAGGACCTATAACAAAACACGAGCAAATTGTAAGGATCCAAAGTTATATTTTTCCTAAAAAACAAATTTAGAATTTTCAATGTTGCCAATGTTTGTCCAAAAATTGAAAAAAGTGACCAATGTCATCATGCACTTTATTCTTGCTAATTGAGCTGTAGTCTTTACTTTTGTTGACGGGCCTTAATGGTAGCACAGCAAGCTACTGGAGATTATATTATTTACACAGATTCTGATAGGGATCAATGTAGTGTGAAATGCTTGAATCCTACATTAAGTAGGGTGGGCTGCCCAATGGGATACTGATGTGGGGAGGTTCTCCATTCTACCATGGGCTTTTGGTTGAGGGCTGCACAACCCACCTAGATGCCTATTACTTGTTATCAGGTTGTTGGGGTACTGTCGTAGGGCAGTTCTCCATTACCACCTAGATGCCTATTACTTGTTATCAAAGTTGGTTGTTGGTGGCTGTGGAATATTTGAAGGATTTCTTACCGTTTTGTTTTGTAACTTCTCTTTTGTAATAAAAAATTCGGTCTATTGAAAAATAAGGGCGATAAAGTATAATTTTCAGTTTTTTCATCATTGTTTCACACCGTTGGTACAATTCCATTTACATATCTATATAGTGAAGCCTCTTGCAATAGAAATGGAATACCTTATAGTTTGGTTTGAATGTACTTTTGATTTCATTACCTTTTCTACTACTTTTACTTGACGAAATACAAGGTAGAGCTTTGGAAGAGGGTGAGAATACATTTGATGAATATTTCTTTTGTATGTACAGCTTTGGATCCCATGCAATCCTCAACGAAACCAAACACTTGAAGCTTTAGCCATGTTTCTGTGTTATATTCAACTTTGAAGCTGATATTGTTGTAATTTTTTTTTGGCAGGTGAAATCAAAACTTGGGATTATAAGTTCATATGCTGATGCAACAGACGGATTAATAACTCATGGCTGGATAGCAAAGATCGAAATGCATGGGTGTATTGTACGGTTTTACAATGGAGTTCAAGGATTTGTACCCAGGTTAGTTTGTTATTAATGAGATTTACAGATTCATTCCTTTATCCTGTCTATTATTATTATTATTATTATTATTATTATTATTATTATTTGAATGCCCTGTCTATCATTTTTTTTTATGTTTATGTTTGTCTACCTATGAGATTCCCTGAGTAGTGGACGCATCTTAATATTGTCCATTCTTTTTCATAACTAACTCATCACTTTTATGATGTTTTATTCATTTTCCATCACCCACTCGTTAGGTGTTTCTTTGAAGTAGGAAGTGTTTCTTTTTTGCCTGACATGATGCATAAGATATCATTAGACTGTTGGGGATAAGACTTATGCGGTGCTGGATTCTACTCTTTTTATTATTGTTGTTTTCCTTCTGGTTTTCGTCTCATACTTTCTTCAAGTGAGTGTCTTTGTTGGTTGTCCACAAGACTTGGAGATTTCTTTCTGGCAATTTTTTTTGATCTCTTGCAGTCTTGTTTCTTGGTTGAATCTCTTGTAAATTGCATGTTCTTCACCAATTTCAATACAGAAGTCATGTTTGTTTGGAGTATTCCACTAATCATTCATTCCTGCTAGCACGACTATTGCTGTTCAATTTGATACATGGTTTTATTTCCCTTATGTCACCATTCCAAGTTGATTTTGAAGTTGAAACAATTGTTGCTTATATGAAGAGGAATATAGAGATCATAATTATGGCTCACTCATGGCATCAGGGAAACTTTGATGTTCTTGATAATATTTTTATTGTATGCATGCTGGAATGTGCTTCTCATTAGTTTGCTTTCATTCAAGTGATGACAATGTTGTTGATAGTTTTATCTTCTCTCTTTGGCTGGAAGGTTTAACCATGTCTTGTGAGAGGAAAGCTTCACTTGCTATTTACTTTGGTTATGAAGTTCTTGCGTTCTTTTTGGTTGAATTTATGAGCACAGGAAGCTCAACAGTGCAGGCCTTTTTTGCCATATGTGCTTCCTCCCTTTTTTTGAATAGGCATCTTAAAAACTTTTAATGAAATCTGAATTGAGTCAGTGCGTTCTTATTGTGATTTGATTTAGAACTGTTATAGTGTTATTTTACTTTTGTTCGTTTGACTATCGTTTTTGATATTGGAACAGGTCTGAACTTGGTTTAGAGCCTGGAAGTGATCCCAGTTTGGTATATACTGTTGGCCAAGTTGTCAAATGTCGGGTAATCAGCTCCATTCCTGCTTCACGGAGGATCAACCTTAGTTTCATTATAAAGCCTACAAGGTCGGTCCCCCCTCCTTGAACTTTACCTTTTGATTTATGTAGTAGACTATAATTGAAATGTTTCTGATCCATTATGCGATTCATTTTCTATGAAATTTCCTGAACTCATGTGATGATTCAAATGTCAGGGCTTCCGAAGAGGATATGGTTAAGTTGGGTAGTCTTGTTTCAGGAGTTGTTGACAGAGTAACATCAGATGCTGTAGTTGTTTTTTGTAAACGCCATAGGCTTTTCAATGGGTAAAATATCTGTAGAGCACTTGGCAGATCATCATGGTATAAAATCCTATGCTTGATTAAGGGTTTCTCATTGCTTCTGCCTCAATTGAATGATGAACATAGCTACTTTTCATGCAGGGCAAGCTATTTTAATGAAGTCAGTCTTGAAACCAGGATATAATTTTGATCAACTACTTGTTTTAGGTAAATTCAACAATCCTAATCATTTCCGTGAAATTGCTGCTTGCACTTATTGAAGGGGACAATAATGTCAATTAATTATTGAAGTAGATAGAGTAATGTTTAACCGCCCATCTCTATCCTAACAGCAATAACAGTATACTCATGCACTTTCTTGTTCTCTGACATGACCCTGCAATTTTAATTGGTATAATACACCTCAAACCTGACATATTGGCAAGATTGTTAGAGGCATGCTTTTGGATATCACTTTCCTTTTTGAGGTTTGCAACTGCTTTGGCCTTACTATGTAGATTGGGTGGATGAAGGAAAAAGAGAGAGTGCATGAGTGGAGCAGCAAGACTGCTTTTTGGATGAAAGAAAATGAGAGGAAGCTTTTTAGTTTTAGAGCAGGGTTAGATAGGGTGGAGAAGTTTTGCTTTTGCTGGCAACCGGCGCGTAGTTAAATTTTAGGGAGAGATGGACAATAGGAGCATAGGATGCTAATATTATATTGTTCTTTTAAGTGTCTTGCTCTGAGTGGAATTGTTTCTTTTGTGCAGTCGCTGGCCAAGTTTAATGGAGCCTGAGTTCATTTTTAGCTCATGGCTTTGCGATTTTTTCAGCCCGATATTTAATTCTGATAACATATATCAACAAAATTTTCATTATTTTGTTGAAGTTGTATTCTCATGAATGCAGATATTAAGAGCAGCAATTTGGATGTGTCTATCAAAATTTTGCTTATAATCAAATTCGTTCTGTCTGTCCATGTTTATTGGTTAATTATATTATAATAATGCTGCTTGCTCCTGCCACTCAAAAATAGCAAGTTTTTAATATGCAGATTTTTGTGAATGAGAGAGACAGAGAGGAGGCTTTTTTGTTTTAAGAACAGGAGGGGGTAGGATGGAAAAGTTTTGCTGTTGTTGGCAAGTTACATGTAGTCAAAATCTAGTGAGAGAACGACAATAGAAGCATATGATGCTAGTCTTTTATTCTGCTTCTAAGTATCTTACTTGAGTGGAATTTTGTTTCCTTTGGACATTTTTTTCCCAGAATTAATGGAGCCTTAGCTCATTATTAGTACATGGCATTATGGTTTTCTCAACCTAATATCTGTTGCTGATAACATATATGAACTGATTTTTTGATTATTAATTTGAAATTGTGTTCTCATGAATGCAGATATTAATAGCAACAATTTGGTTCTGTCTGCAAAAAGTTCGCTTATCAAATTTGCTCATCAGATTCCTGCAGATATCAGTCAGATTCATCCTAACTCGGTTGTGCATGTAAATATTCACTTTAAGCATATGCAAACTACTTCTTGTGTTTTCTATTGACAGATACATCATAATCTCTTTCCCCCTTTTCCTTTTGGATGTTTCTTGCTGTTAGTGACAATGTTGTTGAGGTTTTCTGCTTCAGCTGAATAAGTTCTTTGTGTGGAGCAGGGTTACATTTGTAACTTAATTGAGACAGGTTGCTTTGTCCGTTTCCTTGGTCGATTGACCGGTTTCTCTCCAATAAAAAAGGTGTTCTATATTTTATATTTCTTTATTCTCCCCTCCCTCTCCCCATTCCATCTTTTGTTAATCACTTATATGACTAGCCTGGATGTATTTTTGTTTTGTATAGGCAACTGATGACAAGAAAACCAACCTTTTGGAAGCCTACTACATTGGGCAATCTGTGCGCTGCAATGTTTTAGATGTTAGTATACTAGTTGAGGCTGGCAATTTGAAATTAACAACAAAATGGTATAATTTAATGTAAGACTTTATATATCTTCTTTTCAGATAAGTAGTGAGACTGGTAGAATGACACTATCTCTCAAGCAGTCGTCAAGTTCTTCAACAGATGCATCATTTATTCAAGACTACTTTCTTATGAAGGAAAAGGTACGAACAATGACTTTAATATAGTTGATCGTCTAGCCTCATATCCATGTTTTGATTCTCAAAACTAACTATGTATAGGTCCTATATCAGTAGCGCATGCACAGTGCATAACCTCTACCTTATTAGAATGAAACTTATCTGTGCTAGGTGTGTCTTCTTGTCTTTTTGCTGGCTTTTAAATTTTCCTGTAACAATTGATGCTCTAATAGTACTTCAGTCTAGACTGCTTAGTATAATGTTTTTTTAGTTCGATACATATTTCTTATTTAATACTGATTTTCTACCATGATTTTTTTTCTTCAGTCTTCTTTTTAGGAATTACAAGGACGCTTCATCTTCCCCTTTTTTCATTGTTATTGCTTACAAATTTTTCTTTGCTTTTCTTAATCCAGATTGCTAAGTTGCAGTGCTTGGGCTCTGGTGGCTCTGATTTAGATTGGGATGAAGGATTTAGCATTGGAGCAATAGTTGATGGGAAAGTTGATGATGTTAAGGAAGTGGGAGTTGTTCTAAATTTTGAAAAGTATAATGATGTTTTTGGATTTATCACGAACTATCAGTGTGAGTTTTCTCTCTTTATTTTATTACTAGGTGTCCTGGATTCATGAACAAATATTGCAAGCGCTAAGTCTAATTGAAATTCTATCTTTCAGTAGCTGGAGCTGTGTTAGAAAAAGGCTCTGCTGTGAAAGCGATGGTTCTAGATGTTTCCAAGGAAGAACGCCTCGTTGATTTATCTCTAAGACCTGAGTTAATGAAAGGATCTAGAGAAGGGAGTTCCCAAAAGCTTGCTCACAAAAAGGTTGAGTCTCTTGTTTCACATTGCATGTCACATATTTTTCCTGCATGGCAGAGACCTAAAGAGTGGAATAAAATAATTCACACAAATATCATGCTGTTGAGCTTCTTTTAAGAAGAAAAGTAACAAAAAGGTTGAATCTCTTTTCTTGTTTCACATTACATATTGCATATTTTCCTTACATGACAGACATAATCCCTTTGGTCCTATTTGTAGGATACTTTCTAGAAGTAATTTTTGGTTTAAAATGTAGGGACACCTTTTAATATTTAAACCACTTGTTGCAATTTTACCTTTTTTTGATTAATGTGAAGGTCTTTAATGTAGTTGTATTATTATTAAAAGTTAAAGGTAAAAAGAAAGTAAATTTCATTTTTTTTTTTACGATATCAAGGGAAAAACTAATTTTTTTTAAGATGTGTGAAATAGTTGAAAGTGTCTTACAATGAGCATCGGAGGAAGTACCTGTGTAAAATAATTTACACGAATAGCATTTTTTTGGCATTGGTTTGAAATTTGGATCTTTCTTTCTTCCTCATTCATTTTACTTGTTATTTTTGCCCTCTTCTCTGTAAATTTCCTTGCATTCCATTTGGAATTTTGCGTGCCAAGGTATACTAAATTTATTTTTGTTGTTCATTCTTGTCCTATTTTGATCAAATCAATGCCATGCCACTGTTCTAGAAACGGAGAAGAGAAGCAATTAAGGGCTTGTTGGCTCATCAGACAGTGAATGCAGTAGTAGAAATTGTGAAGGAGAACTACTTGGCAAGTGTTTCAGTACCAATGTTCAATGTTGTCACTAGAATAGAATTTGCTTTTGTATATCCTCATATTTTACTGAATTCATTGTGTGTAAAGCAGGTTTTATCTATTCCAGAGCATAATTATTCTATAGGATATGCATCGTTATCTGACTACAATACTCAAAAGTTTCCTCAGAAGCAGTTCTTAAATGGACAAAGGTGAATAAGAATTGACTAATTAATACTCTCTCTTTCTACTCTGCTTGTCATATTTCAATGCCATTGATTTACTGCTGCTGCTCCTACTATTACTAGCACTTCTATTATTTCATTTTTGGCATAAGCTTTCTTTTCCTATGATGTGCTTGCCTTTTGGATTCTGCTTCTCAAATCTCTTGGCTTGGTGGAAAATGTGCTTTTGTGTCAACGTTAAGATTTCCTTTGCTTCCTCTTCTTTTCCATATCTTAAGCATGTGACATCTGCCTTCAAATGTGCATCACACAAACTCATTTTCTGTTGCTTCTTTGATGAGTTGCATTCTTTGATAGCACAGAAGGTTGGCTACAATTCCTGATTTTTGAATTAGTTGTGAGTGGCAGTTGTAGGAACATTTTAATTATGAAGTTGGAGGTTGATGGTACACTGGGCATGTAAGGATCCCAGAACTTCTGCTAATGAGATCACTTACTTTTATAAACATTTTTTATTGGAAAGTGGATTGCAAATTTTCCTGTTCACTTTCTCTGGCATATAGTAACTAAATTAAGTATGACCTCTGTAGAATGATTGGGGACAGTAGAGTAGTATTACATACTCCCTTTGATCTTTATTGTAAGACACCTTCAACCGTTTCACGCATATTAAGAAAAACTAGTTTTTTTCTTGATTTCATAAAATAATGAGATGTACTTTTTTTTTTTATCTTGAATTTTAATAATGATACAGCTACATAAATACCTTCACGTTAATCAAAAAGGGTAAAATTGGATTAACCTGCATTTTGGACCCAAAAATTACTTTTAAAAGGTGTCTTACAAATAGGACTAGAGGGAGTATGTTGTCTTAGGACTGTGTTTTTCTTTGAGGACAATATAAACTACAAGTTTGAACGGTTCTTAGATTTTATTGGATAGATTTTGTTACTAGGCCATGCTTCTTTATTGGTCGGCTCATTTTGTCTTTATGAAGATCATAAACATAGTTTTGTCAGCTGAAGCTTTTATACCTGGAGTTTTTGTGTATGTCGTGAATATCAACTACCAAAGATACTTCAGACCCGTGCAACTAGATAATTTTCCTGCGCTTCCACTGCTGGACTTTTTGCATAAGTTTTGTCATATAATGTATTTTTGTGTCTAATCATCCTCTAAAAGTTGTGATTTTTTCCTCTAGAAGTTATGGTTTTGTTTGGTTCCCATTGCTTGACTTTCAGAGTTCAGAATCAACGAGTTTGTTGGCATTTCACGTTGCGTGGAAAAATCAGGGTCGGGAATTTTATGCATCTAAATGATAGAGGTTGGGTTGTGGAATTGAAGTTATGAAGTGATTATAATAATGCGTGGTTTTGGCTATGTCTGTGTTTAATTTTTATATGATTTCTTCCCCACATCTTTGGATGCATTAAATGCATGTGCATCAATTTGTTGGCCTTGTCTTCATGATATTTACAGTATTTGTCCACTGCTGGAGGATAACTTGTAATCCTGAAATGTCATCTACTCACTCCTTTTTGAAGTAGTCTCATTTTTAGTATAGTTACCTCCATGAGCCTGCAGACATTTTCCCCCTAATAAATCATGTGCTTAGTTTGTTTATAATTGATTGGTGATGCTTCGTACAAGAGCTTATACTTAAAATGGTTTACTTGGTCTCAGTGTCATTGCAATTGTGATGGTCTTCCAAGCCTAGAAACTTCAGGAAGGTGGCTTTTGCTTCTCAGTGAGGTCAATGGAGCTCCTAGTTCTAAAAGAGCCAAGAAGTCTAGTTATAAAAAGTTGGATCTCTGGTTCAGGCAGAGGTAATTAAATCTATTTTATTTCAACTGTGTGTGTGTGGTTTAGTGTCTTTTGATGCATGAGGAGGGTTTCTCATAGCATATTGACTCGTAAAGATATTTGGAACCTGATGAGCTCAATGTTTTTATTGCTGATTTTTTGTTGGTTGCAATGTTTGATACACTGACCCCCCAGAGGGGGATATGAAAGTGTCATAATGATCAGAAGAAGAATAGAATAGAAGAGATGCGAAAGAATGAGAATTTCATTCACTAACCGCATCAATGCCCCTCTGTTGTGTAATGTTTATTAGGAGTTAGTTTAGATTCCTTACCAGCTTGGCTGAGCTGCTAGCAGACTTACATGCTGTATTAACTTGCCCATCTCTGATACTTCTATCACATGATTTTTCTTTTTGAATAACTTCTGTTGTACAGATCACAGAAATCAAGCCTCTTGAGCTGAAACTGAAGTTTGGAGTTGCTCTACGTGGTAGGGTTCACATAACGGAGGGAATTTTTATTTTTATATCTGATATGTAAACTATTTTAATATGCCATATGTATGCAAATTGATATTTTATTTGCTGGTTTTCTACCTCTGCAGGTGCATGATATAAAATGTTTTGGAAAACCCTGTTGCTAGCTATAAAATTGGGCAAACAGTGACAGCAAGGATTGTTGCAAACGTAATGAATCTGACAAACCATAGGAAGGCCTTGCTGTGGGAACTGTCGGTCAGACCTAAAAGGCTTGCAGGTTTGTTTTTATGATTACTTTCTACTTGTTCAAATTTTTTACTTCAACAGCTCTCTCTTACCTGAAAGCCATTATGGTGATTTATAGTAATATTTTATGTTATATGGAACTAATTTTTAAGTGACTTAATTCATTATTTTCAACTTCCAGGTACCAGTGATATGGTAGACACTATTAGTGAAAATTTTGAATTCTCAAAACTGGGCAATGTGTCACTGGTTATGTATATAAAGTGGAAAGTGAATGGATCTGGTTAACAGTATCTCGAAGTGTGAGGGCCCAGCTTTATATACTTGACAGTTCTTGTGAACCCAATGAGCTTGAGGATTTCCAGAATCGATTTTATGTGGGACAACCTGTTTCTGGTTATATTCTGAGTATCAACAAGGAGAAGAAGTTGTTGCGGTTGATTTACGACCCTTTCCTACTCTACATCAAAGAACTGGTAATGACATGACAATCAAATAGATGATCGACAAGCAGATGTTCCGAATGAGGATATTACAGCTTACATTCATGAAGGAGATGTTTTGGGTGAAAGAATTTCTAAAATTATTCCAGGTGTTGGTGGATTGCTTGTCCAAGTTGGTCCTCATACATATGGAAGAGTACACTTTACTGAACTTGCAGAAACATGGGTGCCTGACCCATTGTCTGGATATCACATAGGACAGTTTGTCAAATCTGTGGTTCTTGAAGTCAGCCACTCTGTCAAGGGTACTGTTCATGTTGACTTGTCATTTCGGTCTTCAGATCAGATGCTTTCTCAGAATGCCAAAGAAATACTAAAACATTGAGTAAGTACTTGGACTTAGAGAAAGAATGAAGCTGTGAACTTTGATCTGTTAATAATTTATTTGATATTGCCTATAGTATACTTTGTACAATTATAGGTAGTTATATATGACTGTTATTAATTGGAAAGGCTTAGTATACTTATAATACTTCGATGCAAGTACCTAGTATGTGAGTATCACTTTGGTTCAATGAAGGGGAGGAGAGGGATTTTAATAATATCTTGTGGGTTTTTTGAATACTTTTTCTCAATTGTATTCATCTCAATGGAGGAGGAGAAATATATACAGCAAAATACAATCAGCCCATTAACTTAGGCCAAAAAATAAGGGATACAAAAGAAGAAAAAAAGGAAAACAAATAGATGACTAATGTATCCTATTTAATTCTAATATTTATAGAATACTATTATAATTATTGCCAATTCCTACGCTCCCACTTAAGTTGGATCATAAATGTTAATCATGTCCAACTTGCCAACAAAACTTGAATTTATCTTGAGGTAGTCCTTTGGTGAGAATATTTGCTGTTTGTTCCTTGGAAGGAACATAGGTAATACTAATTATGCCATCATCAATCTTTTCTCTTATGAAGTTCTAATCAATTTTAACATATTTAGTTCTATCATGTTGACCGGGGTTATGAGAGATGTTAATAGCAGCCATGTTGTCTGAGTGAAGCCTGATAGGTTGGCTCACACTCTTCTTCAACTCTTCAAGCACTCGCTTCAGCCATATACCTTGACATATTCCAAACGCAACTTCTCTAAATTCAGCCTCCACACTACTCCTTGCTACTACACTTTGTTTCTTACTTCTCTATGTGACTAGATTGCCCCAGACAAATGTATAGTATCTAGAAGTGGATTTTCTATCCTCCTGATCACCTGCCCAGTCTGCATCTGTAAAAATTTCCACATTTCGTTTTTAGACTTCTTGAATAAAAGCCCACGACTTGGAGATCCTTTCAAGTATTTGAGAATCTGGTACACTTCATTCAAGTGTTTTTGTTTTGGATCATGAGAGTGCTGGCTGACCACACTAACTGCAAAGGAACAATATCGGTTGGGTGTGAGATAAATATATTAACTTTTGAACCATGTGTTGATATCACCCTATGTCTACTACTGACTTGCAAGTCCTTTTCATCACTATTTTTTTCCACTCTAATAGGAGTGTCACTAGGTTTGTATCCTAACATGCCAATCTCCTTTAGGAGATCTAAAATGTACTTCTTTTGAGAGATGTAAATCCCTTTCTTTGACCAAGCAACCTCTATCCCAAGAAAATATCTCAGCTTCCTGAGATCTTTTATTTTGAATTCTTGAGGAAGAGCGGCCTTGATATGTTCAATCTCCTCTAGGTTGTCTCTTGTAAGTACTATGTCATAAACATAAACTGCTAAAAACAGTTACCTTACCATTTTGATGTTTAAAGAACATGTGATCACTTGGTCCCTGAGCGTATTCCTGTTTTTTTCAAGACGCGTGTGAACTTTCAAACCATGCCCGAAGAGATTGTTTCAGCCCATATAGTGATTTCTTCAACTTGCACACTTGATTCGGTTTCCTAGGGAACACCGGAGGCAATTTCATGTAAACCTCTTCCTCGAGTTCTCCATTGAGGAGGGCATTCTTCACATCCAACTGGTGTATGAGGCCAATCCAGATTGGCTGCTAGAGGCAATAGGATTCTCACTGTATTGAGCTTAGCTACCAGGGTAAAGGTCTTAGTGTAGCCTGTCCCATAGACTTGAGAACCCCTTGGGCCACAAGTCTAGCCTTGTATTTATCAAGACTCCCATCTACATTGTATTTTGGAGTAAACACCCATTTACAACTGACTAGTTTTCTTCCTTTAGGAAGATCACCAATGACCCAGGTGTCATTCCTTTCTAGGGCCTCCATTTCCTCTATCACTGCTTATTGCCACTCAAGTACAGACATAGCCTCATCTATATTGCTTTTTACCCAGACACTATCAAGGTGAATAATAAAAGCACAATACTTTGAGGAGAGGGCTTGATAGGAAACAAACCTTTCTGTAGGATGTCATGTGCAAGATCTAGGTTTCTTCCTTATCGCAATAGGAAGATCCAATTTGTCTGCCACATCTCCTTCTTGCCCAATCATCTTCCCACCGCTATCTATATTTGCTCCATTCTCCATTGGATCTACTGCTGGTTTAGATTCTTGGTGAGTACTAGGAGCCTTGGACATATTACCTGTCTTATGTTTCCGAGTATAGACCTTGATAGATGGCTCAATGACTCCCCCTGGATTAGATTTTTCTGTGGAGCTAGTTTCATTATGAGGAGTTATAGACTCATTCGCAATGTTCATAATATGCTCAGGTTCAAATGTAGATGGTTCAAGTTTAGGGATCACATTATTAAGGATGATAGTGGTCTGAAATTCATGCCAACTCTCCCCCTAAATTGAAGACGAGGTGTAGTACGGGACATGTTCATGGAAGGTACATCACATGTGACATGAAGACATTTGGTAGTGGGATCAAAGCATTTGTATCCCTTTTGAGAGGCAAAGTAGCCAAGAAATATGCAGCGAACGGCCTTAGGGTCAAGTTTAGTCCCATGATAAAGATGAACATATGTTGTGCAACCAAAGACTCTCAAGGGTAAAGTATTCTCAAGGTAAGGAAGAGTATAGGTAGAGTGAAGAACTTGTAAAGGAGTTTTGGAGTACAAGGTTTTGCTAGGCAAGTGATTGATAAGAAAAATAGCTGTAAGAATAGCATCATCCAATAGTACTTTGGGACGTTATTGCTGAACATGAGAGCATGTGCAGTTTCAAGAATGTGCCTATTTTTTCGTTTGCAATTCCATTTGTTGTGCACTGTGAAGGCAGTTGCTTTAACGGATGATGCCATGACTAGCGAGAAAATTTGATGGGGATTTGTTGAAGTACTCAGTACCATTGTCAATATGGAGAATTTTAATGTTCGTTTGAAATTGAGTTTGGATCATGTGATAAAAATCAATGAAAGTTTGGTAAACATCAGTTTTATCTTTCAGTAAGAACACCTAACTTACAAGTGTGTGATCGTCAATGAAGGTTATGAATCATTTGGAGTGTGTTTGGTTGGGAGTGCGAGAGGGGCTCTACAAGTCACTGTGTATGACATTAAAGGTTAGGATGCATGGTACTCAGGCGAGGAAAGGATGCTTTATGATGTTTGGCAAGTTCACAAGATTTGCAATGAAATTGTGAGCAGTCTTTATTTGAACAAATTGAAGGAAACATTTGAGACATAGAATGAAAATTAGGATGTCCTAAGCGTTTGTGCCATAACTCCAATTCACTAGTCTTAGGGAGGGACATTTTATTACAAGTTCTATGTCCTATGCTAGCATAGCATCTTTCTTCTCAAGCTAATTGACTTACTGATAGTAAACTACACTTCAAATTTGGAACATAAAGCACATTATTGAGTGTGAGTGGGTGACAACTTAATACTACTAGTACCAACGACCACAGAGTCAGTAGCATCCGCAATGGTTATAGTAATTCTTTTATTACAAGTAGTATAAGAGGTAAATAATGTAATGTCATTAGTCATGTAATTGGAAGCACCAGAATCAACAATCCAACAATGTCCAGAACTCATACCTTTAATAATGGCCAGTGCCTTTGAAAATTACCTCTCTTACCTCTCTTACAACTAGTGAGCAGCATTGCTAGTGACGTGGTTGTTGATTGCCCTATAGTGCTGTTAGCATCTCCACTAGTTTACTAATTTGATTGTCTTGTAGTGAATTTGTTGGACTTGGTTCCTCATTTTTGGATGCTTCAGCAAAATATCCTTGACCTTTGCCTCTCTTAGGCTTCTAGTTTGGTAGTTTACCATGAAGGTCCCAGCAAGTGTCTTTGGTGTGGCCTATTTTCTTGCAATGTTCACAGATTGGTATCCCTTTGTTATTTTTCTGATCTATGACACGAACAGTAAGTGTAGATGACTCAGTTGTATTTGTCTAAGGAAAAGAATCATCTTTCAGCATCACTTTACATCTTGAAGCTTCCCTTCTAACAATAGCGAATGCTTCACGGACTGAAGGTAAGGGTTTCAGACTTAGATTCGACCACTCACAATCATCAAGATTAGAATTTAGACCTGCAAGAATTCGAACAAGCATTCTATCTCCACTCACTTGTGAAATTGAATAGCATCATCAGCACATCTCCACTCTTCATCAGTATTCAAATCAAGTTCTTGCCAGAGAGATACCTTCTCGGGATAGTAGTCACTTAGACTTTATGACTGCTGTTTCAACTCCTAAAGCGTTGTTTTGATTTCAAACCCTTGTGATGCATTTTCCCTATCGGAGCAAGCTTCACAAATGGTGTCCCTTATTTCATGAGCTGTGGGAAGGAACATAAAGCTCTTCTTGATCATAGGAAGCATGGTGTTAACGAGCCAAGATGAAACCATGGAGGTTTATAATTTCTAGAGTTTCATGGTTGTCAGATTTTTTGAATCTGGTATTGAGAATTCACCAAGATGTACCCAAGTTTACCTCGACCTTCAATCGCTAGCTTCATTGACTAGGCCTATTCACATTAGTTTTCTCCATTGAGTTTCTCAAGTATAATCGTTTGGCTCAAGACTATCAAACCTTCAAGAGTGGACGCTGTGACTTGGCGCAAAGCAAACTTGGGCGATTCCTTTGATTCCAGACGTGGTGTCTCCATCATGCTGGAAGAAGGTCTTAGAGTTGCAGCAGCTGACGGAAGATGAGGCCACCGATTCGAAGTCACTCACTGATTCAGCATCGCAGCTTTTTCAAACCATAGCTCTGATGCCATGTGGGTTTTTTGAATACTTTTCTCAATCGTATTCATCTCAATGGAGGAGGAGAAATATATACAGCAAAGTACAATCAGGCCCATTAACTTAGAGGCTGAAAAATCAGGGATACAAAAGAAGAAAAAAGGAAACAAATAAATGACGAATCTGCCCTATTTAATTCTAATATTTACATAATATTATTATAATTATTGCCAAATTCCTACATATCTTGTTTGGTTCAAGGGAAGATAGTTAAAATGCTTCCTCTCCTCCAAAATCCCCCAACTTAGAGGGTAGGGGCTCCCCTCCCTTTCAAATTTCTTATCCAAATGAGAAGGGAGCCCCCTTCCTCAAATTTGTTCTTACATAGGGAGCCCCCCTCCTTAAATTTGTTCTTACAAGTCACTTTCATTTAAGGGCCTTTGGATAGACACATTTAGAAAGACTCATTTAGCCCTTTTTAAAAGAAAAAATTAATATTTACAAGTGGATTGTTCTTTTTGTTGGCATCAGAGTCTGACAGACCCAACTGAAAACGGGCAAAAATTATAATGTTGATTCAACTTGCATTACCCATGACATATGTGGTTATATCCTGTTGGGAGCTATACCAAGTGCAGCTTTCTGTTTACAATGTCTATCTATCAGTCTTCAAAATACTGCGCTGTAAGGGTTTAACATGTGGCTCTTCATTGCTTAAATTCTGATTAGTTCATCTTGTTAAAATATATAGATGATTTGTTGTGGTCTAAGGGTGAAAATATGTTGAAATTGTGTGATTTTAGATGCTTTAATATTCTCCGATCTTAATGAAAGTGAAAATCATTATGGTTGTTTCTTGTTTTTCCAGGTCTACTGGTAGCAAACATGTTGAGAAGATTGAGGATCTTCATCCTGATATGGTGGTACAGGTGCTGGATAATTCTTGTTCTTCTATCTCTTAAATAGCATTTTTTAGTGCACTTTCGTCTTTTCTTTAGTTTATAGTAGTTTCTTTAATGTTATGTCCATTGACAAGTATATATCGTGAAATCTTAAGTTGTTGATATCACATTGACCGTTAGACTAATTGAATTTTGATGAAACCTCTATAACACTCAGAATCTCAGTTTTATTTGTGTATAATAGCTAAGTTTTTTTCCAAACAGACTGAGGGGTGGAGATGCTCACCTTAGTTTATCTCAAAGAAACAAAAATAAATAAGAAAATAAGATAGTCCCTCTCTGGTTCAAGAGGCTAGAAAGTCTCCCGCCAAAATCTTGCTTGCCTCCTGGTACTGCTAGCCAACATCGTCCACAATGGCCTTGCTCTCCTTGCCAGTCTCACACCCAAGGAATCTGTAGTTACCACTATTTTTGTCCTCCTCTCCTGCCACCTCATCATCTGATATAGATTTGGGCTCCCTGCTTCCAGGCCCATTTTGTCCATCTCTCTTTCTCCTACTAAAACCAAACTGTCAGCTTCAGGTCCTTCACATGCACATCTTTATTTCTCTCGAGTTTCCCTTTGAAGAGAGATTGAGAGCTATTTGGCGATTGTGATCTTGTTTTCCTTTTGAGTGAGCTACACTAAGCTCCCTTAATTTCCCCCTTTATTAAGAAGCTTCACATCAGGGTTGTTTTTTTTTTTTTAAATGTATCATCCCCTTGTGTAATCCCTCATTTGTCCTTTTAATGATAGTATTTCTTCTTTTCTTTTTTAATTAAAAAATGTCAAATACTACAGTTTGGCAATGGTTTCATTTAAAAATAAAAATCCTTATTGAGAAATCTATTTTATTCTATGTCTTGTGTTTGCATTAAGCTCACTAGAACAGGAGGTTCTATCATACTATCTAAAAACTATTTAAAATTTATTTCCTGTCTGCAGATTTTTTAAGAATCAGTCATTCAATGTGATTTCCCAGCTCTGTTTGGTTCAAAGTTCAGTCAACTTCTGTCGCTAAAATCAGTATTATATTATATTATATTTTTAGCTAACTTTAGCTTATTTAGTTCAAATTTCAAGAACCTAATATTGAATGTTGTTTGAACAAGGAGAAGCACTTTAGTTCCTATTTACAAAAATAAAAGGGATATTCAAAATTTTGCAAACTACTGAGGGATTAAACTTATGAGTCACACAAAGAAATTGAGCATAGGTTGAGATTGGATACTGGTATTTCTGAAAATCAATCCGGCTTCATGCCTGGTAAAGCAACTACAAAAGCGATTTATCTACTAAGAAGATTAATGGAAAAGTATCGATGCAAAGGTAAAGATTTACACATTGTTTTCGTTGATTTGAAAAAAGCTTACGAATGTATATCGAGAGAAGTACTTTGAAAAGCCTTGAAAAAGAAGGGAGTCCGAGTTATCTATATTAGAGCTATACCAGATATGTGTGAGGTGGCAACAACTAGTATATGAATGTTTGGCAGTGAAACAAATTACTTTCCTATAAAAATTAGACTACATCATGGATCATATTTGAGTTTTTATTTGTTTGACTTGGTCTTAGATGTATTGACTGAGTATTTACTTTTTGTGGATGATGTAGTTATTATTGTGGAGACGAGAGAAGAGATTAATTGCAAACTTGAGTTATGGATGAAAACATTAGAGTTGAAAAGTTTCTACTTGAGTAGGAGTAAGATGGAATATTTGCGTTGTAGTTTTGATAAGAGGCCAGTCAATAGTAATTTGGAAGTGAAATTGAGATATCAAATTATACCTTAAGTGAAAAGTTTAAATATTTGAGAGTTATTATTCAACATTATGGGAAAATTGATGGGGATGGTGTACATGGGACATAAGTTGGCTAGTTTAATTGGAAAAAAGTTAAAAGAAGTTATTTGTGATCAAAAAGTACCTAATAAATTTAAAAGGAAGTTTATTGAACTGCCACAAGGTCAACTGTGTTATATGGTAGTAAATGCTAGGTTTTAAAGAGATAGCAGGAGCATAAAATTGGAGTAGTATAGAAGAGAATGTTGAGATAGATGTGTGAGCATGCACGTAAAGATAAATCTAATATGCGTATATACAAGAAAAATTGGGTGTAGCATCTATTGAGGGGAAATTAGTAGAAAATTATTTGAGATGGTTTGAACATGTACAAAGAAGACTGCGGCAGACACCATTAAGTAGAGTGGAATGGATAGTTTTGAGTCCTGACTGAGACCTCTTAGTTAACATTCCTAAAACCTTAGTAAATGATAGAGCACAAGACATCATATAATTCATGTAGCTGAGTTCACCTAGTAGGATATGTGTTTTGTTCCATTTTTGCTTGTTTCCCCTTAAATATTGGGCCATCGAATTTAATTATGTTTTTCTTTGGCCATTCTAGGGTTATGTAAAAAATGTCTCTCCAAAAGGATGCTTCATTTTGCTCTCACGAAAGATTGATGCCAGGATTCTTCTGTCAAACCTATCTGATATATATATTAAAGATCCTGAAAATGAATTTCCTGTGGGAAAGCTTGTAACGGGAAGGTAAGTAATCAGCCTGTCTTATCCTCCTATTTTCTGACACAAGATGAATGGAGAAATGTACTTAGTCAATCTTTTGCAGGGTGTTATCTGTGGATCCTCTTTCAAATCATGTTGAAGTTACATTGAAGAAATCAGATGGTACCAGTCGAACCAATTCTGATATTGTTGATTTCAGTAAATTTCACGTGGGAGATATTATATCTGGCAGGGTTAAGCGAGTGGAGCCATATGGTCTATTCATTGCAATTGACAACACAAACATGGTACACTAAATCCACTTCCTTCAGTCATTTGTGGTCAATGTAATATAGTCTTATTTGTAAAATGAAATGAATAGTTGTATATTTTTGGCACTGTTTAACTTTCCAATTTTCACAACTTGATATCATCTTCTAATTTTATGACCTGTTGATCGCTCGATTTGGATGGTCAGCTCACAACTCCATCCAAACAATGTCTGATTATATTTTGTATTAAATTATATTCTGACAGGTATGGATTAAAGTGGTTGGATCATGTGATCTCATTTTACTGTGTTCTTTCGATTACCTAGGTTGGATTATGCCATGTATCAGAGATTTCTGATGATCATATTGACAAAATAGACACGAAGTTTAAAGCTGGAGAGAAAGTAAATGCACGAATATTGAAGGTAATTTGAGAACAGCAGCTTCAAAATTTCTAGGCTCTTTTTGGTCACCTTACTTTTGTTGTCAACTATGAATGCTTTAGTGTAATCAGGGGCAGAAGCATGGTATTCAGAATTCTTAGAATCATGTAGTGAAAAATCTGTAGCATTTACCAGAAATGAGGGAAAACCATTGAATATCGTTAATTGTTCAGGAGAAGAGTGTTGTATTTTGAAGTATATTCCTTAACATCTAAATTTACATTACTATCATCATAGTGAATGCATTATTATAATTGACTCCTTGTCAGACATTAGTTCTCCCCTTCTCTAAAAGGAGACTGATCTAATGGTTGTTTGGTTGATCTTTACATCTTTCACTCCATAATTAGATTCTGGAACATTTATAGAACTGCATACATTTCCTACAAACTTTAAGACTATTTATGATTATGATCGACATCCCCTTGGGTTATCTTACAACAGGTAGTTTCATTGCCTTATTAGTGGAGATTGTGGTGCTGATTATTTCTTGCAATTTCCTGACATGTATGACCAGGTAGATGAAGAAAGAAAACGGATTGCTTTGGGAATGAAGAATTCATACATGAGAGATGATTCTGCGCTTGAAGCTTCTTTAGAACAAGAATCGGATGCATGCTTTTCGGATAAACTAAAGTCTATTGCTCCAATGTATAGCAGTTTGCTTGACACTCAAATTATGAATATTGAAGATGAAAATAATCGGTGTCTGAATTTTTCACAAGCAGAAGCAAGGGCGTCCATTCTTCCTCTTGATGTTAATCTTGAGGACCTTGATCAGTTTGATGTAGATAACACTACTAGCCAAAATCATGCGAAAGAAGACACTATAGATGAAAAGGAAAAGAAGCGTGCAAAGAAAAAAGAAATCAGAGAGAGGTTGATACAGTTATCATAGTTACATGGTTTTTGCTCTGCTGAGCAGTGTTGATTTCTCTCCATTTGCTGTTTTCCTTTTCAATCTGTAATAATTAGCTCTGTAATCTACAGGGAGAAAGAAATAAGGGCTGCAGAGGAAAGACTGCTGGAAGAGGACATACCAAGGACTGCTGATGAATTTGAAAAGATGGTTAGAAGCTCTCCAAATAACAGTTTTATCTGGATAAAATACATGGATTTAATGATTTCCATGGCTGATATTGAGAAAGCCCGCTCAATTGCTGAGAGGTATTTCACAATTATTAGCCCATTTGTTAGCTATTCTGCAATTCAGTCTGATCCATACTTGCTAAATGATGATAGATGTTGTGCGGTTGCGTGTGAATTGTTTAACTACCTCAACAGTTTACATGCACCCCCACATTATCATACTAAATGCATCGTAAAATCCTATGGTTGAGTTTTGGTTTTGGATGTTTAAATTCTCATAAGACTCATTTGATTTCATAAATCTGGATTAAGATCCTTAACATTTTCTAATACTTGTAGTTGTCTATTTTGGTCAATTATTGAGCAGTGTGTGTATGTGTGGGATGTTCAATATTTAACTAAATGCAGTTTAAACATAAAAGGAAGGCCTGAATTTAATATATATCTATATATATGATTCAGTTTTTATCTAAATCAGGATATGTGATCTTCTGAAGATGTAAGGATCAACTTTTATTGCCTAGCCATGGTAGCAGAATAGAGGTTTCACATATTTCAGTGTCTCTTTGATACCCAATTTCTTTCTGTTTTCCTTGATTTCTAAGCTGTTTCTTTAGTGATTGTTAGCACATCTTAAATTCCAAATCACGGACACATTTTCTGTGTAATTGTAGCCAACTTTCTAGGCATGTAAACCCATACGCCTAAATTAAATGTTCCGAGTTTTTTAGACTATTCGCAATGTAACTTTTTTCACAGCTGATTATTCTAGCTAAACTAGCTATTTTAAAGTCCTTGGTACTAAATTTTCATTCAGAACAAATTAGTATATTATGTTAATGTATTCTCTTGTGGGCAAGATAAAATCTGCTGCATCGTCAAATCTATAAGATCTCTATCCAAGATGGGTTGTAGATTGCTGATAGGATAATAAAAAAACCTCTAGGCATGAATGCTATCCATCACCTGAACAGTAAAAATACTGACTTTGGTGCCGAGTCATATCTTACAAAGATAATCGTATCACGCAGAAAGACAAATAAGGGTGTAGGGTGTCATTCCGGGCTGATAAAAAGCTCCTGCATGATACTTGATCTGATTTATACTTCCCTTTGTCGTCAATATTAACGTTGGGATATTGTAATAGTGAGCAGATTGTAGTATCATCCGTCACTTGTTAGCTTTGTTTAGGGATAGAAGGCGGGTAGGTGGGGTTAGGAGGGTTGCCATATTCGGTAATCGTGATCTTGGAAATATGTTTCTAGCATGTTTTTTTCAAAGTCAGAAACTCATATACTTTCCTAGAGAAATAATGAGGTAGGAACATTACCTTTTTACCCCCCCACCAAAAAAAAAAACGAGAAGAAGAAGAAGAAAGGAAGAAAAAGCATTCCTCTTTATATTCTCGTCATTCATCTGTCTAAATATATTGTGTACTTTTCAAGGGCTTTGAGGACGATAAACATACGAGAAGAAAATGAGAAGCTCAATATCTGGAAGGCCTACTTGAATTTGGAAAATGAGTTTGGAAACCCTAAAGAGGTAATAGGGCGACAACAATTTTATGCAGTTGGTCGTTGATGTGGTCATGTGTATATCATTCAGTGAGTTTCTGTTTGTAGGAGGCCGTTATGAAAGTATTCCAAAGAGCTCTGCAGTATAATGATCCCAAAAAAGTCTATCTAGCTCTTCTGGGATTGTATGAGAGGACCGAGCAGCATCAGTTGGCTGATGAGCTTGTCAATAAAATGACAAAGAAGTTTAAGCATTCATGCAAGGTATTATGGGAGTTTTGAAATGCAAAATCCTATTCTTCATGGCCTTCAAATATGTGATATTCATGTGAAGTCATGACATGGTTTGGGTTTTAGATTTGGTTGAGGCTTGTACGAAGACTTCTGAAGCAAAACCAGGATGGAAATCAGTCTGCTGTCAATCGTGCTTTGTTGAGCCTTCCCCGACATAAGCATATTAAGTTCATCTCTCAGACAGCAATTCTTGAATTTAGAGCTGGGGTACCTGATAGGGGACGATCCATGTTTGAAGGAATATTACGTGAATACCCAAAGAGAACAGACTTGTGGAGTGTTTATCTTGATCAGGTCAAATCCTTTCTAACGACATCATCTTCTCTCTATACCAGCATATGATTATGTATTATAAACTATGTGTTCTCGTGTACGTGGCAGGAAATTCAACTAAAAGATTCGGATGTAATCCGTGCATTGTTTGAGAGGGCAATTAGTCTGAGCCTCCCACCTAAAAAGATGAAAGTGTGTACATTTCATATATCCAAATTTTGCTGATGGCCCTTTTTTTGTTTGATTTCCCTGTCATCCTTACTGGGTAGTTTTTTGTCTTAATTTGCAGTTCTTGTTCAAAAAGTATCTGGAGTACGAGAAGTCCCAAGGTGACGAGGAACGGATTGAATATGTGAAAAAGAAAGCAATGGAATACGTCGAGAGCGCCATGGGCTGATGCAAAATTGATCGTTTTGTGGTGCATGATTGTCAGCAATAGTAAAAAATACCAGAAGCGGCTGTTGCCTGGTATGATTATTGGCTTATTCCACTGCTCCTGCATTATACTGCTAACCCGCTATCTACAGCATAGGCTTACTGCATCGACGAGAGCTTGTGGGATCCCTGAATGCATCAAACGTGCCCTCTGCTGGGAAAACGATGGGATGGGCAAATTTTTGGCTGAAATTGAGGATTACATTAGGAGCCAGGCTTCTATATCCATTTCTTCTCAATTGTACGATACTAGCGCTATGTACGTTTTGTCCAAATGTGTGATATTCTCTTCAGTTTAATGGTATTAGCCATCTTATATTACTTTTTAACTCATTTAAGATTTTTTTAAATCCTCCCTTTTCTCTAAACAACCAACTGGTCGAATGTATTTTGATCCATAGATTTCAATTTATAGAGATCTAAGATTAGAATGGGTCTTCTATATCTGCATGAAATCCAATGAGTTAGATTATTAATGATTTCTGAACAATGCAACTTTCCACAACTTGAGCAGTGGTGGTTTTTGCATCTTTAGTAAATAGTTAGAAGTCTGATTATCAACTTTTGCATATGAAGCAAACTTGGATTGAAAGGTTCTCAATGATCAAAGAGAGATTATCAACTTTTGCATATGAAGCAAACTTGGATTGAAAGGTTTTCAATGATCAAAGAGAGATTATCAACTTTTGCATATGAAGCAAACTTGGATTGAACGGTTGTCAATGATCAAAGAGGGATTTGGCTGTGCTATCAGCGAAAGTTCCTTTTCCTTACCAAAAAGGAAAAAGGAAAGAAAAAGAAATAAGAACATATTTCAAAGTATTGCTCTCTATGGTGACTTGAACTTTTTAGTAATAGGTCGAAGTTTATGAAAATGTTGTTTCTTAAAATGCATACATGATTTTAGACCTGTAGAAAATGTTTGAGATACGGTGGACGAGTGACGGGAGAATTTGTGGGAATAAGGTGCAGAAGTAGAGGAACAGCTTTAAAAAAAAAAAAACAGTAAACTTGAAGTTGCGATTGAGAATAACAACTGGCCACCTTTTCTGTTTTTAAGAGATATGACGATCACCCAATTGACACAGATTTCTTGAGAACTTCCAACAACAAAGAGTGAGCTGTGAGCTGAGGAAGATGACGTTCTGTTTTGAGAATCCGAAGCATGGAATGAGTGCCCAGCTTTCTTTTCATGTACAGCGCAACATATTTTGGAACAATATTGTCCTTTCTAAGACTGAATGATTGTGCAAGGCACCAGAACTCGTGGCAGAACCCATCTTAGGTCATTCAAAAACAGTTCTAGCAACACTTGGTGCCACTTCTGGTTTCATTCTCCCCAGACTGCACTCAAACCGAGCAATAGCATTCGTGTCGTTCACCCCCACAGCAATTGGAGCAAAGCTGTGGGCCCAACTTGAAAAATTTTGCTTCATTGATTCAAATATCGTGTCAAGTTCTGATCTTTGAAAACCCCCCTTCATGTCTTTTTGTATTGAGGTACCTACAGAGAATCTGAAGTTGCAGGGCAATATAACAGTGATAAAAAAGAAGAGTAGTAATAACATCAAGTTTGATTGATCACCTTGGAGAACCACCGAGTAGTATGAGATGTTGAAAGAGCTGTGGATTCTTCGTCGCAGCTAAGCATCCAATCATGGCAGACATGGAATGAGCAATGTATACAGTGTTGTTGAAGTTTAGGTGATGAAGAAGGGCCAGCAAGTCTTGAGCATAACCATTGAGAGTTGCATATTTGGTGGGATCATAAACGCGAGAATTGAGATTTGGTGAGAAAGCCGAGTCGAAGACCAGAATCTTGAAGTAGCATGCAAGGTAGGGAATAAGGTGGTGCCGTATGGTCTGGTCTGTGCCATATCCGTGAGCCAGAACCAAGGTTTGTGTTCCATTTCCCTACATTTTAGCATTCAGGATTCAACTATGCTTCCTCCTCCTTGATCCCAGTGTTGCCATCTTCTTTCTTGACGTAACGGTTAACAAAAATGATCTTAAAGTACTCGAAATAATAACTAGAGGTGTAGAGTTTATGTAGTAGTGCATTCTGCTCATTTAACAAAAAATGGTTTTAAATAAAAACACCCCTTTTTTTGAATGAAAATGACTCATCTATCAAAACAGATGAGAACAAAACTGTAGCAAGTACTCCATTTTAGAAGGATGACCTATTTTTATCGAGACATTTTTTTTATTTATTAAAATAAAGATTTGCAAAACGGCTAAGATAAGCATAACGAATAGGCCATTATCGTGTTTTTTTTTTTATACATACCATTGTGTGTATGTACATACAGTACATATAACAATAGCTGAAAAGTGAATGAGAGAATACAAAAGAAAGAAAACCAATTTGTCAGGATAGGGCATGTCCTGATCGTCAGATCCCCAACTTGTTTTGCTTGAATTAGTAAGCAGTTACAGTAACGTTTAATACTCTGAAACGGAATCTCAAACATGATTCTTTTAAATATACACGTCGTTCCACAAGACTTGGAAGTTGGAACGTAGCATCTACATTATCACCCCAATAAGAACACTTGAGAAACTCTTGCTGGAACTTGCGATTTTTTACAGTTTTGTTATTTACTCCCTTTAATTTTATTTATAAGTTACTTTCAACACATTTCACCAGAATTAATAGAAACTTTAAACTTCATTCATTTTGTTTTAAAACTTAATAAATTTTCACTTCTACCTCTTAATAAAGACAAAAGGAGCCATTTTTAATAAATCTCCTTAACATTTAATAAGAGCAGAAAGATAAAATGAATATAAAAAATAATGAAGTGTCATATAAATAATATCAAAATTAATATTTTCTTTCTGTCCTGTAAATAGAAGTAAAGGAGTAAGTTTATAATAAAAAAATAACAGGTGAATATTATTGATAGTTTATTATTACATACTATGATTTTTTGCTGAGAATATCTTATTTTAGATTCATCGAGTTTTATTCTTAAAATGTGTGTTGCATGTATTATTTAACTTGTTATGAATGCAATCAACTACTTCGCCAGCTTTGCGTTTCATCAATAAATGTTTTGCCAACTTTTTATACCTACTCTATCAGCTGCCAAGAACATGATTATGAATTCAATCTTTCTCTCCTGTTCAATCATGAAGCAAGATTTATATTGTTTATCACCCTTAAAATTTGAGCCAGTAAAATTTGTGAAGTTATTTGCAAAATAACTCCTCCCATTTCTTCACTTCTAATTATTTTACTGAAATTGAGAAGAGATGATTAATTCAATAATTTTTTTAAATTAAAATTTTTAAAATTTGCCCTTTTTATGAACATAAAGAAACATTACATTAGACATTAAATATCTTTCTAGGAAGTTTCAACAGGATGATTCAAGAAAATTTTAATAATAACCCACTAATTGACTCATCTATAAAACCATCAATTCTTTTTAAAAAATCGCCTTGTATAAGAAATAAAAAAAATACCATTACTTAATTATTTATTGAGAGAGGGGGGACTGAACGAGACCATATAAGAGAAGTTGATCTCCTCTAAGTTTTGAAAAAAGCATTCCAAATCCATGCTTTTGGTATGTGATAGATTCAGCTTTTGTATTTGCTAGATTCCGCCTCAAGAGAAATGAAGTGCATTACTCATCATGTTATGTAGATATACAGAATTAGTTAAAAATTTGTGTGGGAGAGAGATCTGGAAGCTGGGAACTAAAAGTTTTGCTGTTTGAACTCCCAATAAAAGCAGTACGAATGCAATCAACAACTTTGCTGGCCCTGGTTTGTAACTCATACAATGCTTAGCCAACTTTTTGTATTCATGTTGTCACTTGGCAATAACAAACTAGAGCAAAAAGCATCCATGACAAATGCATTTAGTAGGTTATAGATTTAGCCATTTATGCCATTGCCTGATATATTTGGTACCAAGCATTTACTTACTTTTTTTCCCCCTATCCTCAATTGATTTGAGTTGTTTTGTTTACATCAAGCTTGTTGAATTTGGAAACCGACGCCTGATTTAGTTCATGACTGTAATCCTAATGTATATCTTTCAATTCTATTTATAAGGAGAGAGATTTTTTTTTTAATATCATACTGTATTTATGGGACATGTTATTAATTTTTTTTATCATATTTTTCTTCTTTTACCTCTCATTAAATATTGCTAAGAAAAAATGTTATTAAAATATATATAATTAACAAAGCTAAAGTTAAAAACTTATAAAAATTTTAAATAGAACTAAGAATGCTATAGTTTTTTTTTTGTTTCCAGTAAAAACGTTAAAAATAATTTATAAATAAGATCAGTTATTAGTAGCCACTCAGTTCAAGGAAGCTAACTTTTTATTGTATCCAACAACTAAATATAATTGCCCTCCCATTGAACTTATTGAAACAAATCCTGCAATTGATGACAATGATGATGCTTCTCTGATTTCTTTATTTTTGGGAAACGAGAATGTTATTAAAATTAATCTTCTAAAACATCATGAACACCACTTTAACACGCTTTGAAAGATTGGCTGAATGTAACATCATCTATATTGTCTACCCCTTCCGTTTTTATTTATGAAAAAAAATATCACTTTTAATTTTTTTTATATAAGAAAAATCACATTTTTTTTAGTAGGCATTTATTACAAATTTTTTAAATTACCCCTCATAATTTTATTATTTACAGTTATAAGAGACAATTAATGAAGGCTTAATTAATATAATTAATAAAGAATATTGTAGTTTAATTCTTTTATTTTCAAACACAATTAATATAATTAATTGGTTTTTTTAAATCGCATGATACAACTTTTTTTTCTAACAAATGAAAACAGGAGTATTTTCCTTCCCACAAGCTCTCGGCCATCGAAATCTAGCCCTGGAGTGCCATATGATAGAAATATGGCCCAAGCCAAAAGCGCTCAAACGCCAAGATTCTTTTATTAAGGAATATACAATGATTATTTCTATCTCAAACAAAAAATTACAAGAATGCTACTCACAAGTCAGGCTATTGCACAATTTGTTGCGCCTAAGGAATGCGAATGTCACTACGATGTATAGAAATACATTGACAAAATAGTGTGTACTGGCCGAGAGGAGCGCAACCTCGCCCAAGCACTGTATTCCCCGCACAGCTGTTGAAGCGTTCTAACCAAAAGCACAAGATAGACCTGCCCAGCCCTTTCCACACTATTTAGGTTGAACTAGTATCCCTCGTATATTAATGAAGTGTAGCTCCATAGCTAACCTCACATTATGCAAACTGATTTGTTCCAGGCCACACGATAAATGAACACAGCATCCAACTCTCCTCCATTGAAGCTACAAAACCACTTTCACGCCCCATGCCAAAAAAAAGGGGGGGAAAGGACGGGAAAAAAAAACGGTGTATTTAGCTGAGTGCATAATGAACTCGCTCAAGAAGTTGGACCACTTGGTTTAGCTGAAAATGTGAAGGTGGGATTGGCTTGAGACTTGATTTTATCACATCTGGTGGTTCTGAAGATAGTATGGCCTGTTGCTGCATTCTTGTTAGCTCCAAAAACTGAGTCAGCATATCCCCATCAAGTATCTTTGGCGTTCCAACCTAGCCACAAGTTAAGTGTAAGCAAATCCAATGAAGGTACCAGAGTAAGCGTTTGGGTACATGTAATATAAGAAAATAGAATGAGAATTTTGAATGTCATAAGATAAAAACCAGTCCTTACACGACTAACTTCTATGCAATGCTTAATAAAAAAAATGAAATCTCTAACTACAGTCCCTTGAAAATGAGGGCAGTGTAAGAAAGTAAGATATTGGACTTCGGTAACAAAAAGGAAAAGGGATTCACTTCTGCAAAAAGAACTAACGATAAAAACAATCAGTATACTTCCACAAGCTTAAGGATTTTAAAATTATTTACACTTTCTTAGCAGCAGGAAGAAAAATACCACTATTTTCTTCAACCAGCTAAAAATTAGAGCCAGAGAGATATCACCGTGGAAACTCAATTGAAATTAAGTAATTGAATCCAGATAGAAGTACTTACTGGATTTTCCCGGCTTCGAAACTCGTTATGATCATTTCCTAGAATAGGTGCAGCCAATGGATGGACAACAAGTCTAGCTTGCACAGCTTCTAAGAGCTCGTATTCTTCCCTACACAAAAATGATGTTTCGCAGACATGTCAAAACTCTAGGCAAAACGCTAATCTGCACTAGAGAATCACCCCAAATTTAACAATCCAGTGGAAGTTGAAGAAATGTTAATACGAAGCATCTAAATATCTATGAAAAGTACTCTAATGGAATAGTTACATCGCATGGCTGGAAGAAGAAAAAATGTTAATGCTTCATTAACGAAATTGTATTTGGTTTTGCTAGGAAAATGGCACGCTTACAACATTGACACTGGTGTATACCACAATCTCTCAATGATTGAAATTGTAGATTATAATTGCTTCAACATTATCTGTACCCACTTATCAGTTGACTCGTGTCCTCTCTAGCTCATTATATCCTTCAGAGACTGCAGGTGCAATATCGATAAAGCAAGCATTGTAATGTTTCCACTAGGGATAACAATCTTGATTGCCCTGCAGATATCCGACCTGTCCTATTTGGGTCAGATAAATCTAACATTAGATCAAGATTTGGCACATATTTGAGAAAAAATCCAATCTTTATAGTTCAGGGACAGGGCGAGGTCAGGACAACATTGTTCTGATCTGTATCCCACCTCAAACCTGCCACATATCTATATAGTTTTTTATAAATCTAATAAATTATCAATGGTATGATTCAAACTTATGATTAAAAGAAAATGTTTTTAAACTGAAGCATTGGGTTGTTATGAATTTCTCGATCTGACATTACTCAGAGAATGAGAAAGCAATCAAGACGCTAATATAACTTGAATGTGCTTTCTAATTTGTAGGCAAAGATTATTGCCTCAATCTTTCAATGAAAAAATGCCAATGGACCCAGTCCCCAAAAAGATTAAACCATATTTGCCGGGTGTCCAGTGAGACTACCTGAAGCAACTTAAAATTTTACTGCACGAGCCATTTAAATTGCCAGAAAAGACAGTCCAGTGACCAGTTCAAGTACTCAAAGGCCTGACCTAGACTATCACTATTCTGAAATAAAAATCAAACAGATATCAGCAGCACTTTCCATTAGCTAACCTGCCCCCAATAATTATGCACCTTAATATTTGTAGAGATAGCTGATGCCAACATTAATCGGTACCTTGATATACGGATGAATATCATTATGCTTCCTAAAAGAGTGCTGGCAATTATTGTATTTTGAAATGAATCACCACACGTCTTAGGGCCATCACCACTTTGCAAAACGTCATAAGCTGGAAGTCTGTAAGCATATGAGCCCTGAAATAGAACCATGAACTGTATAATCAAATCAGAAGGAAAAAGTGAAGGGCGAAACAGGAGTAGCAACAAATTGGCAGAATGCATAACGATTATCAAATCCAAAGAAGAATAAATTATGAGTGGTGTGGATACCAACTAGGGCAATCAATTTCAGCACAATAGATCTGTAACTTTTATCTTCAATGTTCTACAAAAATGCTGCACATAAATAAGTTTTCATCCATGATATTCAAAGGACGTACCTTCTGCATGCTCATGGCTACCTCAGCCATATAATAAGCAGAGCTTAGTTTCAAGTTGCATTCCGGACTGGCATTGTCTGAGGCATGTGTACCATAAGAAATTAAGGTTAGAATCTCATTTCAGAGTAATAAAGGTTGATAACTAAGCTGATAGCTTTGTCCCAAAAAAAAAAAGGTATAGGAACATCACGAAAATAGAGTTTGTTTTTAAATGCCATTGTAATTAAGGGATTACAATAAGAAAAACACCTTCAACAATGATGAAAACAGCACAATATAAAGAAGGGTAGCAGTGCAGAAAGGTAGCAGTCCTTGTGTATGTAGTAATACATCATGAAAAAAAAAACAGTTATTATTACCCTTATTTATATTAATCATAGGGGTAAGTAGGTGGTTATTTTAATTAGCTCTTACTAACTAACTTCTTATTCAGCTTGTAATTCTAATAAATTTATAGTAAGTAACAGCCATCAATCACTAATTAGCTTGATACGGTGCTGCAGTACAGGTCATCAATCTACTGCAATCATATGCATGACCATGAAACTTTTTGTTTGCAGCAATAATTCCCAAAACAAAAGGGTTATAATTGATAGCTGAATAGCTGATTACTTGAAACACAAGAGGCTTAGTTCAGTCTTACCTTCCAAATGTTTAGAACATAAAACAGAAATGTTTCCTTTACGATCTGAAACAACAGCAGTCTCACCATCCATGAGAATGCAGTCAGCTACTAACCGCTGATATGGATCACAATAAAGTTGCTCCAATTTTCTTGCTTCCTGGAAGAAGATGCAAATTAAGTAAGTTGAATATTGCTTTCTCTTAATGACGGAAAACAATGATCAATGTCACACATGAAAAGAGAACCATAACCCTGCAATATCAAATTATAAACAACAACAATAACAAGCCTTATCCTACCAAGGAAATATCAAATTATAAGCAACATGAGATAACTGACTATAATAAAGAATACCAGGGGAAGGAGCACAAGAATTAATTACAAAGGAAAGGAGTGCAGAAGAGCATAAGGATAAACTTTACAATAAGTAACGGAATTTAAACGAAACATCAATACAGAGCAGCCCCCCAGTCTCTCTGCAAGTCTCAACAAAGAGAATCCATAGCCAAAACTCAATTCTTGTTTTCTTCAATTTTCCATCATAAAAATTGACAAGAAAGTGAGCAATTGCTACTAACCTCATGGTAAGAATAGAAAAGGATACCATCACGACAGTCACCAACGGCGATTCTAGTAAAATGGGCAGTCAAAGATGTTATCATATAACGCGTCCTTCCAACAGCAAATTTTCTAACTCTCTGAGGATTATCATTGGGAAAACCACAAACATAGAACTGAATAACAAGACAGTAAATTAATCAGCAGATACAGAACTTTTTGATGTTGATAGAGATAAATTGAGATAAGGAGGGAGAACAAGAAAAAAAATATAATGAAAGGAGAAAAGTCAAGATTTTACAACTTACAGCATTGCCAGCAGAAGCCAAGAAGTAGCGATCAAGATAGGGACAGATTGCAAGGACCATTCCTTGCCACTTGGTTGCATAAGCCAATTGCAATTGCCACACATCATTTTCATCAAGTTTAATGCCGTTAGAGCCATTATCATCAGAGCTACTTCCAAGACTACTTCTTGACAGCTGTTCAGGGACATATCCAACAATTTCCTGGAAGGGTGAAGTTCTTGGAGATAATGACCCTGCCTTGGAACATATCATCATTGAACCACTATCTGAATTTTTTCCATGTTCAAGGCATAGAACAAGAAGACGGCCATTGGCACTGCCAATGAAGCATTCAATTATTATACAGCTGCCATATGACTAACCAAAGAAAAGAAAGAATCTATTGACATTTTTTCACCCAAAAGTCTACAGAAAAACACCAGGAATTTCTTGTAAAAGTGGGAAAATTAAGCTTGTTGACTGTATACCACTATTTGTCTAATTAATCACACATAGAGATAACACTCAATTTAGTAGGACACCAAATCAGTAGGAACTATAGCTTCAAGTATAAAGATCAGAATTGAGATATTAAACAGATTAACTAAGTTTAGCTAGGAAACCAAACAACTAATTGTAAGTTTTTTACTACAAAAATGCAGCTAAGGCAACCTTAACCTTGGGCCAATTACATTATTTGCAGCTAATGATAGCAGCACTGAAACACAGACAAAAACAAATTGATTCCATGCATGTCTTAGAAAATTCTGAGTGTCCTTCAGTTTAGATCTGTCAGGGAAGTGGAATGACCACTCAGGTGGGCATAACACTCTTTGCAACCAAATTTTCCTGCTAGGATGCCCTGTACTGGTTGGCGAAGCATGGGCTAGAGAAGGATGTTTCTTCATATTTAGTGTCAAATATTATAAATAGTACCTAGCATCTTTATCATATACATTTTGCATTCTTGCATATTAGTAAGACTTAGATGAGTCACCAAAACATAAGTCAAAATTTATATTTTTTGTTTAAGGGATTTAGTTAAGGTAAGTAAGAAGATGGTTTCAAGTAGGCAGTAGCTCAATGGCAGTTTAGGTTATTTCACTCATACAACCATAGTGCAGGCAAGGAAAGATAAGCCCCCGGCAATACAATAGTTAAAGGGCAACAAACATGTCAATTAGCTAGTAATTATATCAAGGGGGGTGAATGATAGAAGTGACACCTCTCAGCTTCACCACTTGGCATCATGGCAGGACCAAGGGAAAGGCTAGTTCCAACTACCAGCACCCGATCACCTCCAACCCTCACAAATTCCATGGATTTTCCTATTTCTCCAAGTTCAAGTTTAAAGGATGAAAGTACTGAACCACTTATGGGATCCACGCAGCATATGTCAGATGAGCAAGTATCACAATTCAATTCAGTTCTTAACACAATCACCATCCTGCTTTCACTGTGATATAAGATCTTCCGCAGAGTGCCCTCCAAATGAAACTTCTGAACATTGAAATTATCAACCATCTCCACCTAAAGCATCATATGATTAAGAACAATTAAATAATGACACAGAAGCACAGGCAAGAAACAGACCCCCAAAAAAGCAGATAGAATTACTTAAGTATGTTTCTTTTTACCAAATGTAAACTGTTTTCAGCAACAAATAAAATTCCTTTTGGACACTCGACAGAAGAAACAGGAGTCACATGAGTAGAGGGCTCAAATCCGATAGAAGTGTAAGAAAGACTATGTCTTGCACTATGCAACAACCATCGCCTATCACTTAGCACAATTATATCAGCATCAAGTGTGTCACGCAGAGGCACCAAGAAAACAGGAGTAATGCCAATGTGACGGATAGCAATCAATTGGAGAGGGGCAGGTAGGTTGTCTGCCTTGTAAGAGACATTTTCCTCAGAATTTATGAAATTCATATTAGATAAAGCAGTATCCACATCCACTGGTGGTGAAATAGGTTGGTCTGATGGCCACTCAAAGCGAAGAAGCATTCCATTTCTTAATCCAGCAAGAACATAAAACCTATCAACGCATACAAGCCGGACATCTTGAGGTATACAACCACTCATAGCTGTTCCCATAGTGCTCATAAATGAAATTGTCCCACAAGCTATAAATCTAACTCCTCTATCAGATGTAAAAGACAAAATTTCCACTGACGGCCTATGTGTGCCAATAACAAAGGATTTATTGATGTCGAATCCACTTGAAAAGGAAGCAGCGAATTTGCAATTTGCTGGCATAGACAAATCTGATTGTTTATGCTTAAATTCTTTTCTAGGAATGGAAATGCATGATAATTCATTTTGCAACTCCAACCTTTGCATTTCATAGATTTCATAATGATAAGTTGATTGACATCTCACTCCAAGGATCAACAAAAAAGATGGATTAGAGGTTGATACAACTATAAAATTATGCCCAACAGCCCCTAAATTGATATTTGCATTGCTTGGGGACCAAAATGTGCAAATAGGAGAGGGCAAATGGGTACCTTCGGAGTGTGCAGCCTTAGTAGGCAGACACAGCCTAACTGCACATTGGTGAATCTGACCAAGCAAACCATCACTCACAAGGCCACAAGCCAAAGTACAGACATTAGGGTCAAAACCAACTGAATCAGTCACGTCAGTAAAGCTTAATCCAACCGACAATATTCTAGTCTCTTCAACAAATGATAGTACAAGAAAAGAATGATATGAATCAATAGCTTTCATTTGAACTGCCCAAGCACCAGTTACCCCTTGATATATGGGAGCAGTCTTCAGAAGCCGTTCCACATTTATACCACTTTGAATAATCCTTAGTGAACCCTCAGGAGCCACACCACAACAAGCAAAGATTTTATCATGCATCTCACCATGACGATCCACAACTGCCATATCCAATATTGGTGCAATGTTTTTTATAGGACTAGTATAGCATAGCCTTCCATCTTCCAATTTTAGGACCATGCCATCCCCCATTTCTACAAATGCAGCCAGATATCCTTCCTCAACCCATAAAAGCACTTTACAAGCTAGACCTTTATATAGACATTCTGAGACAATGACCTGAGGACCCTTAGAATCAAAATGAATCTCAATCATGAAAAACTCTCCACTATCTAAGCAAAAGATCATCTTAGAAACTACACTATTTTCAGGCTCCCAACTCCATGAGCAAACATACTTGCAACCTGAATAAGGAACACCATTGTCATTATCTATACACATGGGATCATAACGGCTCAGCTCCAACAAAGCATAGGCGGCGGCATTAAAGCTTTCATCATCAATGTCTTGTAACTTACACGAGTCTTCAACAAAAGTCAGCTCTTCCACAGCATTAGGTGAAAAAGTAAAGCTAGTTCTGCAAACAAGGCATGGGTAGCGAGCATCTGTCAGATTCATTAAGAGAGCATCACCAGCCCTGAATAGAAATGCAAGTCCTGGGCAATTGGGAACATCAACAATGTCATGTGCAAGAGGCCCATCTTCAACAAACTCAGAAACAACATGAACCGCTTGTGCTTTAATATTCCATTCCAATAAAACTACCTTATTTAGGAATTCCCCCTTCCTGTAGGATATAATTTCAAGTAAGTGCACTTCACCCAAACCAAAGACAACACAGAAAAGATTTCTTTACACCATAGATCCATCTAATCTTAAAATAAGCTCCTGACAAGCCAAAATACAAATCCAATATATCATACCTATTTAGAAGAATAGCAAGTACAGGAGTATTCTCCTTACTTGGTTTCTCAGAATCCTGTGAAATAAAGCATATGCTCCATATAGTACCTTCTATGCCAGGTGTTCTATTACTTTCCTTCCCTTCACTTTCAGAAGGGAATGTTATTCTCTATAATGAGGCAAAAAGGATAATATAAGAATTTAAATTTTAAGACAAAAGGCAAAAATAAAGTATAAAAAAGAAGGACAAAACACACTGCTACAAATGTAGGACATATCCAAATATTATAAATTAAAAAATATATTAGAAGAAGACGATGATGATGCATGTCAATGCACCAGGGGAAAAAAAGCCATATCACATACACATGTATGCCAACAAAGAACCAACAAATTTTTTTTGTGATGGAAAATGGTACAGTAGTTATGGACCTCATCAATGATATCACTGCTTCTGCACTTTGACATTGAAAACAGAGCTACCCGATCTTCATATGCACTTACAGCAAAAAAAAAACCACTATAGAAACAAAACCAGAGTTAATACAATCAGTGCAAGATGAAATTGAGATATGCTTACAAGCAAAACTTGCCAAGCTCAGTAGGCTCATAGAGACGTTTCAAAATTTTTCAGGTAAAAAAAGATGTCACCTGGGATCAACAGCTAGCATTCTTCCTGGAAGATACCTTGTGTTTCCCACATCAGATAGCTGAACATGCGTTACAGCATAAAACCTACATTAATGCATATAGAAAGAAGAAGGAAGCTTAGCAAAGAACAATTTAAGGACTTCAAAAATTCAGCAATAACAAACTACAATGCTGGCCCTTTGAATCATACAAAGCGACTATTTTGTGATGATATACGGTCACGAATTTCAATAATATACTGCTCGAGATCAATAAATAACAAAACTACACCATTCTCCTGTGAAACAAGAATGAACCAAGAAAAAAAGTGGGCAAAGTAAACCTGTGCATTTCGTTGCAAAATGTAAGCAATGTCAGCTTCCCAGAATCAGATATAACAACCAAAAGGTCTTTACCCCACAACTACAGAACAAAAAAGGACTAAATAAGATTCAGCCTTGGAGGGAAAAAATGCCAATCAAAACAACTGATTTCATTGAACTAAAAGATGTCTCCCAAGAAAATCAGTCGATTTACGAACTGATTACGTGGCTGTCAGTTGAGAGAATAAAGAGTTAAAGGTGAACGACAAATACACCTTTGGATCTCGTGCACCAAAATTCCCATTCCAGGGTAACATGGCAAGATCTTTAATCGTGCCAAAAACAGGCTGGTCACAAACGGATTGCACAATCCCATCCTTGCCAATCATTACCAACTCCATAGACGTCTCCTGAAAGCATAAATAATAGCAGCAGCATGATACTAACCCAATAATTATAGCTATAACAGCAGCATGAAATAGTTGGATTAAGCACCGCTAGGGACAAGCTCAGGTGGGTGGTAAGATGGGTGTAGTGTAGCCACCCCCTGGCCATGTAATAGAAATAACATAGTTAACATCTTTAATTAAAAAGAGATAGTATGCAACAAACTAATTATAAAAGAGACAATTTTTAACAAGCAGTTGATCCTCCCAGTCATCACTTCCTTTCATGTAACATAGTCACAAGCAATGCAGAGTGCAACGACGATGACGAATTAAAGAACTTGGAAAATCCCAGTCAGAGCCAAAATTAACGCCAAAGAAAAAATATAAAGGTTCCATCCTTCGAACTAAACCTGCACCCGCCCACGAAAAGAAAGTCTAATTTGCAACTTGAATTCAACAGCGGCACTGGAAATTTAACAAATTAATTCTGGTGAAGGAATAATACAGGAAAGAGAAATGGAAAAGGAGAACCTTGCCGAAGACAACGTCCTTGTAGGAGGGTGAACGGATGTGGCCATAAAGAACCTGAAGAACGACGCTTGCTCTTAGAGCGCACTTGGCAAGGTAGTAGGCTGTGCTGGAGGAAGACGATGACGGCCCGCACTTGGCAGACGAACACTCTTCCTCCGAAACCGCCATGATTATAAGTGGGAGCTTCAAGTGTGGTGGTCTAGGTTAGTCTTTTGTAATTTCCAAGAAAATTACAAAAGAAAGAGCTTTGAAAGGTGTCTGATGGTCCCTCCTGCTACCATTGCAACACTACAGACTCATGCTGCGGAGTGGAAGAAAGACTTGAAAAGCGCTCCACATTTCTTGTTCGGGCGGAGACAGTATCCTTGATGCAAAGCATGCCCCACCGTTTTCTCTCTTTTTTCTTTTTCTTTTGGTTTTTTTAATAACACCTTCCTGTAGGTGAGGTTATGAGCATAAACGAGTAAGTACGAGCCACTCATGGCCGTACCCATTACCTACCTGTTTATGGGTAAATAGATGGCTATCCATCTATACCTACTTATACCTCTTTACATTTGTTTTTAAATAAGTGCAAACAGGTATGGGTGGATTTGTGCCACTCTTTTACCCACAACACTCATTTAAAAAAAAATTAAAATATATGATTTTCATTTCACTATAACTTAACATAAATACTTAAGTAGCATTATTCTAAAAGTTTAAATCTCTGAATAATACAAAGATAAATATTTTAACAGCAAATACTAAATAAACAAGGATTAATAATTTTAATTTTTAAAGTGAAAACTCATTTAGTCTGTAACACACCAAATTTTTTTTTATCAATAATTTCAAAATATTTTATAATTAGCTTAAACTTGCACAATACAACATTTCAAATAAATTTTTACCTCCCACATGCCACTAGGTTAAATCACATTTGTCCATCTTATACTCCCAACAAGTAAACTAAATCACATTTGTCCATCCTTATACTCCCAATAAGTAAAATAAACAATTTAGTCAATTTTTAACACAAGCTAGTTATTTGGCCTCATAATCATGCCATTTTAACCAATCGAAAGTAAATTAAATATTAAAATTACAGTCATCCAAAGTATACCAAAAATAGAAATAGTTTGAAAGTCATGATTACATTTATATATTCATATAATTGTCAATAAACAAAAAGCCCTAATATTGGCAATATAACACATTATAAATCATAAATTAAATACCCAAAAGAGACAATGGATTTATACCACTAAGCCTCTGGGACTCCTCCACGTGTCACTCGTGGCTCTTCTCCTGAAAATTGTTAACCACATAATGAGACTCAAAAGTCCCAGTAACTAAAGCCAATTTATGATAGTGTATACAAACAGTTAAGTGTGTGCTTATTAAGTGAGAATTAAAAATAATATAATTCCAACAAATATAAGAAATATTATAATACACACAAATAACTACCCTTGTATCCCTCCATTAACCTCGAGCCGTAACCCTCACTCGGTGCTAAATTACCCGGCCAAAGGTAGATTAGCCCAAGCCCTTACAAACCACCTATTGAGCTCCAATAGGGGCGTACCACGTGGCACATAAATACAACAACAATAGCAAGTCTCCCAACACCTCCCACAATAATCAAATAAATTCATAATAATATTGCACAATTATATAATATTACAAAATTTATAATTTTCTCAATAATCACCCAATTAACATGAAGTAGCACAAATCACAAATTAAAAGCATGGTTACAATTTCTCTCCCACCACAATCTTCAACAATAATACAATCTACAAATAACATATTATTTATAAATATTAGTTTCAATTTTTGAAACTAATAAAATAATTCTAATAATAAAATTAAAAATGTAACATAATTTCTAATTTCAATCTTAATACAAATCTAGAGTTAATACTATTAAGTAAAATTTTTAACTCCTCTTTTAATTATCAATAAACATTAATAATCTAAAAATTAGCTTCTAAACTAATTTCTATTATCAAAATTTTCTTTTTATTTCATAAATTCGTACCTAAAATACCCAAAAATTAAAAATTGAGTCTCTAGCTTAGAATCATAATCCTATAACCATAATAATTCATTTCTCATCCCGAATAATTATCTAAACCTCAATAAATCAACATATATTTTCAGATCTAGTTTAGAATTTGATCCATAAGTCACAAATTCAAAGATCATCCACAAATTTATACTCTGGAACATTTATTATACTACTGACAACCTCAAAAATCATATTTATTTAACATAAATTCATCCCTCTTTCAGATCTTAAATTTTTTACCACTACAAACTCAGAAACCAAAGAAGAAGGATGACTAAGAAAAAATTTTAGAACACTTACTTAGTCTTGAAAAGCTTAAAATCACACCCTAAATATCCTATTAAAAACTCTTACCTTAAAACTCAGCACCGGTGAACTTGGCTCACAGACGCTCTCTCTGCCTCAGCTCACGCACGAAAGAAAGAATGAAGAAATGAAGGAAACAGGTGAGTTTTTATAAAAATTTAGTGGGTCCCACATCTTTTTTTTTATTATTTCTTCTTTTCTCTCTCTCCCTTTTTTTATTATTATTATATACATAATCATTGCATTGCACCGAAAGCTGATCGTATTTTCTTACTTCTTTCCTTCCCCTTTCTCATACCTTTTCTCTGTCTTTCTTTTTATAATAATAATAATAATTTAATAATATTTATTTATTTTTTTAATTAATTAATTTTTTTAATTTTTTTTAATTTAGAATTATATCCTAAATTAGATTTAATAATTATTTTCTACTAATTTGCTTACCTCTAAATATTTTTCAAAATTTCTATTAACCCAAATTAACTATTAAAATTTAAATTGGGATGTTACATAGTCTCATTGATCCTCATTTATCTTCTTCGGAGTCACTTGATACGGCAGAAGATTGAGCTATTGACTCTTCTTCTACAAGACAAATTAAGATAATTAGATTAGTAAATAATAATATATATTATATAATATGGAGAATTAAAATAAATATAAATAAAATAACTTATTCATATTATTATTACCATCAACGGCACGTAAAGTCTCATCAAAATAGTCAATATCAATCTCTTCCAATGGGGTGCATGATGTTGATGATAGCCAATTCTGGGTGCAAATGAGTGTCTCGGCCATTTTTGAAGATAAGGGACTCTTGAAAGTATCTAGTACTCAACCCCCAGTACTAAAAACAGATTTCGAAGACACTGTGGAGACAAGCATAGCCAACAAATCACATGCAATCAAGTCCAGAACTTTATACTTGAAAGAATTCACTTTCCACCATGCCAAAATGTCAAAACTATCATCACAAGCATCAACTAACTCTGCATTTAGGTACTCTTCCACCTCTGAAATTGATTTCTTTGAACGCTTACTCATTGCAGTGGCTAAGAAATTTTGCATTGCCACATCAATAATTTTTTTAGAAGATGGAGGAGCTTACTTCCCCCACCACTAGCACTACTATCCCTCACCTCTGTATCAATTTCAGATGGTTCACTACCACTGGCTGTAAGAGTTGCAGAGTACTCATCAAACAAGCGATGCAAAAGTCCCATAATCTTCTTTTTCATCATTTCCCTCTTCATGTAATCACCAATAAAATGTTTAAAAGCAATTTCAACATAAGAAAATTTGTATCTAGGATTAAGAATCACAGCTATCACCAACAATGGATTCATGTTTTTTGCCTTTCCCTAATACTTGTCATACTTACTTTGCATCTTTTCTACCATGTCACTCAACAAAGAATTAGATTCAGCTGTAATTGAATCCAATCGTGTCTTGATTGCAACTATATTTTGAAAGTATGTGTTTGATGTGACATAATTTGATCCAAAAAATTAAAGAGTCATAGTATAGAAAAATTTCAAAAAGGTGAGAAATTTCTTTACCACACTCCAGTCATAAGCATTAGGAGGTTTAACTGTATCTTCATCACCATCATGATCACCAAGTTCATCTTCGTCCTCCTCTTCCATCCTATCAATATAGCTTAAGCTGGAAGACAATTTAACTTTCTTTTTAAAGTAGTTCTTGTAATCTTGATCCTCATCCTCTATTCTATAAAAAACCTTAGTGAACTTAACAGCATTCTGTAACATGATATATGTTGAATTCCACCTATTAAGATAAGCAAAAGATTTAAATGTTAGAAAAAATTGCATGTCATAATGCAAACAATCATAATTTAACAATTATGTAAATTACCTGGTGGGACAATCTATGCTAAGAAGACTCTTTGAATCAATTCTCAATTTTTCAACAAGCTCCTTAAATTTCTTAAGCCTACTAGGAGAAGTTCTAACAAACTTGATTGCATGTCGAATAAGTTCAATAGATTGATTCATATCTTTAAGGCCTTCTGAAACAATTAAATTCAAAATATGAGCAGTACACCACATCTGTAAGAATTTTCTATCACACACTAGACCTCCTAAATCCTTCAAACGCTTTTTTAAAAACACAATAGCAGAATCATTAGAAGAAGCATTATCAACTATAATTGCAAATACTTTCTCAATACCCTAATAGAATAAGCATCCCTCAATTTCATTGCCAATAGTATCCCCTTTATAGTTTTTCACCACACAAAAATTCAAAATTCATTTCTGTAATGTCCATTCCTTATCAATCCAATAAGTTGTTAGACACATGTAGTTGGAATTTTGAATTGAAGTCCAACAATATGTGATGAGTGACACACGAACTTTAGATTTCTTAAAATACCTTTTCAAACGTTTTGCTTCTTCTAAATATATCTTGTAACACAACTTAGCCATAGTCGTGCGAAAGGGACATGTAAATCTCAGTTCAAGCACTTCCAACATTTTTTTAAAACCTTGCTATTCCACAACTCGAAATGGCATCTCATTCAAAATGATGAATTTAGCAACTGCTTTTTTGCACTGTTCTGCATTATACGGGTGATGATTTACCAAAGGAAGCAAAGAGTAAGGATTGTCCTGCCTTGGCTTTGTTTGGATTCTTTGGGCAAGAATCAAAATGCCGTCAAAGGTTCTTAGTCCCAATTTTAGAAGAATGGCCAGCAAATTCCCTTCCACAATAGTTACATTTGGCTTGATACTCACCTTTTTTATTTATAAACTTCTCAAAATGATTCCACATTTTAGATGTTGTACTCCTTTTACGTTTGGAGGGTGGTGCTTCTTCAGCTTGGGTAGGTTTAGACTCAATGGGTGCTGTGACGGTGGTGGTAGTTTTAAGTTTATGGTCCCCTTCCATATCTTGCACATTTTTTATAATGAATGTTAAAGTAAAAACTATATAACAACCAAAACAAACCGATTATAGACATATTTAATGTTAGGTGCAGCACGTTAAGAATGACACACAATACAAATACAATTACCAACAAGCCTTAGGAAATAGACAATGTCTTGTGGGAAAGACTAAAGAGTCTTGACAAACTTTAACATTAAAAAAAATATACCACCAGCAGTAAATTAAAGCAAATGTAAAAGTTTGTTTATGAATTTTCAATAGACTAAATCTATCTAAAAATTGGTTTAAAATATAAAACTTTGTTTGTTATCAGTGAGAATTATAAGCAGAGCAAAGTACTGAACCAATAACAGCCAGCCAAAAAAATTAAACAATGTGATCAATATGACTAAAGAATCATGAATCTTCTAAACACTCAAACATGCATATAAATTTAAAATTCAATATAACCACAGAGCTGAACCAGAGAGCCGAATCAGAGAGTTCAAACTAAATTACCAAATACCAACATAATATAACTAGAGTTCAGACTAAAATTCAATATGATTAGTGTATCAATCACCCAAAAGTTCAGACCAAATTACCAACAAATTATAACCGGAGAACTGAAGAAGAGGACAAGAATGCATAAATATAAACAAAGAGGAGAAAATGAAATTAGTGGATGCAAAATGGTGAACGGTCGAACGCTGTAGTGCTGTATAGTGAAGCTGAAGCAAAATCCCAAAGTTTGGCACACTACTCTCAGTACTCAAAGAAGCTAAAATCCTGATCAAATGTCGCTCGACTGGTTGTGAAAATTGAAAAGGCAACAGTAGCATATTAGAATGAAGAAAACTTAAAATTTTAAACTTGAGATTATAAGCCATCAGCCCATCACACTCACCGACTGATGCAAAGTCACGAACAAAGGAGGGGAGACAACTGATTAGTCAGAGGAGAGCTAGGCAGGGGCGACTGGTTGTGGCTGGCGTGGCTACTGGCAAAGGAAAACAAAAAACCAGAGATGAGAACTGAAGTGCCAGAGGACGAGAGGATCAACTCGCACCTTGTAGCTCGACAGTTTGCAGTCGCACGCACATTGAGAGGACCTATTTAGGGCACAGCTGAGAATGAGACTCTCACTATCTCACACACTGACACAGCTGAGAGGACGGGCATCACGGATTCACGGGTCACGACAGAGGCTAAAACAGAGTTGAGCTTATCAGTCCATGGTTTAGTTTCACGCCTTCACAGGTTTCAACTACCGAACAGCTTGGGTCTTTTTTTTATTTGAAAACAACCCCCAGCCCAAAACCAAATGCATCTCAAACCCAGTCCAGCCAACACTTTTTTTTAATATAAACGGGCGGGTATAGGCCACCCGTAGCCTTACCCATCACTCGCCCATTTATTGATATACGGGCTTATACCCGCCCATACCCGTTTATTTTTCTTAAATAACGGGTATGGATTAACCCATTTAATCACTGGTCGGGCGAGTATGGGCGGGTATACGGGTTACCGGATAAATTGCACAGTCCTAGGTGAGGCCCATAGGGTGGGCAAAAACGTATTTCACGGAGACTTCATTACAAATTTATAAGTATAATTTATATATAATCTATAATAATTACTGTTATCAATTATTAATTACTAATCAAAATAATATGCAATAATTTCTTTAACATTTTCAACTTATTAACTTATCATTCCATTCAATCTCTTTTCCTTTCTCTATGTTGTTTGATTTGATTTTTACGTTTGCTGGTTGTGTGGAACATATGAATTACTGAGCTCCTCAAGCTTCCATTTGTTATGAATCTAATCTAATTGCTCTGTGTTTTATGCTTGACGATTAATGGTATTGCACTTTTGCTTACTCAATTCAATGTTTCTTGTTACTGTATTTTTGCGGTCAATTTATATGAATTTTTCTGCTCCCTTTCCTTCTAACAAACTTTGAAAATCCACCACAGCAAGTAACAACGGGCCAAGGAATGCCGGGTGATGAAAAATATGACCTCAATGCGAAGCGCCGAGTTTCTTTTATTAAGAAATATACAAGGATTGTTTCTATCACCCAAAAAAAAAAAAAATATATATATATATATATATATAAATATATTTAAAAAAATATGCTAGTCACTAATTTTACTATTGTACAATTTCTAGCAACAAAGCAATGTGAATGCTACTAATACATGGAAATACAAGAGATTATAGCTTAGAGGAAGAGGACTGCAACCTTGCACAAGCATTGTATTCCCCTTGCAGCTGTCGAATCTCTCACTGACAAGCCACAATGTTGAATAGAACTCCAGTCCTTTCCACAAGATTATTAACTTTGAACAAGCATCCGTCGGAAACGTAAAGTGTAAGCGTAAGTCCACAGTTGACCTTACATTACGTCAACTGGTTTATATTCCAGGCCAGACAAGAAATGAACAGAGTATCCAACTCTTCCACTGAAGCTTGGAAGCCCTTTCATGTCCCATGCGGGAAAAAAAGGTCGAGGACATAAAAGGGGATCTAGTTGAGTGCATAATGAACTCGCTCAAGAAGTTGGACCACCTGGTTGACCTGAAAATGTGAAGGTGGGAGTGACTTCAATCTTGATTTCACCATTTCCGGTGGTTCAGAGGATAGAATGGCCTCTTGCTGCATACTTGTTAGCTCCAAAAACTGAGTCAGCATGTCACCATCAAGCATCTTTGGTGTTCCAACCTATCCATAAGATGATAACAAGAGAGTAAAATTAATGACTGAAGGTACAAGAGTAGACTCTTTTGTTCTTGGAATTAGAGAATAGAAACAAAAGTTTGAATCTGTCATAAGGTGAAAACCAATCCTTCTATTATCAAGTTTCCTGAAATGCTTGATAAAAAACTAAACCCGTAATCATAGTCACGAAAATATGAGGGAGATGCAAGAAAGTAAAATACCTGAGTTGAACAGGTATGGAAAAGAAAACGTATTTTAACAAGCTGAACGACTTTATAATCAGAACATGGTCACAAGAAGTCGAGGGCGAAGAGAAGTACCATGAACAGACTTTCTCAAGCAACTACAAATTAGAGCCAGAAAGAGGCCACACCAAAAACTCAACTAAAATTAAGTAAATGAATCCAGTTAGTGCTTACTGGATTTTCACGGCCACGAAACTCAAAATGATTGTTTCCTAAAATAGGTGCAGTCAATGGATGGACAACGAGTCTAGCTTGCACAGCTTCTAGGAGCTCATATTCTTCCCTACAAAAAGACAAATGATGTTTCTCAGACATGCCAGGCCTTTAAATTAAAAAGCGACGCTAATCTGCACTAGAGAATCGCCCCAAATTCACCAATCCAATGAAAGTTGAAGACTGCAGATGTGAATGTGTAGGGTCTAAATATCTGTACAGAACTCTAAGAGAAAAGAGTCGCATAATATGGATTGAGGAGGGTAACGTTTATGTTCTAGTTACAAAAATTATTCATCTTAATATTAGTAGAGAGAGCAACCGCCAAAATTAATTGGTACCTTGACAAGCGAATGAAGATCATAATGCTTCCTAACAAAGTAGTAGCAACTACAGTATGTTGTAATGAATCGACATTTGTCTTAGGGCCATCACCACCTTGCAAAATATCATCCGCTGGAAGTCTGTATGAATATGAGCCCTGAAATAACCATAAGCTATAAAGGTGATTTCTGCGCAGCAAATGCAAAGGGTGGGAGACAAGAAGGGCAAGGAGGAAGAAAAAGCAACATATGGGAACCAAAGAACAAATAAGCAGCAGCTTGAAACCGATCAACCACAGGCATACAATAAATGAAAGCAACATCCTTTTTCCTCATTCATTCACGTTTACAATACAACACACATGGGCCAAGGAACAAGTCAAAACATGAGGCTAGGGTGGAAGGGTAGCAATGACCTGCCACCAATCATTGTAAAAGTTCAGAAACATTGCAGTTTTTTCTTTTCTTTTATTTATTTTTTTTTTTTGGTTTGAAACTTTAGGTATTTCCTCTAGAAGTCAGCATACATTGATGAAAAACAAGTGTGACCCAAAGATATGTCTTCTCCTGTAGAGGAATCATCTTTACCAAATCAGGCGATGAATTTCAGCATATTGGATCTGCAACCTATATCTTCAAATTTCTCCAAAGAAATGCAAATAAACAACTTTTCATGCATGAAATTTTTAAGGATTTACCTTCTGAATGCTCATGGCTACCTCACCCATATAATAAGCACATCTTAGCTTCAAGTTGCATTCTGGACTGGCATTGTCTGAGGCAGGAGCACCATAACAAATAAGGTTACAACCTTGTTTCTTTCTTTCTTTTTTTTTGGGGGGGGGGGATTCAACAAATAATTAATCCAAGAGCTTCTTCAACAATAAAGTACAGTAATAGAATAAAAATATATTCTTAAAAATTAATAAATAAGGGATCACACTAATGGAGACCAAGGAAGTTTGAGATTCCCACTCCGATATTGAGTAGAATGGGAAACTCTATTTAGTACATAAATGGATTCATTCTCTTGCCTCAACAGTGTTTTTGGAGGAGAACTCTCCACCCTGTTTTGGTGCCCATAACAAGGTAAGACAAACACCTTCAGCAACGATTCAAACAGCACATCCTTTATAGGAAAAAGGGGAGGCTCCTATTGCTTTACATACAATGCAGAAACGTAGCAACCATACATAAATTATAAGGTTTTTAAATGTTTTCCAACAAACATGTAATTGTTGAACTAGTAAAACAGATGATTACTCTGTCTGGATTAACTTTCATAAAGGCAGTACTGTATGGAAACAATTTTAACTAAAACTAATACACAAAAAAATTTGATAGCTTCAAGCTATCTGCATGCAATTATATTATTTAATCAACACCAATCCCTTCATAATAACCCTTACTTAGCACCCGTTTATTTTAGTTTTTTTTTTTTATGAAAATATCACCTTTTTAAAGAAAAAGTACCCTAAGAATGTTAAAATGTTTGTTTAAAGCTTTTAAAAATAATTAGAATATTAAAAAAATCATATTTCTAATCATATTTCAAATAAAAAGTGCTTTTATGATTGTAACCAAAGACAAAGTAACTTAAATCAGTTATTCAGACAATCTGAAAATTACTTTGTTTTTGTTTTTGTTTTTTTTTTAAGGTTTAAACAAATGGACCTTTAGTTAGTTATAATGGTTAGTAACAACTAAATGCTCAATCGGCTAATAACGACACTAAATAACCTCCTTTATTAACTGACAGTGAAAACTGAGTAACTACTAATCCTACGTAACACAATCAAAATGTTAGGGTAATCCAGTATTGGGCATAATTCTATCACAACCATAAGCAAGCCATGAAACACTTTGCCGCAAAACCAATTAGTTCATATTTTAAAAGCCTGAGGCCTGAGAACATAAAAAGTTCAAAAAGATAGACAATGATTCACACAATAAAAGGTGGTAATTGACAGCTAAATACATGACTTGAAACCCAAGCGGCTTAGTTCAGCCTTACCTTCCAGATGATCAGAACATAAAACAGAAATGTTGCCTTTACGATCTGATACAACAGCAGTATCAGAATCCAAGAGAATGCAATCAGCGACTAACCGCTGCAATGGATCGCAATAAAGTTGCTCCAACTTTCTTGCTTCCTACAATTGAAGATGCAAGTAATTATATATTATATGTAACATGAATACATGATATTTATTAATTGACTCCAATATTGCTTCTAACATCACCCAATTTTTTATCTCATTTTTATACAGTAATTGTACATATCACATATCCTTATTTTGCATTTTAGTCAAATGTGACTCTGCAAAAAAGAAAAAAAAAATTCATTATCTATCTCCGAAAATTGATGTCATGCCCTTTTGTTAAGTCTTGACTTTTTTTTTTTATTATTACCATGTTTAATCTCATTCTTCATCTTATTAACATTCTGTGTCTATTCTTTGTTCTTCCTATTTGCATTCTCTGCCCCAAGTCCTAGCATCTCATCATCTCCCTTTATCTTCTTGCAGCCAACATCCCACTCCATCACTAATTAAAGCAGTATCGTGACTAGAGAACCATGATCCAGAATGTCCAATCATACACATCACAAAATATGGAGGGCAAAGAGCTCCAAAAGTAAAAAAGTTTTATAAGAAACAGAATACAGAAAAGCATGAAGATAAGTTTCACATAAAATAACCACAATTAAACAAAAAAAAAATACAGAATAGACATCCAGTCTCTGCATTTTCCTTCGTTGATTTATATGAGAATAAGGTCATTGTCACTCACCTCATGGTAAGAATAGAAAAGGATACCATCACGACAATCACCAACAGCAATTCTAGTAAAATGGGCAGTCAAAGATGTTATCATAAAACGCGTCCTTCCAACAGCAAATTTTCTCACTCTTTGAGGATTGTCGTTTGGAAAACCACAAACATAGAACTGGAAGGGGGGGAAGAAAATAAATTAATCAGCAGAGAATGGGAAAGAAATGTTGTAAAATAAACATGTATTGAGCATACATACAGAACTTTCTGATGTTGAAAGAGAGAGATTGTGATATGATAAACAAGACATAATGAAAGAAGAAAAGCCAAGACTTTACAACTTACAGCATTGCCAGCAGAAGCCAAGAAGTAGCGATCAAGATATGGACAGATGGCAAGGACCATTCCCTGCCATGTAGTTGCATAAGCCAATCGCAACTGCCACACATCATTTTCATCATATTTAACACCATCAGAGCTATTATCATCAGGGCTACTCCCAAGGCTACTGCTTGATAGCTGTTCAGGGGCAGATCCAACAATTTCACAGAACGGAGAAGTTCTTTGTGATAATGACCCTGCCTTGGAGCACAATATCATTGAACCACTATCTGAATTTTGCACATGCTCAAGGCAGAGAACAAGAAGACGGCCACTGGTACTGCCAAAGAAGGATCCAAATATTACATAGCTACCATATGACAGAAAATAAAAGACTTTATTGACATTCTTTCTCCTACAGGTCTGCAGAAAAATATAGTAGGGACCTCTTGTAAAAGTAGGCAACATGAAATTTGTTGGCAATGTACTAATATTTTCATACTTAACAAGATAAAAAGATAAAGGAAAACAGGGTAAGATAACAAATTTACTAAAAACGATAGCTTCATACTATAGGCAGAATTGAGGAGTTAAACTTTTTGACTAAGCCTATCTTGGAAGCCAAACGACTACTTATATGCATCTATTGCTAAAATGCAGCTAAGGATGCCCTAACTTTAAACATGTTCATTATTTGAAGATAATGATAGCAGCATTGTGACAAAAATATTCAAAGCTGTACATGCCATATAGTGAAAAGTCTGGGTGTCCTTCAGTTTTAGATCTATCATGGAAGGAGAATGGAACATAGCACTCCTTGTGAACATCTCTTCCAAACAAGACTTTCATAGATCACGAGTAAAAGAAAATTCAGAGGTCCTATTTTGGTTGGTGAAGCATGCTCTGGAGATAGATGTATCCCAATGAAGTTTACTTTTGCATGTTCAAAATCAATGGGATGTGCTCGTATGAGCACCTGTGTGTGCGTACACATCTGTATAGATCATTTTGGCATGGTCCCGAAGAAACATTTTGCAAGTTGCTGAATGGAGATTCAGGCTATTTAACTTATACAACCCATAATGCAACTTAGAAGAGGTAAGTCATTGGCAAGTCAATAATTGGAAGGAAACCAAACTTGTCAATTAGATTGTGACTAAAACGAGGAATAAAAGATAGATGTGAAACCTCTCAGCTTCACCGTTTGGCATTATGGCAGGACCAGAAGAAAGACTAGTTCCAACCACGAGCACCTGATCACCTCCAACCTTTACTAGTTCCATGGATTTTCCTATTTCTCCAAGTTCAAGTTTATAAGAAGACAGTATTGAACCACTTAGGGGATCGACACAGCATATGTCAGATAAACATGTATCACAATTCAATTCAGTTCTTAACACAATCAATATCCGGCTTTCATTGTGATATAAAACCTTCCGTGGAGTGCCCTCCAAATGAAACTTATGAACGTTGAGTCTCTTGCTATGCACCATCTCCACCTAATGCATCACATAACTAAAGCGCATAAATAATGACAGAACAATGAAGGCATAATAAAAAAAGAGCTAAAAGAAAAAAGAAAGCAGTAAATATTACATAAGTATGACTTTTTTTACCAGATGTAAACAGTTATTGGCAACAAATAACATTCCTTTTGGACACTCAGCAGAGAAGACAGGAGTGACATGTGTGGAAGGCTGAAATGAGATGGAAGTATATGAAAGACTGTGTCTTGCACTATGCAACAACCACGGCCTATCACTTAGTGCAATTATATCAGCATCAAGTGTGTCACCCAGAGGCACCAAGAAAACAGGAGTAATACCAATGCGACGGATAGCAATCAATTGAAGAGTGGCAGGAAAGTCCTCTTCCTTGTTAGATATATTTTCCTCAGAATGTACCAAATTTATATTAAACAAAGCAGCATCCATGTTTAATAGTGGTGAAGCAGGTCGATCTGATGGCCACTGAAAGCGAAGAAGCATCCCATTCCTTAATCCAGCAAGAACATAAAACCTATCAACACAAACAAGCCGTACATCCTGAGGTATACAGCCACTTATAGCTGTACCCATTGTACTCGTATATGAAATTGTCCCACACGCTATAATTGTAACCCCTCTGTCATGTGTAAAGGACAAAATTTCCACTGAAGGCCTATGTGTGCCAATAACAAAATAGTTACCAATGTCGCCACTAGGAAAGGAAGCAGTGAAGTTGCTATGTGTTGAAATGGATAAATCTGACTGTTTTTGCTCAAATTTTTGTCTAGGAATGGAAATGCAAGATAATTCATTTTGCAACTCCAAATGTTGCATTTCATAAATTTCATAATGATAAGCCGATACCAACCTAACCCCAAGGATCAGCAAAAAACAGGGATTAGAGGTTGATACAACCACAAAATTATGCCCAACAGCCCCTAAATTGATATTTACATTGCCTGGTGACCAGGATGTGCAAATAGGAGAGGGCATAGGAATGCCTTCATAGTGTGCAGTCTTTGTAGGCAAACATAACCTCACTGCACATTGGTGAATCTGAACAAGCACACCATCACTCACAAGGCCACAAGACAAAGTACAGACATTAGGTTCAAAACCAACAGAATCAGTCACATCAGTAAAACTTAAGCCAACTGACAATATTCTGGTCTCTTCAACAAATGATAGCACAAGAAAAGAATGATATGAATCAATAGCTTTCATATTAAGTGTCCAAGTACCAGTGACTCCTTGATATATAGGAGCAGTCCTCAAAAGCTGTTCTACACAGATACCACTTCGGATAAGCCTTAATGACCCCTCAGGTGCCACACCACAGCAGGCAAACATTTGATCATGCTTCTCATCATGATGATCCACAACTACCATATCCAAGATTGGGGCAATGTTTTGGACAGGACAACTATAGCATAGCCTTCCATCTTTGAATTTCAAGACCATGCCATCCCCCATTTCTACAAGTGCAGCTAAATATCCACCCACGACCCACAAAAGTTCCTTACAGGCTAAACCTTTGTACAGACATTCTGAGAGATTGACTTTAAGGTCATCAGAATCGAAACAAATCTCAATCATGAAAAATTCTCCACTATCTAAGCAAAAGATCATCTTAGAATCTTTATTATTTTCAGGCTCCCAACTCCATGAACATATATACTTGTAACAAGAATTAGAACAGCCACTGTCACTGTCTATACACATGGGATCAAAATCACTCAGCACCAAAGAAGCGCAAGCAGCAGCATTAAAGTGCTCATCATCAACGTCTTGTAATTTACAAGAATCATCTACAAAAGTCTGGTCTTCCACAGCACTGGATAAAAAATTTAAGCTAGTCCTGTAGACACAAAGTGGGTTACAAGCATCTCTGAGATCCATTAAGAGAATGTCCCCAGCTCTGAAAAGAAATGCAAGTCCATGATAATTGGGAACCTCAACAATGTCATGTGCTAGAGGTCCAGCTTCAACAAACTGAGAAATAACATATACTGCACGTGCTTTAATATTCCATTCTAATAGAAGCAACTCATTTAGCGACTCTCCCCTCCTGTAGGATATAATTTTTTGTTAGTGCACTTCATCCACGACACATAATAACAAAAGAGATTTTTCCAATCATAGAACCCAGTCTTAAAATAAACTCTTAATTATCATACCTATTTAGAAGAATAGCTAGTACAGGATTATGCTCCTTGTTTAGTTGCCTAGAATCTTGTGATATAAAGCACATGCTCCAAATGGTACCATTTATGCTGCGTCTTTGGATGCTTCTATGAGAATTTGCAGCCCCTTCACTTTCAGCAGAGTAAGTTATTCTCTAGAGTTACACAACAAGAAAATCTCATAAGAATTCTTTTTTCCTGAAAAAGAAGAAATGTTCCAACCAAAGTAGACCCAAAAAAAAAAGGACTTACAATAAAGGAGGATAAAATACAATGCTACAAGTCTAGGACGTTGAAAAAAACGAAGAAAAAAGATGCCAAAAAAATAATAATAATAATGAAAGACACAAAGCTGCTGACAAAGCCAACTAATATATTTGAAGATATATCAAGCCTTATCAACAAAATAGCTAAAAGCATGCCCAGAGAGATTACTTTATCCAATAATGTATGTCTGTGTTCTGGAAAGAATCCCTATCCTATACATAAAAACATGTGTGCTAATATGCAATCACATCTAGATTTTCGAAAATGGAAAATGTTACAGTAGTTCTGGACCTCATCAATGATATCACTGCTTTTAGACATTGACATTGAAAAGAGAGCTAGCTGATCTTCATATGCACTGACAGCAAAAAAACAACCACTGCAGAAATGAAACCAAGAGTCAATACAACCAGTATAGAGTGAAATTGAAATATGCTTACAAATAAAACATAAAACAGATCGTGGACATGACCAGAAGGCAAGTATGGATGCTTTCAAAAAATTTCTGTCCGGAAAAGGCATCACCTGGTATCAACTGCTAGCATTCTTCCAGGAATATGCCTTGTGCTTCCAGCATTAGATAGCTGAACATGTGTGACAGGAAAAAACCTAAATTGATGCATATAGAAAGAAGGAGGAAGCTGAGTAGAGAATAATTCAAGAACTTCACAAATTCAGTAGCAGCTAACTCAAATATTTCCACTTTGAATCATACAAAGTGGTTATTGGTTATTGTTACAAAAGGCGGTCACTGAATTTCAATAGTATATTGCTCAAAACCAACAAATTACCAAGAAAAAGGGAAGACAAAGCAAACCTGTGCATTTCATTGCAAAATGTAAGCAATGTCAGCTTCCCAGAATCAGATATAACAACCAAAAGGTCTTTACCCCACATCTATAGAACAAAGAAGGATCAAAAAAGATTCAATCTTGGTGGGAAAAAAATCTCAACAACTGCTTTGATCCAACATAGATAGTTGTTTTTCAGGGAAACAAGCAGCTCTACTATCAGCCCTTGGTTAGTTAAGCCAAAAAGAATTTCCACTGCACACACCTTTGGATCCCACGCATGAAAATTCCCATTCCACGGTAACATGGCCAGATCTTTAATCGTGCCAAAAACGGGCTGATCACAGATAGATTGTACAACCCCATCCTCGCCAATTATCACCAATTCTAATGACGTTTCCTGAAAGTACAAATCAATAGCAACAGCATGATACTAATCCAATAATACTAGTCATAACAAAAGCATAAAATAGTAAGATAAAGCTAGTTATACGAGCGGGAAGAAGTCCGTTCCAACTTCCAACCCAGACCAAGCATTAGATATACAGAGTTTACATCCTTGATTGAGGAGAAGTATTCATACAAGAAACAAAACACACAAGGAACAATTTTAACAATCAGTTGATTCTCCAAGTCATCACTTTCTTCGTATAGCATAGTGACAAGCAGTGAAGAGTGTGCCAGCAATGAATTAAAAGTCTTAAAAGGGTCCAGTCGGAGCCAAAGTTAACCAAATGAACAAAAAAAAAAAAAAATACTCGAGAGGTTCCATCCCTAAAACCCACCCCTCACGGAATGGAAGCCTGATTTGAAGCTTGATTTGAATAGTAGCACCAGGAAATTCTACAAATTAGTTCTACTAAAAAAAAAAAAAGAACATGGATAAAAGAAGAACCTTGCCAAACACAACGTCCCTGGAGGAGGGGGAACGGATGTGACCATATAGGACCTGAAGAACGACACTTCCTCTGAGAACGCACTTGGCAAGGTAGTGGGCGGTGCTGGAGGAAGACGATGAGGGCCCGCACTTAGCAGACGAGCACTCTTCCTCCGAAACAGCCATTGGCAATAACTTAGAACTCACCAGTGTGTGACGTTTAGGTTAATCTTAACGGTTGTTTCCGAGAAAACTATAAAGACGACAGCGTTGAATGGTGTTTGGTGGTTCTTCTTGCTTCCATTGGAACACTAAAGACGCATGCTACATCGTGTAGGAGGCAACGAGAAGACTTGAAAAGTGCTTCGCATTTCTCACCCAGGCGAGATGGGAAGAATCATTGATGCATTCACCACCGGTTTTTCATTTTTAATTTATTATCTATCTATTGTATTAGTCATTAATTTCTTCTAACCTCTCCCACCGGCAACACGACCTGAAAAGTAAATGCATTAGCCAATATACACTCGATATTAGTCATTAACCAATATACACTCGATACTCCATAACGTCTATAAAATAAATGCATTAAATTAAATTATTTATAATTACAAGCAGTCTGACTTATCTTCAACTAGAAAGCAATACTGTGCAACGGCATTAAGAAATAACAATTTTTGTATTAAAACATTATAAAGTGAAAATATTTTACTTCAAAAAAACTCATGAAAAATAAATTTATAAAATGACAACACTATAATAACCGCCAACTCCATCGTAATTTTTTTTTATCATAATAATAGGTTTGTTCAATATAAAATGATAGTATTGCAAGAATTACAAGGTCCTTGGGGATTGGCTTAAACATGCCAGTGAAGACATCAAGAAAATCTCACCCACTACTATCATTAAATATTAGTGAATGAAAGTAATATAACATGGCTAAGGATTTTTAAAATTGATATTCTGGAATATTTTTCTATATACTAGATTGACAGTAGTATTTGTCTTCAAGTTGTTTTTAAAATCATGAATCAATCTCTTGCGTCTTTCAACATTTCTTACCTTTGAGATAGCAACATATAACTAACCACGAGGGATTACTGGCCGTTTAGGAAGATATAAACCAATGTTGCTGGGAGGCTGTCCCCTGGCTCCTGTTAATTGTTGTTGCAAAGGATATGATAACAAGAAATTGCCTCCTCTTTGCCGTAAATGGGAGTCTTGAACCTTTCATACCATTCAATGAATTAGAACTTCACGTCCAACATTGGAACGTTTTCATGCTCGGCCTTGATGAAATTTTTGCTTCAGAATGTTATCCCCAACCCAGTGCCATTACAAAGTGCTGAAACTTTATCAATGTTTTTTATAAGCATTACAGGGACTCCTGCCTTCAGTGTCAACTTATGTGGTGGTAAACCTGAATTGCTAATGGTATTTAGAAATTCAAGGGTGTATAGATCCTATAAAGTATCTTAATCCTGACATGTTCTACAAATAAATCCAAACTTAAGTATTCAACAACTTCTCCAGATAGAATAGAGCATGCATAATCATTTATTCTATCAACAATCTCAATGATTGGAATCAATATAGCTCGATTGATAAATGAGTGTGCATCATTTAAGTGTAATAACAATCCTGGATAAGCTGAAGACATAATATACACCTTTTTGTACATCATTGTCCATTTCATTCTCAAATCTTTTGGCCTCATTTGATTCATCTGAAATTGAAGTTATTAGTTTCTCTTAATGTTTATAGGATTTAATTATTTGAAATTTTATATTAAATTACAGCACTATAGATGTATACATTACAAATAATCCTTGCATGAAGAAGATGAAGGGCCAATTGTTCTCGTTTCATTTCTAAAGCCTTTTTTTTTTAATTTGCCCTCGCAGCTTTTTTTTTTTTTTAATGCAAGATGGATTTTAAATTTGACGTTGATGCCTCTTCATTATTCTGAACAGAAAATGCAATCATCATTGAGATAGAACCAATATTAAACATTTGTTTTGTGAATAGATTGATAGAAGATGGAAATAGGAATAAAAACGTATAATATAATAATATATACACGTATGACATATAAATAACAACAATAATAACAAGGTAAAAATGCATGCCATAACTAAGATTTTGAGATGTAAAATTCACTCACAAGATTTGAAAATATCATGGATGATTGATTGATTGTTTGATGTATGGAAGCAAAAGACACATAGTCGAGTTCATAATTAATTAGAAGTTTAATATTATTTATTAATCATATTACTAAATGACATCTTTGCCAGAAAAGGTGTTGGTGAGATTATAATGCCTCTATATATTAATTCTAAGGTTGTGGTTATTATAACTGATTACTTTTTTTACCAGCATATTATTACTAACTACGTTACTAATTTATTAAAAATTAAATGTGGATAAAGGAAAAGAACACACTATTTATGTTAGATAATTTATCTTGTTAGAATTTTTATGTTTAAATATCGATGATTTAGCTCTAGCAAATAGTGAATATTATAAATTTAAATTTCAAACAACTGAGCACAAAATTTAACAGCTTTTTTTTTTGAAAAATTATAATCAAGTCACATAGAAGAAACTTAAATATAACTAGATCCCACAAAATAGATAAATTATTCTACAGTCCCTCAGTTCTTTGGTGTAAATAATTTCATAAGTAAAATTATTCATTTGTTCTAATTGAATCAGAAGCAAAGAACAAAGAAAGAGAAGCCATTTTCGCACAGTGAAGGTAACGAGTTGAGCTCTTGCAATCGTCTTTGAAAAAGTAAGCCAAGTATGATCATTCTGTAGCTAAAATACAAACCCATTGTTATCCTCCCATCTCATATTACTACATTTTCGATCTTTTAAGCACGTTTGGTGTTTGTGACTATAAGAGTTCATCAAGGAAGAAAAGCCCCGCTTTGACCTTCAGTTTTATTGTTATTGTGACTATACCGAATAAGGTAAATGATAAGATCGATTTGCATGTGTTCTTTTCTAATCATTTAATTTAGTCTTTTATTATTTGTTGGTCGAATAAAGTCATGTGGGTTATATCTTACTCTCTCTATGAGTATATTAGTTTGGGTGGTCTCTCTTTACGTGGTGTATCTGTGGTGAGCAATCACAAGCCTTGCATTTGTAATGATGTATTCGAGATTAATATGCTATTTAGTTGAGTTAATAAACTCGTTATCAAATGGCAAGATATACTATTAATAGTCTAAGCATAAGTTGTCAATATGTTATAAGTTGTTATCAATGTGTTTTGTGTGGTTCAAGTTATAAAAAGTAGGTTAAGTTAATGAATCTATTACAAAATGGCAAGACGTATTGTTAATAGTCTAAACGTAAGTTGTTAATATGTTATGAGTAGTTATCAATATATTCTGTGTAATTCAAATTGAGTTGAAAAATTTGTTATAAAAAATAGCTGATAAATCTATTATGAAGTGGCAAGATATGCTATTAATAGCCTAAGCGTAAGTTATCAATATGTTATATATAGTTATTAATATGTTGTGCGATGCAGGTTGATCTGACAAATCTATTGCTCACTTACTTTTTTAGGGCCACAATTTCTTTTTTGATTTGTTTATTTAGAATGACCTCCAAAAGATGAAAGTTAAATGTGTGTGGTGGGTTTTCAATCATCGTAACGATGAAAAAGAATTTACTATCATGTTTATATTATCAAGATCGAACCAAAGAAAAAATGAAAGATAGAAGGAATATTTAAGTTGTGCATATCATTTTAAGATAAAACTTTTTTGCACTTTATGTACTTACCTTGTTGCACAATATTTTGAAATTTTCATTTTAAATGTACATGAGTGTTACAGACCAACCATTTATACTTGGGGAAAGGGTAATAACAATAAGGCAAAGAGAAATTACTACTTCATGCTCGTTCATTGACAAAAAAAAAAGGAGAATAAGACTTACATCCTTATTTACAAGTTCACATATAAGATATAGTACAGCTTTAGAAACATCTTTCATGTCATTACATGATATTCACAACTTATTCCAAAAAAAAAAACAACTGGGTTGCATGGATATTTAATAATTCTATTTGAGTCTAATAACTTTTTACAAAAAATACCATATGCATTTGCAAAAAAATAACAGCTACATAAATAAAAAAAAATGCATGTCTCTAACATTAATTAGCACATATTCAAGTTCTTCCAAGTTTTGAAAGTATGATTGGTCTTGTAACACCTTCTACAACGATAAAACTTCTTGTTTTAAAATTGATATTCACATCCTAGGCCTTCTAGTCTTTGATTGTTTCAAGAATATTCGAGTTAACATATTTGTGACTGTTAAACCTAGACGTGGATTATCATATGTAAATACTAGCCTCAAGCATTGTCCACTTTCTTTACTTGCTTTCATGTCCTATAACTGATGATAACGTTCTTCTCAACTTTTCTTATATTAGCCATTCCTTTATTGTTCTTGTTCTTACACTCTCCCTATGTATTTCATAACAGATTTATCAGCTAAATCTGCACCACACACAACATATTAACAATTATTCATAACATATTAACAACTTATACTTAGACTATTAACAATACACTTTGTCATTTTATAATAAATTTATTAGCTCAACCTGCTCTTTATAATAGATTATTAGCTCAACCTGAACTATACATAACATATTAATAGCTACTCATAATATATTGATAACTGACGCTTAGACTATTAACAACACATCTTGTCATTTGATAACAAATTTATCAACTCAACCAAGTAATACTATAATCTCAAATATACCATTGCAAATGTAAGGTCTGTGACTGCTCATCACAGATATATCACATAAAGAGAGAGAGAGATCACCCAAACTAATATACTCATAGATATATATATATATATATATAACCCACTTGGCTTTATCTGACTAACAAACAATAAAAGACTGAATTAAATTATTAGCAAATAACACATGCAAATCGATCTCATCATTTACTTTGTTCGGCGCAGTTACAATAACAGTAAAACCAAAGGTCAAAGTTGGGCTTTTCTTCTTCGTGAGCTCCTACAGTCTCAAACACCAAACGTACTTACAAGATCAAAGATATAGTAATATGGGATGGGAGGATAACAGTGGGCTCACATTTTAACTACAAAACAATCCTACCTGACTCACTTTTTTAAAGATGATTACGAGAGCTCAGCTCATTACCTCCATTGCGCGAAAATGGCTTTTCCTTCTTCGTTCTTTCCTTTTGATTTAGTCAAGGCAAATGAGTAATTTTACTTATAGAATTATTCACACCAAAGGACTAAGAGATTACAGAATAATTTTTCTATTTTATGGGACCTAATTGTAATTGTTTCTATTTTTTTCTGGCCAATGGAAAATTTAACAATATTTAAACCATTAGAAAACAGAAGGAAAAAGTAGTCCATACCTTTTAAGTTTTTATATTAACTTTTATTTTGTTCGAACTAACTATTTATTTATCTATTTCCATCTATTTACTAATTTTATTTATCTTATACTTTCTGTTATTTATTTTTCTTAATAATTGTTTTTTATTTATCCAATTCATTAATTTTATTTTTCTTTTACTTTTTTCTTCACTCTATGTCTATATCTCCGATTCTATACAATATTTTTGTTACATTTTTTTATGTCATATATGGATTTTTATTTGTTTTTATAATATATTAAATTTAATTGTTTTAATTTTAAAATTTGAATAATGCTTTCTTATTACTTGGGAACTTAACGTAAATTACAAATGATCAATGTCAAAAATAGTTACCGTGCATTGACATCTAATTCCCCAGAGACGTAGGAAGTAGTCCAAAGTTGCTTGGCAAAGAAACATAGCTGTAAATGGTGTCCTGAAGAATCAGAAACCGCAAATAAAGCACCTGACATGTTGAAGTTTGAACTCTCTCTCTCTCAAACGAAGTATACTATATGTTAATTCTTTATTTTAATCCGTGATCATATATAATGCTAAAATGCAACAGTAAGGAGCATACGACGGGCTGAGCACCCGAGCTCCACCGACCTTGTTCGTAGTCGCAGAACAGTTTGGGCATATTTCTAGAGCCCAAATTCCATATATATATATATATATATAACTTCGGTAACCTTTCGATTTCGTGAGTGAGAGGCGAAATTCAACATCAACGGACTGGTTAAGTTGGATGCAATAGCTTCGTGATGAATAATGACGGTTTAATTTACTGATCAATCGGGTTATTATGTGATATATATTAATATCCTTTAAGAATCTGGTCTTCGAATGCACAAGGTTGGTTCGTTTTAGCTTATGAACGCTTAGAGTGAAGGAGGAGGTGAAGTGGGGGGGGGGGAATTTGAGATCCATTGGATGTTTGGAAACTATATGTTAGGTTTCCTTTGATATCTGATGACAACTATCGGTAGCTGAGGCGAGATTAATTATGTTCTTGTTTCCTCGTTCTGGCTCCTGAGACGATGATGTTTTCCTGTCTGAAGTCCATTAGATCGTCAATATTGTGCACTAAATGCTGAAATCTTTTTTGTATCCTATCTCGTGGAAATCTTTTTTACATCGTTCGTGATCTAGAATAGAAGTCACTGCTAGTATTATAAAGTAATTTTATGAAGAAATTCAAAATGATGTCAAATGTATTGGAGGGCATAGAATGACGCTTTTTGTCTGAAACTTGTTTGCAGGTGTTATCAGGCATGGACCTGCCTACAAGTGATGTGGATCCTGGGCTTGAGAAGATTGAAGTTGAGAAAAAGAAAAGTCCCTTGTTCCATTGTGATCTTTTTGATACAGAAGTAGTTTACAAGTTGGCTCAAATGTTACTTCCAGGATTAGCCACTGCCTGTGTTGATAACACATCAGGAGATCTCTTCAAGACTCCTGGTTCAGTGGCTGTTGATTTGAGAAAAGAAATGATAGATTATCTTACCCAAAGAAGTGAATCGTTTGTTGCCGAGTCTGTCATCGTAGAAGGTGAACTACGGGATCATCCGTTTGATATCATTTCATGTTTTGTTGATGACTTTGCAAGTTCAAAAAGAAACTTGTTTAGTCGGGTTTCAGGATGGCTGCTGAGTGAATCAAGAGAAGACAAAATAGATGATTTTTTACAAGATATGGAAATGGATGGGTTTTGGTTGCTAGAAAGGAGAAAAACACTTGCACAAACTTTGCTTAAAAATGTTGACTTGAAGAACTTAATCAAGTGCGGCATGAAATTTAATTATGCACAAGAGCTTGCCAATCACGTTCAACATTGCAGCTTTAGATCTACGATCTGCCAAAATCAGGGATGTGATGCCAGGTTGTGTGCAAGTCATTTGGAGAAGCATGATTCAACTTGTCCTTTCAAGATAATTCCATGTGAGCAGATTTGTTCAGGCAGCGTTATGAGACGTGAAATGGATAGACACTGCATAACTGTTTGCCCAATGAAGCTTGTAAGCTGTCCTTTCTATGCAGTGGGTTGTCCGTCTGCGATTGCGCAAAGCAGGATTAATGAACATTGTTCTGACAATCTTCATAGCCACTTGTTGTACTGTCTTCAAGGCATCCACAGAGAAGCATCTGAAGAAGATCTCAAACAACGAATGGAGCAAATTCTCCAGGTTAGTTTGCAGGTATATTAATGATCAGGACATAAATTGTGTGTGATAGAACTTAAAACTTAGTACCGAAGCACATTATTATAATTTCAGAAAGGCTAATTTTAAAAACAAAAATCTTTAGTGTTTTAGAAGACTTTAAGAGCTGAATTAGAAATATATAATTTTTATATTATATATTAAAAAATAAAAATATGTTAGAGGAATTGTCTTTGCTGAAAGTTTTCATGGCCCGCTCCATTGTCAAACTGAAAGCATTCTACTTAAATTCTTTGTTGTCTTATTAAACACCATTGAGAAAGTCTAATGCAAAACAAAATCCTTTTTCAGCCTGTTAATAATTTTGATACAGCCTATGGTTCCACATATCTTTTACTGTTCCTGTGAGCAAACCAACATTTTGTTTGGTTATTTGAAAACATCCTTGTAAGAATTTTGATGAGATAAAGTTTTGTTTTCCACCCAAAAAAAAAAAAAAACACAGATCAAGTTTTACGCATGCCTCAATCAAGCTCTATTCAATTTCATTTCATAAGTTAGTTCCTAGGGAAGGAAATTATGGGAGATGTTTTCAAGTAAACAGAGTAGTACTAGAAATATGTATTTCTCCCCTGCTGTTGATATGCTTTGTTTGAGAAAATGCTTTCAAGTAAATAGTGTAGTTCGCTGAAAAGTTTGAGAAAATGAATTTATTTTTCCCACGCAGTTGATATGTTATATTTGTGCCTGTACATCAATGAAACGTGCAATTGTAGCTTTTAGCATTATTCACTATTCAGTTGCCATAACATTTGTTGGGCTTGTCACATGCTCTCTGGAAGAGATGTTTCAATCACCTTATAATCAACATTAGGCTTGTAATTTCTTTGTATAGGCATCATCAAACAGCCAGTTAGCTGAGGCTCAAGGTGTGAGATCTTTACAGTTGATTGTAAGAGATATCGAATCAAAACTGGGGGCCTTAGAAGTCGGTGCCAAGAAGAAAAAGAGTGCAGTCAATATTGCCGTGAAATAAAATAATGAAAATATTAATATCATAACAAGAGGCAATGAGCAGCGCTCACAGACTTCAAATGAGGTAAATTCATCAGCTAAAGTTGAAGTCAGTGTCATCATGAAAAAGAGCTGTGCAGAGAATAATCCCAAGAATGTAGACAGTGAATGTAGTCGCAATAAAACCAAGGGCGGTAACCAAAATACAGACTTCAGAGATGGCAATTTTATCAGTTGAAGCTGAACTTAGTTCTTTGAACAAGGAGAATGAAGAGATTTATAACAAAAATGAAGTGATCACAGATATTAACACATCAAGTCGATTGGATAAAGTGGAATGCTGAGATTAACATTAAAGACAATTGTGTTGAAGATGATCATTTTGAGGTTAAGGATAATGAAGATACCATACAGACTTCAAAATAAGTGTAGCGCAGTGCCGTATGGGATGAGTAACGAACAAAACTATATGAATTGATAACTTAAAAGGGTTCAGACTTCAAAGGTGGAACATTTATCAGATAGAATGCACTCAAAGCTACATAAAAAATGATGGTGCAGAGAATGGACATGCAGCAAACACATTAAAGTTGTCTGACAAAAGTGAAGGCTGACTTCAAATTTATATGGAATCTTTACATGTTCGAGAGTTTTTGTTATTATTTTTTATTTTGCTAGTGAATGACCACACATGCCATTTCACAATAGGAAAAAAAAAAAAAAATCGAGAGAGAGAGAACTGTGGTTACTTCTTGCGATGTCGCAACTTCTTGGCTGCTATGGGTAGAGCGTGGTTCCTTTCCTATTGTTGATGAATTATAACATACTTCTGCATGCAAGTATCGTCTGAAGGTGTTCGGTCGTAAAAGGGACATGCAAGATGTTCTCAAGAAAATCCGTTCTTCAAGCATGTTGGCTGAGGACTTTTTTTAAAAAAAATATATATATATAATTTTAAGTCCTTATACTTAGTTTGCATTTTATTATCGATCTCTATATTTTTTTTCTTTTTTCTTTTTGGTGTTTTTAGTCCTGTACTTTTGTTTTTCATAGTACAAGGACCTAAAATTCTGTTTTTCCTTTTCTTGCTTTAAATGTACAAGCTAAGTTGCTAAATGAAGACTGCACAGAAACAAAACCAGAAAAAAAAACATCAAGCAAACCGAAAAGCTATCAACCCCTCTCAAATGCGGTCCACACCTCTCTGCTAAACACAATAGCCTAAGCCTCTGCACCGGTTGGTTCATCAATACATGAAATGCCACTAGTAGCTCCGGGCTATCAGTGATGCTTAAATTGTGAATCTATCATTCTGCCAAGTGCCAATGAATTATGTTATGTCGTCATTAAGGAAATGAGATTTCGGTTGTGAACCCCACCACACTAACGTGAAATTCAAGACCCTTTTTTTTTGGGAATAAAACTGAATACCATTCATAACAGAAAATCTGGAACGACAAAAAGACTACAAGAGAGTCCAAATCAATATCATACACCCCTTACATTAGTTTAAGGTGGTGGATGATCAAAGATGCAAAAACAACTTTTCTCAAAATGAGCTTTCCTAGCTAGAATTCTAGACCCTATTGAAATCTGTCATCAACTCGCTTTGAATCTAAAGAAACACAATCAAAATGACGAATAACAAGAAGCAACAATTTGCATAGTATTGAAAATCATGCCTCTCACTGTGGCCTCAGCAAATACAAATTAAGCATTAAAGGTAAAAAATAAAATAAAAAAATCCATTGCAGTAAGCAACAGAATTATCAAAACTAAAAGATCCGGATCCGGCTAATTTAAACGCTGCAAGCATAAAACACATACTGTGGTACTAGGTGGTGCTTCAATACTTTAAGCGCGAACTCCTTTAAGGCTAACCATGCGAGTGGATGCATCCACCTGCGCTCCCCTAAGTGCTGAACCCTGAGTTGTCCTCCCAGAACCACCATAGGCAGAGTCTTGATATCTCGTGCTCTGATAGCCTCCACCTGCTCCTCTTCCTGTTCGGTCCCTTGAATAGCCATTTTGGCTAAATGTTAACGGCCTTCCTCCACCAATACTATATCCTGCACGTCCACTACTGCCTTGCCTTGTCTGAGTAAGTGACAAGTCTTGCCACCTACCACCAACAGTAGATGTTGCAGCAGCAGCAGCATAGTCCTGACTATCTCGCCGCCTTAGGGGAAGATCCAACCCACCACCACCTATCCTTGCCTCTATTGCTCTTTCATTACTCTCCACAAGAATAGACAACTTCTCTGTCAACTGGAATGCCAAAGCCTGCAATCTAGAGTGCTTCACATCCTGGAAAATTATGCAGCCAGTTGGTTGATCCCAGCTTGCATGGAGCTCCTCATTTATCATCATCCTACTAACAATGCTATGGGTGTGAGGAACAGAGAGGTCAAACATTTTCATGAGCTGCTCAAGGCTCAAAGAATCATAGGATGAAGAGAAGGTAAAGAGGTAAGTCCTTAGTGCCTCCTCCTTGATTTTTTCCTTGAGCATTTCAAGCACCTGTTCATGATTTCTAACAAATTTCCAGACATCCAGCGACTTGATGATATCATAACTCCTATGGAAGTCTCCCTTGCTAAGGGCCCTTGTAGCAGCCATAACATGATCTCTAACATTTTCAGGTGGACCTGTAAATGTTTGCTTCTCGCTAACCTCAAGCAAGCGACGGAAAGTCTTGCTAATAACTTTGCGCTTTGCATCATAGTCATTAGCTGCCATGTTAGGAACTTCCAGAAGCATAGCACAAATAAGATGTACCAACTCCAGGAGCTCAAGGTTAATGTGCATGTGATATGGCATCTGGCGTCTCCTTTCCAACCTTTCCTGAAGGGAGAAAATTGTTAACTGCTATGCCTCTTCAATGGCAATTCTCATAATGCAACAATAAAAGCTAGTCCAGCAAAAATGAAGTGGTAGAAAAATAGTTTTACCAGCAGTAAAGAAAACATTCAGTAGCATAAGCAACACATGACAACACTATGATAGTAGAAGAAGCTTAATATTATGAATGTTAATGAAAGTCTTATTAGACTAATAAGTAATAAGTAAACAGCGCCCTGGATGAACTGATGACATATTTTCACGTAGAAAATGGTATACAGCGATGATGGAAGTCTACAATCACCAAACATTTCCTGCATTAGCACAGATCATGACCACACACAGACACCTACCCTATGCCCCCAAACAAATCAGGTTCCCAGTTTACAGTTCCCAATTATCCTCGAGCTCAACTTCCTTCAAAATGTCTATAAGGAATATAAATTAAATAATCCAATCCAATTGACTTGTATCCCAAGAAACAGATCCACAACCAATAAAATATCACAATACTAAAGTGACTGGAATCTAAGGCGCACAGATTTATATATAACTGATTAACAATCACATGCACAAATATCTGTCAGCATCTTTATTAGCCCCATACTCTCGATTAACACATTGAACCCAGAATAACATTGCAACTGAGATATCACACTGTACAGAAACTAGAACTACCACAAGAAAATGAATAATCAATAACCAATTACATAAAGGAAAGCCCAGGGAGAATATGCAAATAGCAAATACTACCAGCAATAAAACATTAAAACTATTAACAGGAAAAAAAAACAACATTGATATAATTAGTCGCCATGGCCAAAACATGAATAATAGTCACAGTAACAAAATAATCAAACGGAAAAAATGGGCATGTTCAACACCTGCTCTGGAGTCTTCTCATGATAGCGACTTTGTGAGACACCTTGTGCAAGCAGCTCCTTCACCCTTCCACCAGAATATAACTCAGAGAGACAGCCATGAGCCTCAGAAATCAGTCCAACCCGAAAAGCACAGAGGCCTAACTGTGACATGGCCCTGTTAAAAAGTATCTGCGTTGATATATCCATATGCTGAACGCTATCCTGCAAATGGCTCATAAGCAGCAGATCACGTGCAGTTGAGAACTCATCCAGAAGGGCATGGTGATATATATCACAAAGCATAGCACGTGCCTTTGTCCGCTCATCCCCGTACTTATATATCAAGGACACCAATAAGTCCATTAGCGTTCTACTATTCTCTGGGAAGGTGGGTTTTCGAGGAACAAGCTCAGGAGTAACAACAAATGCAGTAGGAGTCCTTGTATCCTCAAACCCTTTAGACTCATCATCCACCTCCCCATTATTGTCATCTGCCAGTTCAGCCAATTTCCTCATGGCATCATAAACCTCCTGTGGTTTGTAATAGATGAGTTCAACACGTCTAAGGGCTACCTTTGACGAAGCTTTAAAATCTCCAACTCTTTCAAGATATTCCTGGACGTCCTGAGCAAGAGCCAGAAACATGGGCTCATCCCTAAGTCTCTCAACATACTCACGAGTATGGGGATCAATACATTGCAAACTCTTGAAAAACTCAGCATCAATTCTTTCTAGGAATGCAACTAAGTTGCCCCATACCCGAATTGGTCCATTGTAGTCAGTGCCCTTCTGAGTTTCATTCTCATCAGGCTCCACTGTATCATCAACAACTATGTTTGGGTACTGCACTAGAATATCAAGAATGACCAGCATATTCAGCACGCATTTCTTCCACACATTAATAGGCATATGCCCATTTAAACCAGGATTAACATCAAATTGAGCAGAAACAACACTGAAAAATATTTCCAGCTTCTGTGCTGGCGTTTTGGCAACTTTTGTTAAGAAGGTAAGCTGCTCAACCTGCTCAAACCTTCCAGTTCCCCTCCTGCCCCTAGCTGCCACAACCTCTTTGAACTTCTTGTTGACCATGTCCCACGAGATCTCACTAGGGTCTTTCATAAACTGCCTATCCATAAGCCTGTCTTTCTTGCTAAGTTTTTGGTCCCAAGGGGCATCAGTTGCATCTGACTTCTCATCATCTTGATCGCCATCTTCAGAATCTGACTTCTGTATCTTATCAATCTCCTCAATTACCTCCTCCTCACTTTCATCCTCATCCTCACTCTCCTCTTCATCTTTGTCCTCCTCACTCTCAGGATTTTCTCTATATTTAGTAATCAAATCCTCATATTGCTTATTATTCTTCTTCAATTTCTGCTTCATTGAGTTCAATGCTTTAGCATTACTACTACTCATCTTCTTTTTGGCATCCTTGTTTGCCAGAGCCTGTGCCAGGAAGTCTTCCAACATCACAAGTGCCTTTATGTAAAGAGTAGGCACCTTCTCAGATTCAGTGATACGCATGACTTTCTCAAGCTGCTTGCTTATTTTATCAAAGCTCTCTTGCAAGCTCACCCAGTCATTAATCTTCATAGCATTCTTCATCTGATCAATTGTAGATGACATTTCTTCAAATCTCTTGTCTTTGGCTGACCTAACAACACGCTTCTGATCATCGGAATCATCACTGTCACTAGCATTACCCTGCAAGTATCTGCTTTTAACAGCTTGGCTAGTAGATTCACCCGCTACATTCTCAACATCTTCATCATAGTCACTCTCCTCCTCCTCGGAGTCACTACCACCCTGTGATTATAAACAAAATACACTTGCGTCAACAAAAGTGGTAATGTTGTTCAATTCCAAAGGATAAGGAATCAACAAAAATGAGGCAGTCAAACATAATTTTAACGACCTGTGTCCAGAATCTAGAAGCCATCCTTGGTCGACAGCAACAAGCAGCAAGTGAATATAACCAAGAGTCTGCAATGATGATAAAAAACACTACCCGGTAAATACAGCAAACAGATAAATTAATAATAATAATAAGAGCTCAACGGCACGAAAAGAAAAAAAACATCGACATATTTATAATTTATAATTTATAAGTATGACTATAACTAAAAATAGATCCATTCAACATATAACGCACAGTATCTGGAGAAGAGATACCCTATAACAGACGTGAAAGTTCAGCTACCTAAAAAGTTGGCTCAGTAGATGGGAAGGTACGAAGTCAGATAATGCACAGTTTCATGCAACAGTTCGTAAGCCTCCTAGAAACACCCAAAGGCACTTGATTACTGCTTAACAAATCGTTTGTGTTACTTGACCACTTTCTCGTTTGCCACCTAATTTGTGTTCTAGCGTAATTCTAGCGGCGCTAACTTCAAATCGCATCTAAAATCTGAATCAGAAAAATAATTGTATTTTATTAAAAAAAGATGGTATACTTTGAAACATCCTTCGGTCGATCACAGAAAAAGCACGTCTATATCTTCCTAATCATGTTTCGTAAATAAGTGACAATTAAACGGAGGACATAGAAAGTATACGACGAATTCATGAAACCGAATATCAAGACGGAAGAAGTAAACAGGTGAAATCTGCAAACGGATCCAAGAGATGAATTTTAAGCGTGCAACGTGCAACCCGCAGCTGTCTCATTCAACTACATTTGTTCCTGTAATCCATAGCCTAACAGAACGCAGCAGCGAGAGACAGCCCGCCCATACAGCCAGCGGGGAGGACGGCACTACTGGCAAAGATCTTCCGGCGAAATCGCCGCAGGCGCGAAACGTACCTAGACCTGCTCGCCCTTTCCTTTACAAGGAAGCGATTATATGCCTTAACCCGATAAAGAAGTTCTATTTTTGTACCTGTATGACGTTAACGTGTCTAATAGAATTCCTCGGCTGAAACGAGGCGAAGATGTAAAGAGTAACTGCTGTGGTGTTCGCTTCCCGATGCTGCGGCGGCCAAGCAGGGAAAGAAGGGTCCGGAAGGTGTTCGGGAAGGACGGAAGAAGGCGAGGAGTAAAAGAGGTAGGGCACAAATAATAGGCCTGGCCCCGCTATTGGCTATTGATGAGCCCAATGTACAAAAAAGAATCAGGCCCAGGAAAAGTAAATTTTTCATAATACTCTCGAAAATTTTCATATATATGTGTATATAAAAAAAGAAGATTTTAGTTATTTTTAATTTTTTATATTGATTATTTATTTTTGTTTTAGTTTATAAAATTAATATTTTTGTTATTTCCCAGGCATCCCCTGCATCCGACAATCATAAAACTAATATCTTGAAATAGTTGTAAAGTTAAGATTTGAAGTTAAGATGCGAGATAATTTAATAATTAAAAATAATAATTTTGTTAAACTCAAATTGTAATAATATAGATAGATTAATTATCATTTTTATTTTTAAAAAATTACACTAAACAGGTTGACACGATCTTTTGTTCTAAATATATATTTTTTATATTTTATCTATATCATTAAAATATTATATATTTAATAAATTTTTGAGTTTAAATATTTTTCATTTAATCTAAAGAGTGCAAAATACTCAAAGTAGGAAATACAAAGTTGCAAAATTTACACAGACTACTTGTAATTTTTCCTAGAGTGAAAGGGTGCAAATCAATGTAATGTGGCTCTGCTATTGTGTCAAGGAGTCTAGTAGCTATTTAAGGAATTGTATTATCTCAAACGACATTCTTCATACATACTTTCAATATGCTATCTTTGCCACACCCACTTTATTACAAAATTAATTAATATCTTATCTATGCATTTATGTTCTTGGCAGAAAATGTATGGATTTTCTCTCCTTACGTATAAACAAAATAAAACATAGAAAGAAAGAAAAAAAATATTCTTTTTAAATCGCACCCAGCTCTTTTAATTTTCCCTAACAATATCCTGAATATTATGTTTAAATTAAAATTATTACGATTATTACAAAAAAATTTAGAATCATGAGTTTTTATCTTTGATTTTCCTTACTTGATTGATTGTGTCGGGATTATTGGTTTTGATCTGGGACTTTAATTTTTAATTGGTTGTTGTTGTCGTGCCTGCTGGTTCATGGAAGAGATAATAGAAGAGGGGGATCATGCTCCACCTCTTCGATTTAAGACTTTTCATGGAAGTAAATGGATGCTAGATCATTGCCTTGATATGGGGCTTTGGTTCCACTGCCATTGTGATTTTGATTCACAGCCATCTTGACATGCTATTTCATGGGTTCACAATTGATGGTGGGCTTTTTCCTCTTCCTACACTGGTTCATGATATTTGTGAATGGGCTTCCAATGATGGAAGAGATTTCTTTTTTTGGAGGACATTTTGATATTGTTATATTATAAATATATATTTTAATTTAAAAATTTACCTCACACAAAGCTTGTTTTAAATTAAAACCGCTTGTCTGCCTCACTTCCTCTACATCTTTATCTTCCATTTCCTTTTTCACTTCTACTTCCATAATGGGACATAAATTATCATTTGAAATTAGTTTACTTAAATGATTTGCACTGCCCATTGAGTTGGGAGGGTTAAGATTCATGGATTGCTGATGCTTCAGAGTGTGAATCTATGAACAAGGGAATTCATTTGATCATCGTGGCCTTTTAGCCACTCAAAGAAAGTAAAACGATGTGATAATTTAGAGGGAAAGTATTAATAAAAACTCTTTGGCCAAATTTATTTTGAATTAAAATTCTTAAATTTCTGAAATATTATTGCAATTCAGGGATCCTTATTTGATATCAAACATCTGAATAAAATGACAAAATTACCCCCTCATTTAAATTAATATCAAAATTATTTTATTTTACTTATTCACTGCATTACTTCACTCATTTAATTCAATTACTTACGAAATATTGTTCATTGCCCTACTTCACTTGATTTCATTCCAAATATTTAAATTATTTCAAGATAACTTGTTGGTTCCTGTGTTATATATTATTTATTTACTCACGAACTGTTGTTCATTGCCCTGCTTTTATTTAATTTCATTCTAGATTTGTTCCTATAATGTACAATGTTTATTGACTTACAGAATGCTATTTATTACCTTCCTTCATTTGTTCATTGTCAGACTTTTATTTGATTTCATTTTAGAGAAAATAAACAAATAATGTTGGGTAATGAACTATATTCCATAAGTAAATGAATAAGTGAAGTAGGGTAATTTTAAGTTCTAATATTAATATAAACAAGGGGTAATTTTGTTATTTTTATCAAAAATTTAATATCAAATTAAGAATCCTAAACTATAGTGATATTTCAAGAATTTAGAAATTTTGATTCAAAATAAATTTGTTTAAGGAGTCTTTGTTGATATTTTCCCTAATTTAGATGACATGAATGATTGGTTCTGGAGCAGGAAGCTTAAGAAGAATAATTTGTTTTTTCTTCCTCTAACCGAGGAAGTAGCTCAGGTGAAGTGAAAATTCTAGCACATATTTAAGAGACAAATTTCTGATCCGTAAAAACTTCATGAAGGATAGGTTGAATCTTAATCCATTAATGCATGCTGGTCAAAAAATTTAAAAAAAAAATCCTCTATTACATGTCTGGCGCAATGCAATTCTACTTTTAGCAAGTAGCAGTTGGTTTTGTATAAATTTGAATAAAAAAGGAAAAGAAACCTAATAAAACATGAAAATGAAAAAAAAAACACACAAATACCTGTAACACGAATTTGGTATAAAAGTTACGATTTTATTTTATATGCTAGACCAAATAAACATGCATATAAAATACATGATCGTCATCTAAACAAATGAGCTGAAACGCGAAACATATATGACCTCCGGTCATTGTTATTTTTCAAGTTTTTTTACAACAACAAAAAATTATTTTTATTTTAGAGTGCGTGTTTGATTATAATGAATATAATGCCAGCTAGTTTGAGAGAGTTAAACTCATTAACTACTATTAATCGAAAAGGAGGAGAGGGACGTCTTCCATGAAAAGTGTCACGCACAAAACGGTAGCATGGTAAGTTCATTGAATCTGTTGACACGCCATGAAACCACGACACATTCCTTGAACAAAATTATGCTCTACATGATCGAGACGCGGTACAAAAAGGCTGTCTTTTCTTGAACGATAATGCCAATGCACAGTACAAAGACATACAGTACGTGATGAAGATAAAAGAAGTTCATCAGAAAACAAATGTAGCTTAGCCAAAGCCCAACGGCTCATACATGAACAAACAGAAAAGTAGAACGAGCTGTACCGTGTGGAAAGTGGGACAAAGTTAACAGCAAAATCGTTAAAAGAAAAATAGGATCAGAAGTCCCACGTGGTTGGACGCTCGCCGCCTGTCAGTCCACTTTGGCACCCACCTCCTTTTTAATTACACGTCCTTCCTGTTCACCTTCCTAAATTCTAACTCACATCTATATACAAGTCTTGTTAGAATCAGGCATATGATGAACTGCATTAAGCATTTGCAAAAGAGGAAAAACTAATCGGAATCCTCAGATACTCCAAAACAAGAATCCAACCTCTCTGATCTAACATTGGTACGTACCTACCTTGCCCACTTTGTGTACTCCCAACCTCTGACAAATTCAGCGTATCTGCATGCCACAAAACTTGTTGCTGATGAGTTGTTAACTCGAAAAATATAGTTGGCATATTAATTTTTGATAAGATGAGAAAATCCTTGCCTTCATGCTGACTTTGACGATTTGAACAGTCCCTTCCAAACCTTTCTGTCCAGATCTATCAATTTTGACGGTGAAGATATACAGCATCATTTCTTATCAGTTTCAATTGCTGTGTCTCAGAACCCACTTACAAGGGATCACATCGATCAAGAAATTGATGATGGTTGAACTCGAAGGATCACTCAGCTTCAAGAGCCACGAGTTGGGGAACATTTTCTATTTTAGATCTCCAAAAATAGATATAAATAATAGCATCCTTGATGAACCAGCAAGCAAAAAGGACACAGATGCCTTTAATCACTTGTCAAGATCAAACAGCAACTCATCCGAAAGTAACTTGCATCAGCCAGAGATTGATAGAGACCAAGCTGCATTAAAGTTGCAAAGAGTTTACAAGAGTTTCCGAACAAGGAGGCAGCTGGCAGATTGTGCTGTTCTCATTGAGCAGAGATGGTTAGTTCTATGCACTTTTATTTGCACGGGAAATGTTGGCATCTATCTCCTTAAATTCTTATAAGTTACCTGCATAGGTGGAAGGTGTTGGATTTTGCCGAGCTGAAGCGGAGTTCTATATCATTTTTTGACGTTGATGGAACAAAAACCGCCCTTTCACCTTGGTCGAGAGCAAGAAAGAGAGCTGCAAAGGTAATAATACCTAATTTACGCATGATGGCTTGTACTTTAAGATGTTATTGTTGAAGTCCGAGCTGCAATAGCTGGTGGTTTTTTTTTTTTTTTTTTGTTGTATGGCAGGGCGGGAAGGGTCTATCCAAGGATGAGAAGGCTTGTAAGCTTGCTTTACAGCATTGGCTAGAGGCAGTAAGTCTTATCACAAAGGCGATATTGTTTTCAACTCAATATTATCCAGTTACAATTTCTAACTAGGTCTCTTTCAACAGATTGATCCTCGACATCGCTATGGTCACAATCTTCAACTTTATTATCTTAGATGGCTTAATTGTGATAGCAATCAACCTTTCTTCTATTGGTAAGATTTCCTCAGTCCCAGAGGAAGAATAAAGAAGGAAGATTGAATTATTTCGGTTCCTGTTTAGCAACTAAGATTTCATATTTTCATTAACAAAGAATATACGTATTTACCAGTATTTTAATATAGGCTTGACATTGGCGAAGGCAGGGAGGTGAGTCATGAGAGATGCCCAAGATCAAAACTTCAACAGCAAAGCATCAAGTATCTTGGTCCAGTGAGTTTCACGTTTCCTTCAAACAAGTCCTTTTCAAATCTCGAAATGTTGAGGAATTTCAAAAGTTTTTTGTTTTGTAGGTGGAAAGAGAGGCTTATGAAGTGATAATCAAGAATGGGAAGCTAAACTACAAGCAGAGCGGGAAATATGTTGAAACCACAGGAGATGATGCTAAATGGATTTTTGTGCTTAGTGTATCCAAGACTTTGTATGTTGGACAGAAGATTAAGGGGAAGTTTCAACATTCAAGCTTTCTGGCAGGTGGAGCGACACTATCTGCTGGAAGATTAGTGGTGGAAGATAGTGTTCTGAAGGTATGATAAGGAAACAAACCAAGATAATTTCATTGTATTTCTTTGCCCTGTCTGCGTTTGGTACTGACATACGACGTTAATTTCCAAATTGAAAGGTAGTTTGGCCTCACAGCGGCCATTATCGCCCAACTAAAGAAAATTTCCAAGAATTCATGTCATTCCTCGAGGAGCATAATGCCGATCTTACAGACATGAAGGTAGAAAATGCAAAGATACTTGATTTATCGAAGGGTGATATAGTGTATTAGCTAGGAGGGGAAAAAGCATAATTACATACCCGCTCACTCTCGTCATTTCCATTGTAACCAGAAAAGTCCATCTGAAGATGAAAAGCCTGTTTGATTTTCACTTCATCAAACATTTTTTTAATTAAAACTTATTTGATAAAAATTAGTTTAATAAAAGTATATTATTATAATAAAATTCATATTTAAATATATTTTTTTAAAAGTTAGTTTGATATATTAAAACTTGTTTGAATAACAATGAAATATATTTTTAAATGTATAATTATCAAAATGAATATTGATCTATAATAATTTATAATTTTTATTATATAAATATAATATATTAAAAAAATTTTATAAGGTAGTGGTAGAATAAAATGTATTTAACAAATTTTTAACTCTATTCTTATTAAATATATATATTTAAAAAATAAAATATTATAATGTTTAATAACTTTCCCAACATTTAATAAGATAAAAGAATAAAGATAAATATAATAATTATTAAAATATTTTATAAATAGAATCAAAATAAATATTATTTATCTTATAAATAAAACAAAAGTCCTATAAATAAGTTAAAAAAACTTTTGAAAAGTGTTCAAATTACATGTTTCCAAATTTACTTTTAAGTCAGTTATTAAAAATTTAAAATCCTTTTGCAATGTTAATTTTTACATATAATTAATCAAATAACATTTAGCATTTAAAAATGGAAAAGGATTTTTGAAAAGTGAGAAATAACGAATCCATACCTACCCGAAAGGTATTCATCCAAAAAGAATAAGAATTCTCTCCCCTGAGGCAATCCTTCACATGGAGAAGTGCCACGAGAAAGAGAAAAGGAAGGATTTTGAATTTCGCTCCATGCGATGCTTTACGCTGAATCAAATTGTCACCGCCCTACGTCAAGAATGTCCAGAAGAGTAGGATCTAAAACAACTAGAATTGAAATACCGTATGGAAGTGACGTGTCAGCAATTTTTGAGGAGGAAGATGTCTCGTCAAGCTAACATTTTGAACCCTAGAATCGACGTTAGGCAATGGGTATGAAACAGCAAAAGAATCATTTACTGATGAAGAGAAATTCAAGGCTATGAAGTCGAACTAGTTTGGTAATGAAGATCAGGAGAGTGAAGAACAAATATTAAAAAACATAACTTTATATCTTTATATTTTACTCATACTTTATTATTGATTCCTGCATTTTTTTTAATAATTTAGGTATTGTACATTTATTTTTTAATATTTTAGATTCCTTGCACTTTTATTTATGGAAGAATTTAAAATATTAAAAAATAAGAATGCAGAGATTTAAGACATTGAAAAAATGCAAGAACTAATAACAATATGTAAGTAAAATGCAAGCACTCAAAATTATATTTTTTCAAAAAATATTAATTATGACATGAGAAATCGCTTATCTCAGCTTGAGTTTCAAAATATGAAATGGCAAAAGAAAATAGAAAAGGAATGGAGATGCAAGGTATCAAACCCTATACCTCTCGCATGCAAAGCGAGTACTGTACCGTTTGAGCTACATATCCAATGAGACAAGGGCCAATAAGTCATACACTTAACAAACACCGCTACAATCTCACCATGTAACAATAAGCAAATTGAGTCGCTGGTATAATTGGAAGCAAGCTGTAACCGGTCTAGAATTGTTCATGAGATGGGATATGACAAGACTAGAACCCCCTTATCTCGTGTCTCATCTTAAAAAATTATCAAGATTAAAATTTTTCCCCTATTCTGTCCCGTCCAGTTCCAAATGTTGTCCCGTCTCGTTAGGAATTGGGACAAAATTAGGATGAGATTGACAATGTGGGAAAAAATCAAATATTAACATTCATTAATTAAAATTTTTAAATTACATAACTTATTAACTTTAAAATTAAAACAAAACGAGTATATAAATCATAATAACTATTAAATTACATCAATTACAACTACAAATGTACAACTTGAAGTCAAGTATACATGAGACATAACACATCGTGATAGCAATTTTAAGTGATCTCTCTACTATAAAAGCAACAACAACAAACAAACCGACACAACATCAAGTCATTATTCTTTTTCTTTAGTTGAACTATGTAAGCTAGTGACTCTTTCTAAAATAAATTAAAAAATATGATATAAATAAAAGTTATTAAATAAGTAGATATAAAAATAAATTATATTATTAATATAATTAATATACTATAAAGAAAGATATTAACATGTACTACTTCTTTTATATCATCAAACTTTTCAACATAAAAAAATTTTAATTTTAAATAAGAATAGCAAGTATTGAAATTGTAATTAATATAAGTATAAATTATATAAATATAATTAATATATTAGTATAATTTTAAAATAAAAAATAATATATATATACATATATCTCTTGATATAATATTGGGGAAGGGAAGGGACGGGATGTCCCAAGGGCACTCCCTTCTCCCGTCCTAATTATTTTTGGTTAGGAATAAAATTTATTTAAATATAATAGAGACAAAATTAGATCAATTAAGATAGATATAAGTTAAACACCTTTAATAACTATTGTCATTCACTTGGCTAAAGCTTTAATAGCGGGTCTATGGTAAGAAAGTTTGAAGACTGGTACGTAAAAATGGAGCAGTTTGACAAAGATAGCTCACTATTTATTATAAAGTACACTAACTATTTTTTGAAAGTTGTTTGTGAAGATGTTATTAAAAAAGTTGTTTATGAAAAAATAGTAAAAAAAAAAAGAAAAAGAAAAAAACCCCGGGGGGAGTATTTAGCGAAATTTATTTCAATCCGTCCTACCATTTGTTCTCCACTGGTCGCAAAATTTAAATCATGTTTCCGTCATCTCACCTCCACTCGACCTTTAACAAATTAAAATAAATTAAACATTTTATGTGTTTGATTCAGCAGCATAAGAATGTGCAAGGTGTCCTGGTTAAGTTTAATGCTTTATGTTAGAAGCTTGCAAGCAATTCTAAAAAATATCATCTAAATCATTTGATATGATAACGCCCTGCCATCAAAACTTATTGGTGCCTTTACACTTACATACTCTCCTCTCGTTCATGAAGAACTGCCAAGGCTTTGGACCTTAACACCTCCCTGATATTTTTTTTTAAACATAACAGATGTAAAAATTTCAAAATAAAATATTAAACGTACGATTTAACGGGAAAGTCGACATTTATTTGTAAAGATCGTAGGCATATGATCTACCCACAAATTTATAGGCATGGTTTTTTTTATAATTATCGGATACATTTATCTCGGCGTGATGAGAGAATAGGATCACAAAGGTACAGTTAAATTATTAGTTTTTTTTACAGATTAGAAAGTTCTAGCTTTTTTGTGGCCAATTTTTTTAAATATTTCAAAAATTATTGGCTAGTGATCCCGGCGCCTGACTCCCTAGGGATAAATTCGTCATTCAGAGAATCGTGTGTCATATAATATTTTATTTTAATTGTTGCCATTATTTCGACACTTAGGGTTCCTTTTGTATTCGATACGAGAAGGTAGCCGCGCGCACAACCCTCGCTCTCTGTTTGTCACCCGTCATCTTTAAAACCCTCAGGTACGGTAGGGTTCCTTTCCCCGTTGTTGAACGCAACAGCCCCATTGTGTTTCGATGTTATCTACAGTATTAGTTACAATTTCCTTGCTTTTTGAGAATGCGGACTACATATTTCTACGCCGTCTTATGTGTTCTTTCATTAGTTTTTCCGCCAGTCAGGGTGTCTGGGAAGACTTATTGACGTCTTGTAACCTATGATGATTATGTATCGTTTGGTGGGTGAAATGCTTGATGTTTATGAGTCGACGTTTAATACGCGGGCACTGGTTAACTTTTATTGCGTCCACTCATGAACTGGGATATCTAACTGTAGCTACATTTGAGCGGGTGAAATTTTATTGCATTTTCTTAATTCACTGAGTATAGGATCCACATCCAGGTAATTGTTTGCTATCCCAGCGTTTGGGAGCTTCGTGGCTTTATGAAACTCTCTATTGATTGTTTTGCCTAAGTTTTGTGCTTTGCTCTAAAGTAGTGGAATTCTGTTACCAGATAACATTACTATTAAGACATCAAAGATAATTATTTGCACCAATTAATGTCTGTCAGCCTAATTATTTAGCAAATCTCGTGTCACGTTTTCTTTTAGTGGATTCCTTAATTTTTTAAAGGATATTTAACATTATTTAGGTCTATAATGTTCTTTTCATCAGCTACGCTGCTGGGGCATGCCTTGGGTAAAATTTCTACTGCCAATACTAGACACAACCTGTGATAGTTCAAATTTCAATGAACACTTGGTAGAAAATAATGTATACATATCCTGAATTTTATGGTTTTAAAGGCGTATTCTGTTTCTGAAGGTGTCGTTGAGATGGTATATACAAAATGACAATATTCTTACGTTATGGTTAGAATTCAAGTAGCGCAGGTGTGTGTGTGTGTGTATTTTTGGGTAGCTTTTAAACCACTTATTCGTCTATAATATTTTCAGTTGCCCTCTTGAGTTAATTGTTCCCATAACTTTCTATTTACACAAAGACTGACATTCCTCCCTGGCTTATCTGGAATATTGATATTCATTTATGCAAGCTGCTAATTGGAGAATTATTGTGTGTCTAAAATGGTCGTTCGCATCTTTCTTATTAGTTTAAATATCATGAATTATAATCTTGAAGGTGTATTATAATTCTAAGGTGGCGGCTCACATGGCATTTTCAAAATGAAAACAGGCTTTTAGAAGAAGTTGCTTGTATGTTTATATGTCTTTAGAACCATTGATGAGGTTCTTGATGATTTCTATTTTCCATTGGTCACATGAGTTACATCGTTCCCATTATAAACCAACACCTTAGCTAACATTTCTCTTGGCGTGTCCACTATGTTCAGTCGTCATCTTTTTTCTCATTTCCAAACTACATGAGTAAGCATGCTTTGCTGAAATTTGAAGATATGCGATATTATAGGAGTCATGTCTTGTGTACATCTGTAGTTCCACATTTTTATGCATATCATTGATGCAATGTCACTGTACCTGCTATCGTTTTGTATCTGGTGCTTGTGTGAACAGGATGGAATCTCAGGTCAAGCATGCTGTGGTTGTTAAAGTCATGGGACGCACTGGATCCAGAGGGCAAGTGACTCAAGTTAGAGTCAAGTTTTTGGATGATCATAACCGTTATATCATGAGGAATGTGAAAGGACCAGTGAGAGAAGGAGACATTCTTACCTTGCTTGAGTCTGAAAGGGAAGCCAGAAGACTTCGCTAGGGGAGTATCACAATTAGTTTTTTTCCCTTTTTTGAATGCTCAAGACCTTACTCTTTTCTTGTCCAAGTTCTACAAGTTATTCATACAACGACTGAGTTTAAATGTTGTTGAACCTCTGTTTGAAATTTCCATTCTGCATTAGTTTGCGCCCTTATTATTGTGCTTGTTCATCGCAGTATTATTGAGCCTCTGTTTGAAATCAACTGGAGACTTTTTCATCTTTAGCATGGTCTTTCCTCTTTCCTTTTCCTTCGCAAATTATTATCTAGCCTGGTCTCCTCTCCATCTTCTCACGTCAACCAGGCTCCCCTTCTATCACACCTCTTTTCTTTATCACTTTCCATTCTCATTGTGTCATAGAGCGCCATAAGGTCTCTATTAACCTAAAGATTCAAAGAAAAGAACCAAACGATTAAAACTAAAAATGTCATTAAAGGTTTACACTGAATAAATGAGCATGCCTTGTCTCCAGCGCAGTTCCTTGAAATCAAATGCAGTCCCTGTTGCATCTGATCCAGAGAATTAAAACGGAAAATGACCATTTCCTAGTTTCACTCAACTGTCCCTACCCAAAGCTTCGATGGTTATCTATCCATTCAAGGAAGATAAGATATTTGAAAAAGTTCATTCCTGTTCTAGATATATTTTCTATGCACGCGCATAAAAATCTAACCTTTTTTTTTTTTTTGAATGAAACACGGCCCAAAAAGTAAAATACCAGTTTATTACTCGTAAATTACAATTGCAAGTAAAAATAATACTTTAATTGATTTTCATGTTAAAGTCACGTTAATAATTAATGGTTTCTAGAGTCTAAAGCTATTGAATTTGTTAAATTTAGGAGTGTTAAACCTTGTGCCCATGCTGATCGGCTCGATTCATTCCAGTTGTACTAAAATAGGACTTTGTAGGGTGGAACAAAAAAGAATTTGAAATGGGATAAAATACTGGATTGCCTTCAAAATATCTTGCCTCATCCTAAATATTATATATATATGCATGTGTTACTTTTTTGTCTTAAAAACTGATAAGCATTAAATATATTAATTATATTAATATAATTAATTTCAATTCAGCACAACGTAATGGTGAAGTTGACCTCTAGGCTAAGAATGCTCTGGATGCTAATCTGGGTTTTTATTTCTTCTCCCCTGAAGATTTAACTACTGGAGATTTGTTCATACCTCTACAGTGCATAGGCTTTTGGTGTCTTATTCTTAATTTTTTGGTTGTTGTTGTTATGTTTGTTTCTTATAAAAAATATAATAAATATAAGAATAAATTATATTAATTATAATTTGAATTTGAATATTAGCAATCCTTATTCAAAATTAAAAGTTATTATATTAATAATTTTAATGACATATAACAAGTAGTACAAGGTAATTTTTTTTCACAGTATATTAATTATATTAATATAAATTATTCTTATATTTATTTATTTAGTAATTTTTATTTATATTATATTTCTTGCTTTGTTTTTATAGGAATCGGCTTCCAATATCTCAACTAAACAAGAATAACATGACTTAATGTTGTACTTAATTTATCTGTTGTTACTCTTGTAACCTAGAGCTCACTTGTAGGTGCTGTCATGATATGTTATATATTATGCATCTTTTAAATTGTGATTGATGAATCTCAATAATTAACTTTAAATCATTATGATTTTTGTGTTCGTGTTAGTTTGAATTTAAACTTAATAAGTTATGTGATTTAATATTTTAACGAACGCTACTATCTAGATTTCTTTCTCATGTTATCTGCTTTATTGGTCCTATATCGATTCCTAACAGGATGGGATATAAGATATAAATTCAATCTTAGCCATTTCCTAAAACAAAACACGAGAAAAGAATATAACAAAACTAAGTGTGCATTTGGATTTGATTACGTTTACATTCCAAAAGTAAATTTTAACTTTTTGAATGTAAAATGTTGTTTGGCTTTCTTTTTTTAGACAAGATGTACTTTTTAAACTGACTTTCAAATACGTTTGAAATGGAAAAATTTGCAAAGCTACTCCCAGTTGCTTCCAAAACGTGATCAGTTGGATGGACATTTATTGCTGGTACCTAATTTGTTTATTGACCATGATGCCCCTCACTTTTGCAGCTGATACATATCACGCATACTCTCCTCTCGTGGTCCTCATTTGTGCAGCTGATACATCAGTGTTCTTCGTCCTTTGCCGCTACTCTGTGTCCGCCGATCGTCCGCCGTTAGTCCGCCACTCGTCTGCTGCTAGTCCACCGTTTGGCCATCTCTTCTCCTTCTCTCCTTCGCCTCTCCTCCACCATCACAGATCCGGATCTCTTCCTTCCCTAAGCTTCTCCTTCCTTCATCAACGGTGGCTGCATTTCACCGTTAATTTCTCCCCATCTCTTTCACAGATCAAGCTCATTTTGGGACTTGGGCGGCATTTTGGAGCTGAGAGAACTCCGACCAGCAGCTTTTGCAACCTGTGGAGTGCAAAGGTGAACATTCCGACCAGCTCGTGGAACTCCAATCCTCTTCTCCGATCTGCTCTTCGATCTGCAAGGTATGATAGCCTCCAAGTTTTTTTTGTCAAATCTGGAAATGGTGCTGCGTTGTTCTGCTCTTCGATGTGATCTGTTGCTTTTCTTGTTTGGACTACCGTGAAGCTCTGTTCTGATCTATTTCTTTTCTTTTTTGGACCACCGTGAAGCCACTGTTCCCGTCTGTTTCTTTTGTTTTTCAAACCACTGTGAAGCATTTCGGTCTGTTTCTTTCATTTTTCAGACCACCGTGAAGCATTCTGGTCTGTTTCTTTTCTTTTTCAGACTGGTATGAATTTTTTTAATTGCCTTCTTTTGATAGCTTCACATAACAAGAAAATATAAGCAAGCAAGAAGATTATTTATGACTGCATATTGTAATTATTCTGTTCCGGTCTGTTTCTTTCATTTTTTAGACCACCATGAAGCATTCTGGTCTGTTTTTTTATTTTTCAGACTGGTGTGATTTTTTTTAATTGCCTTCTTTTGATAGCTTCACATAACAAGAAAAAAATAAGCAAGCAAGAACATTATTTATGACTGTATTTTGTAATTATTCTGTTGATTTGCTGATGTTCTGAAATATGACACGGTGTTTTGGAAATATATTCTGGTGACTGATCTATTGATTGTTCTATGTTGCTTTGTTTTTTTAAATTTCATTTTGATAAGAATTTGAGCTAATTTATTTTTTGAAAATTGATGAAGGGATGAGAAAGACTACAAATTTCTGGTCAAACTTGCTTATTTTAATACATAGTATTGAATTATATGATTTGAATTTTTGAGTGAGTGCAGAAATTATCTTATGGCTGCTTTTGAATAACTGCCTCTTTCAACAAGTATATGTGGCTAAGATAACAAGTGGTTAATTAACTATGATCGAATAATCTTTTTCTCTTTTTGTTTCCAAAAAAAGGATAGTAAAATTTTTAAGAAGGATAAAAAAGGATAGTAAAATTTTTAATATTTTAACTCTAACTCAATTATGGATTTTTACTCCTCAAAATTCATGTGTATTGAGAATGTGATATTTTAATAGTAAAAATGAGTAAAGAAAAGGCACTATGGACTACCGAAGAGACCGAATTGTTTATTAAATTAGCTCTCCAGCAAGTTAAGAAAAATGAGCGTAAAGGCTCTACCTTATCAAAGGAGGGTTGGGAGGCGCTAATGCAACAGTTCAATGTTTTGAGTTCAAGAAGTTATGATAAGAAGCAGTTGAAGAATAAATGGGACAATTTAAGGAAAGATTGGAATATATAGGACAAGCTATTGAACAAAGAGACCGGTTTGGGATGGGATAGTGAAAAGAATATTGTTTCAGCACCAGAGGAGTGGTGGAGTCAAAAGATTAAGGTATACAATTATACATGGCATGCTATACATTTCATATTTTATTTTATAGATGTACTAGACTCAATTCCTGTAAATGTGCAGGAGAATCCTGAGTATAGGAAATTCAGGCATAGACCACTTCCATATGCACAAGAATTGACACAGTTGTTCCAGCCAGTTGCAGCACAGGGCACTTACATGTGGATACCTGCGGCTGATGATCCACAAGATGTGTACAGGCCTCAATTGGATTTGACCGAAGGATCAGGAGACAATGATGATATAAGAAACATTAATGGAGGAGCTCTCCCAGAAATTGGGCAGGTTAACTTGAATAATGCATATAGTGGTGGTACTAATTCAGGGAGCAAGCGAAAGAGATGTGAAAGTGGTTAAAACAAAAAGGGAAAACGTCTTGTAACGATGATGGTTGATTCAGTGAGTTGATTGGTGTCCACACAAGAGGATAGGGTTTCAATATTGAAGTCAATTCTTAATTCCATAGAGGGTGGAACAAAACCAGTTGACCAAAATGTGTTGGAGGTTGCAAAGAAACTTTATGGAATCGAGGAGATTGCTTATGATGAGGTGCTTTTTAGACAGTGTGATGTGGCTTTGCTAGATAAGACCGCAAAGGACATGTATATTGGGCTTAGGGACAACAGAAGAGCATTAGTGGCCTATTTGAGGTGCTTGGGCAAAAAATGAAATTAGATCATCTTAGCTTACCTTCTAATGTTTTAAAATTTAGCTAGTGTCGTTCATGTTGTTAATTTATTTTGAAACTGACTGTGTTATTTGACTCTTGTGTTATGTGTTTCTTACGTTAAGTCATGAACAAATAGTGTAATGGTTGTTTAATTATGCTATGCAGTTTTTATGGATGACAGTACGCAATTTTGCTTATTACAATTACTTGTACATGCGGAAGACGATGAGATTGAGGCTATTACTGCAATAATATCCAATTACTCAACAACTTTATTGAAAGAGCCTTGTAGAACCAGTTCGCAATCAGGTCATGCATGGGTGCAAGAAATTTTGCAAGGGCATCCTCAACGTTGTTATGATATGTTTCGTATGGAAAAAGATATTTTTCTTCAACTTTATGACGAACTAGTGCAACATGGCCTACGTCCAACCAGAAGAATAGGGATTCATGAAATGGTTAGTATGTTCCTAAATATTGTTGGACATAGAGTGGGGAATAGGATGGCACAAGAACGATTTCAACATTCAGCAGAGACTGTTCACAGGCATTTTAGAAATGTATTGCATGCTTGTGAGAAGCTAGCAAAGGAATATATCCAACCAAAAGATCGCACTTTTCAAGATATTCATCCAAAAAATTTAGGTGATCTACGATATTGGCCATTCTTTAAAGATGCCATAGGAGCAATTGATGGCACACATATCCCGTGTGTGGTTAGTGTTGAAGAGCAAGGGAAATATATTGGAAGGAAAGGTATTCCAACACAAAATATAATGGCCGCATGTGATTGGGATACGTGCTTCACTTATGTCATGGCTGGATGGGAAGGGATTGCTCATGATGCTCGTTTGTTTGACTATGCTCTCACAAGGCCGGACATGAAATTTCCACATCCACCCCAAGGTATATTTCATATTTATCTAATTTAAACAATTATTTTAATATTTTTTGGGATCTTATAATTTCTGTTTTTTTATTAGTAGGTAAATATTATTTGTTAGATGCTGGCTATCCAACTCCACGTAGATATTTAGGTCCTTATAGATCTCATAGGTACCACTTCCCAGATTTCAGGCGTTCATCTGGATTTGCAAATAATAATGAGATTTTTAATTATTATCATTCAAGTTTAAGGACTACGATTGAAAGGACTTTTGGGGTTTGAAAACATAGATTCGCAATCTTACAACATATGCCTAGCTATCCATTTGTGCAGCAGGTTCGTATTGTTAGTGCAACAATGGCTATACATAATTTTATTAGAAGAAAATCTGTAACTGATTCTGACTTCAGGCATTTTGAGGATGAAAATATGGTTAACACTATTGATGATACTGATGAGCCTGCATTTTCAACAACAATTCCAAGTGCAATTTCAAGCATAGCTTCTGATAGAGAAATGAATAAGGTTCGAGATTTTATTAGAGATCAGATTGTATATTATAGATTGAACCATTAATCATGTAACTATTCAATATTAATGAATTTTTAACTATTTATTACATAATTTTTTTCCAAAATTAAATTTTATTTTTTTATTCTTAATATTTAACATTTTAAATTTTATGTCATTTTAAATTTGTTTCACCTTTTTTTTAATATATTACATTTGTATAATAAAAATTATAAATTATCATAAATCAATGTCCTTTTTGGTCATTACATATTAAAAAGTACATTTGAAAAGCATAAATTTTTATTAATCCAAACAACTTTCAGTTTGTCAAAGTGACTTTTGAAAAAATATATCCAAATACAAATTTCGTTACAACAACTGACTTTCACGAAACTGACTTTTGCTAAGTGAACTTTTATCAAACTGACTTTTAACAAACTGAAAACCAAACGCACACTAAGTTGAACCGAAGTTTTAGAGTGCTAGTTCACATACCAATCCCTGGCCCTGTCTCATTACCTACGCACGCTCCCTTATTAACCAGTTTCCCAAATGATTGTGAATTTAGGCTTTTCAAATGAATGATTTTGATTAATAGACGTTTTTTTTTTAATTTTTATTACATACATTTTTAATGAGAGTTGGAACTTGAAACTACCTTTTAATTTTTCTGTGGCGCCCTTGCCCTTTTGTTTATATTTTCTTATTTTTTATTACATATGTTTTCTAACATTTCAAATTTCATATTATTTTTATTATATATATTATTTAGTATATAAAATTTTATATTATTTATATGCTTCATAAATTATTCACCACATTAAATTTTATATTATCTCTATATTTTTCAACAAATTAAATTTTATGTAAAGAAATTAGATATCATAAAATGCATGCCCATTTTAATGGTTATACATTTAAAAGTAATTTTTATTATATGTGATCCAAACATTTTCAGTTTATTAAAATGATTTTTTAATACATATATTTAAATATAAATTTTGTCATAATAACCAATCAGGCTAATTTCACTAAAAATAAGAAGTTTTTTTATTAATCAACAATATTGATCTGGCACTGACTTTTCTTTTTGTGGAAAAAGAATTTGGGACTCGATTTTCCTTCACTGACCTTTTCCTTCACTTCTGCTCCATTACCTTAAAATACAATTGAGACCGTCCATGTTTTGTTCAGATTAAATTTTTATTTTATATTTTATGGAATTACATTTTTTAATAAATCTAGTTTATCTCCAATCTGTACTATTTATATTTAATTTAAACGGTTTTATTTAATATTTAATTTTTATAAATTAATTATTCTGATATACTTTAGACAATCCAAACTTAGCTTCTCTTCAAAATAAAAATTTTAAAAAAAATTATTAATTAAATTTCAACTACTCAACGCATATCTAGATAATCAATCTATACCAAATTATAATATTAATTAGATCATTTAGATTAAATGTAGACAATCCAAGTTGGTGATAATATAAATTTATTAACAAGTTTTATTTTTATTTTAATAAATGTAAAATAAAATTGTAATCTATAATGACTCTAGATAGTCCAAATTTCATTTCAAGGTGTAAAAGTGGTGGGAAATGTTAGTGGATAGTAGAATAAAAAATAAAGGTCTGACCTGCAAGTCCCATTTAAGTAAGTGATTGGACTTGAAAAATGAGTGATTTTTATGATAACCAACCTTCAAGCTTGACCCTTATAAGTCCTAAAAAATGGCTCAGGCTTGAGCAGTGCTCTAAGTCTTGTCACAATTTTTTTTATAAGAACTAAAAACACATCATATAATTAGATAAATTTTTTTTAAATGTAGAATTTTTTTAATTTCAAGAGTAGGAATGTTTCTTCTATTGAAAAATCTAAATTATATTATTATTTGGAAGAAGCCTCCTTTGATGGTTACCAATTTTTAGAATTACATGCATTGCATCGGTCGACAACTAATCAACAGTGATTTCCTAATCTTTTAAAGATAACGTGAAATATTCTAAGTATTCTAATTGTAACAACACGGTCCCCAATCCCTTACGCTGGTGAATGCAATGTTGGCACGTGTCCCCTCATGGACCCACATGCGACTTTTCCTATAGTAATATATGAGTTATTTCTCACTTCATCAAATAGATCTTTTGGAATCTTCATAAGGATTGAGTCTTTAACCTCTTCTATCTTAGTAAAGTTGTGGCCAATCCTAATACTACAGAGAGGTTGGGGGCTCAATTCTTAAAAAAGTTCTAAAAGACCTCTTTGATGGGGTGAAAAATAACCCATATACTATCATGGAGAAAGTTGCATGTGGGCTCGTAAAGGGACACGTGCCAACACCGCATTCATCAGTGTAAAGAGCTAGGCGCCGTGCTATTACACTATTCACTATAGTAGCTAGTGAATCATCTTTTAATATAGGTTTCCGTGTTTTAACAAAGTATCGTTCTCCCTTCCTTCAAGATAATGTGTAAGCATTAATTTGTACCCACAATTAAATGATTTTGTACCATTTTATGGTAATTTTTATATTTTTTTTTTCTGACACACACACATAAAATAATGATACAATGTAGTTAATATTTATGGTAAGTGATAATAAAGAAATTGTAGGGATAATTGATATTAAACTTTTACTTCAGTCTTTAATAAATGAATTTATATGTGAGGGATTTAATATTTTATTTTATATTAAATTTTACAATATTCTATTTAAATTATAATATTAATTTTTTTTAAAAGCAGACTTACAGGTAGCCTTAAGCTTTTTAAATAAGAACCGAATGTTGAGATTAGGTTAAAAATTGGGAAACTGAAAGGGCTCAGGCCCGCCGTTTTCCATTTCTAGCGGGGAGAATCGGCGTCCAAGAATTTGGTTTCTGTGTTTAGGGTTTTGGTCTTAAATCTCAGTATAAATAATACCCACGCATAGGTTTTTTGTGCTCAAACACATAGTTGTCCCGTTAGACGCCCAAAGCTCCAAAGCCTAGCCGCCTTACGCTCTGTGCCTGCACGGGAAGCACAAGTGCGTTTTCCCGTCCACTTTATCCCTTGCGTTCTGGCATCTGTTTCTCTCTCGCTTTTGTTATTTCACTTGTTCCAATTGTTTAAACAGTTATGGCTGATGCGGCGGCAATTCCTCCTGAAGCTACCAATAATATAGATCCGACGCAGATCGAGGTCAAGCTCTTTAACAGGTGGACCTTCGACGACGTTCAGGTGTTTAATTTGACGTTTTTCTTTTCCGACTTACATTTTGGTTTTCTACACACAATCGTCTACATTGTTCTTCCCAAGGTCCCCTGCCGTGCTGGACTTGCCTGCCATCTTACCCATATTTTACTTGTTGTATCTGTTCGATCGTAATTTTCCTTTTTTGCCGCTTTTTAGCCATTTGTCGTTGCTTAATCAAGTTGCATTTGTAAGGATTAAGTTAGGATTTTATTAGATCCTATAATTCTTTCCTCAATGTTGCATTGCTATTGGGATGATTGATATAATTAAAACGTGTCTCTCAGAATTCCATATGGTTGTCACACATTAATTCGTCCTATAAGGTTTTTTGAGAAAATTTCTTATTGATTATTTCATTTAGTTGCTGTTGATGTTTTTTCCAGGTTATTGACATCTCTCTAGCTGATTATATTGGAGTGGCGGCATCCAAGCATGCAACATATGTTCCTCACACTGCTGGTAGGTACTCAGTCAAGCGTTTCAGGAAAGCGCAGTGTCCAATAGTTGAGAGGCTTACTAATTCTCTCATGATGCACGGTAGAAACAATGGGAAGAAACTAATGGCTGTGAGAATTGTCAAACATGCCATGGAAATTATCCACCTGCTAACTGATCAGAATCCCATTCAAGTTATTGTTGATGCTGTGATCAACAGGTATTTGAGCATGTTGTTGAATGATCATCTTCGTTTGGCTTAATATTGATGACTAGTGATCGTATCCTAGAGGCTTTTTTCTTATATTTGTCGTGAATAATTTTCAGGGCTATTATAAAAAATGAAGTAATTCTATTTGCTTGTTCTGTTAGCATGATTTCTGCCACATGGAAGCAATCTTGCATTGCTTCTATGCTGTTCGCTGCAACTTGATTGACTTGACTACCTGACTTTTTAAACTGTATTTTAGGTTAACTTGGAAGGATTAAATGATGATATCTAATGCTATATTTGTTACCTTTTACTCTATTGATGTCGGGGAATGGGATGATGATTGTATGTTTCCCTATTGGTTCGATTACCTGGATGATGGCATTATTGTATTAGCTCTATTTGATCATTCTTCTTAGGAGCTTTAATAGACTTTTTTTTTTATTTAGGCAGTAATGAAATATATGCAATCTGAAAACAAAATCTTTCCTTGTGAAGTTGCCCGTAGTTATGTTTGTTGAACGGTTGGAGAATGGAATGATGATTAGTTGTTTCCCTATTGGTTTGACTGCCTGGATGATGGCATTATGGTATTAACTCTATCTGATCATTCTCCTTAGGAGTTTCGATAGACGTTTTTCTGATTTTTTATTTAGGCAGCAATGAAATATATGCAATTTGAAAACAAAATCTTTCCTTGTGAAGTTACCTTTAATCATATTTATTTGACTGTTGGAGAATGGAATGATGATTATTGTTTCCCTATTGGTTTGATTGCCTGGATGATGGCATCTCTGTATTAGCTCTATCTGATCATTCTCCATATTTGCTTTGATATGCATTTATTAATTTTAATTATGAATGTAATTAAATATTTGCAGTTTGAATTAAAATCGCTTCACAAGTCAAAGCTATGACACAAGCTTTGTTAAGCATTGATGTTTTTTATTATTCAAGTTTTTGGTGCTGTAATTGATGAGTGATTGTAATATTATGCCCCCCAAGGAGTTTGTTTTCTTGTATATATATTTGATTATCGACTAAGTTTAAATTTTAATAGTGTTGTGCATTACTTTTTGTGACCTCTGATGCAATGTTATGTGCTGCGTTTAGCGCTACAACTATTATCCATGTTATTAATAACTATGATTTATACTTACTCTTCTTGGAGACCTGGAGAATGAAATGACGATCAATTATTTCCCTATTGGTTTGATTGCCTGCATGATGGCACTTTTGTATTAGCTCTATCTGATCATTCTCCTCACTTGCTTTTATATTATTTATTTTCCTATATATTCCACCACATCCATGCCCCAGTCTCTTTCAACCCCGTATTAAAATGAACGGATAATGTTGAGCTGTCTTAATAAAGATAGAGAAAGACCAAAGAGAACATTTATGGGGGTTGTTGAGGGGGACCTCTAAATTAACAATATTCCTAAAAACTTGATTGGTTGTAGAGCACAATGCCATTGTGGAATCCATGTAATTGATTCCACCTAGTGGGATAAGGCTGCTGCTTGTATTTTCCTTTATATGTTCAAATATAAGCTATTTGAAAAATTAAGATACTTGTGTGGCGGATAATGGAGTATGTTAATTGGTGGAAAAATTGTTTCAATGTTTTTTGTGTTTAAAGTGGCGAATGGTTTACTGCGTTAAAGACACTGATGTTATAACAAGTTGGTATTCTCTAAGCTCCTGTTTTGATAGACCTACTCGTTTATTAGACTTGGGGAATGAAAATGATGATTAATTGTTTCCCTATTGGTTTGATTGCCTAGATGATGGCATTTTGGTATTAGCTCTATCTGATCATTCCCCTTGTTAGCATATGCATTTTTTCCTGTTTCTATTATTGGCATGCTTAGATTTGTAATTTGGAACCAATTAGCTTCGTCAATGGGCTGTTGATCGATTTTATGAATTTGATTTGATAAAAATAGTGTGAATTTGAATGGTGGCCTGTCTCTCTTGTACGGCGAATTTCATGCATGTTATTTCTCTTATATAGAGCATAAATTCAGATCCAGACATGAAATTTACTAAGCAGCGTTACACTGATTGAGCAGCTCCGCACCTCGCTTTTTGGAACTTGATTATGTTTTTCCATGTTTGTTCAGTGGTCCTCGTGAAGATGCAACTCGAATCGGATCTGCTGGTGTTGTGAGGAGACAGGCTGTGGATATCTCACCCCTTCGCCGTGTTAATCAGGCCATCTATCTCCTAACTACTGGTGCACGCGAAGCTGCATTTAGAAATATCAAGACTATTGCTGAATGCTTGGCTGATGAACTTATCAATGCAGCAAAGGGGTCATCTAACAGCTATGCTATCAAGAAGAAAGACGAGATTGAAAGAGTTGCGAAGGCAAATCGTTAAGCCACCCGTAGAATTAGTCTTGATTATAATGACCCGTAAGGTTTTGTTTTGAGCTTCTTTGTACTTCATTTATTGATATGGGCTAATGTAATTTTTTTTTTTAATTTATCTTGGAGTTTCTCCTTGTTATCGACCGACGACCATGTATTTTATTTTGATGTAGAACTACGAATTTTTGGAGCCTTTGGCGTCGGCCCGCACCCCGCACGTGCGAGAACGAGTTTTCTTGCTCTTCGAGCATCGTTGCATTGTTATTGGGGAGAATTGTTGTGCAGAGAATTATTTTAAGGTTTCGCTTAAGACAATTAAAGGTAAAAGTCTAAGATTGACTAAGAATTATTTTTTGAGGAGTGTTTGGTAATTTATGTTATAAGATGATGTAAAATAAGTTATGAACTATAAAATATGGTGTAAAATAAATTATAAACTACAAAAGGTGGAGCATCTAGCATGTTTTCGTTCATTTGAGTAATGTCCCCTTATTTTTGATGGTGCGGCTCACATTCATCTGTTTTGGTGTCATTTTACTCGTGCTTTCTTTTTTCCTTCCTTCACCCTTCACTCTCAGCCCTCCCATGTCCCATTGAGAAGCAACGTAGATCATCAACAGAGGAGGAGGGGATGCCCTTGCTCCTTCCCTTGACGACGATTCTCCTCCAGCCAACTGGGCCCTTTTGCCTTCTCCAGCGCTCTGCCCCCACCTTTTGAGAGCACAAAGCGTGCTATTGAAATTCACCGCCACAATTGATCGACTTTGTTAGAAACTGGAAGGAGGGTGTTAGCCCTTGTGACTACAAAGAAACGATAAGTTTCCTAATTCATGGAGGCTTACGTGAGAGCTTGCTCCCCCCTCCGATTCAACCCCTCAATATCAAGTCGACGATCAAATGACATGTTATGGGTCTCAACGTGGTAGTCAAGCTTGAAGAATGATCCGAAGATGGAACTTGATTGCTTGCTAGGTTGCATCATTGAAGAGACAAAGTTTGAAATGGGTTTCACTTGGACAATGAAAAACAGCATCATGCTAGCCGGAACCACCCAATATTGTGGTTGATTTGTTGAGCCAGCAGTATTTGGGAACATCAAAGGGACAAGACCTCTTGGAGCAACATCACCACTACCTCCACCTTTTCTAGCTCCATCAACGTTGACTCAGAGTTCATCTCTGCGTCTTCATCCTTACTCCTATCGTCTTCATTCTCGAAGTCTATACCCTTAATAATGGTAAAGAAGAAAGAGGGATCAAATAAAGAGGAGACGCGTGGCTTGTTAATTTAAGTAAAAATATGACCTAGAAGGCATAAATTTTATAATCTAGTGAGTAGCATGAGCATTAGAACTGATTTGTAGTATTTGTATTTATGAGTGGTGGGAATTATTAATTTTGAAGGTAGAAATTGAGATAGTATTTTAAAAAGGTTTTAACTCAAAAGCTTGAATTGTTAGAGTTGAGATTTGTTATTTGGGTTTTTTTAGTACGAGTTTGGTTTTTTGTTATTCAAAAATTAATTTTTTAAAAGTTTATTTAACAAAAGTTAATTTATGATTTGAATACATTTTTTAAAAGTCATTTTGATAAGTTAAAAATTATTTGAATTATATATAATAAAATATAATTTTGAATGTATAATTATTAAAAAGAATATTGATTTACGATGATTTTTAATTTTTGATATACAAATGTAATATATTAAAAATATTTAATAAATACATTAAAATTGTAAATAACATAAAATTTTAAATAAAAATATATAAAAAATATAAAAAATTATTTTGAAAAATATATTTATAATAAAAATGTATAAAATATTGTAAAATTTAAAAAAGTTGGGAAAACATCTATGGTAAAATAATGATAAATAATAGAAATTAAATTATTTTTATGATTAAAAACAAATTTTTTTAAAAATGGTAATTTCTTTCAAGAGTAACAGATCAAAACATTTGCTCCCAAGAAAAAAAAAACATTTGCTAAATAATTAAATGAGTACTTGGCCTGGACTTTAAAGTAAAAAACATGCCTAGTTTTGTTAGCTGGCAAAGCAAAGTTTATTTGATCAAAACTAAAAGTAAGCATAAGTTACGATGGTTAAATAGATTTTCAAGGATGTTTCAAATGTGTTTCTGATTTAATGATGTTTTATCCAAACAACGTCTTACTTTTTAAAAATAGAAAAGTACTTTCTAAATGTTGAAAGTTACAAAACGAAACGGCCCTTGATTTTTTTTTATACATCAGGCTTTTGAGACGCCTTTGTGTCAAATGAGTTATTATGGAAAGCGACTCAAGTGCGGAGCTTGATATGCTGAATGATGCTCGCCACAATGGTCAGTTTGATTGCAAAATCATTCCTATGACTCTAGATTGCACAGAGGACGACTGGCAAGTTATGCCTAGTTATTTGCCATACTAAAGGGGGAAAATGATGAACCTCTATTCGGAAACCAATAGCTTTTTGATGAAATTTTTTCTATGATTCCATTCATTCGAAGAAAAACAAAAGATGAACATCTGGAGCTTGGGAATAATCAGGATCCTTATTATATTAAAGTAGAGATATCAAATACCTATATACATTTGGGATGACTAGATGAACAGTAGTTTTTCTTTCATTTTCTTTTTTAAATACTAAAACAGTAGTATTTCTTAGTTTGCCTCATTTGGGGTGATAGACCCCATGGCACGGATGACATAGCATTAATGATAACGAAACTTGAGAATGGTAATCATGAGTATGGTGACATGAAAAGAGCCCAATACTTCCAATCTAACGTACCTAATGATTCATTACAATATATTGGAGGTCCAATGACAAGAGCCCGAACTAAAGCCATGAAGCAAGCTTTATTCAGTCTTGTGCAAGAAGTTCAAGAGCTTGGAGAGCATTGGGGCACTCCTCTCAAGCCCAAAGGAGAGGATCTATACGTGTATAATGTACTTAAAATCCAAACTCATGAAGAGTCAAGCTCAAGAGATGCAGACTTTAGCCCAATGCAAGGAAGACTATAATTTAAGCCTCTTGCAAGCAAGGAGGTATGAAATTCTAGTGAAGAAGTCAAGGGTGGCGTGATTTTAAATCATTTATGATCCCTTGATTGTTTCCTAAATTATTTCTTATTTTAATGGTCATTTGATTTGATTTCTTATTTTGAGTTTAGTCAAAGGTTAGAATTAATTATAGTATTAATTTCTAAATTTTGTAATCCCATAATTTTAGGATCGCATCTCCTAAATTATGTGGCTGAATATTTTATCATTATTTTATATTATTTCTCCTTTTAGTATTAGGAAATTAAGGTTTTAATTTTAGAAAATATTCTTTTCTATGAGCATATATAAATTAGGCATGCTCCCTCTTGTAAAGGGGACGGAAGTTGAATGAAATTATTCATTTTTAGAGTTTATAACTCTTGTGAGCCTTAGTGCTTTGTAGTGGCATCCCGTGTGAGAAACAGAAATGATCAAGAGCGTGATCAACTCTTGTGGTGTCTTCAAAGGTTGAGGTTTCTAGAGGCGGGTGCTCTAGAGGATCTTCTTCTTGATCATTATCCTATTGTTTACTTCATATTTTTCTTTATTTCCGTCATAAATTTTGTCCATTTCTTTTTGTTCTTGTATTTTTTTTGTGTTTTAGGGTTCTGTCCCTAAACTAGCATGATTCTGCTTTCACGTCCCCTATCATGGGGTGTATTTGAAATTTAAAATTTACAATATTTTCATTAAGGCACCTCCACATTAGGTTTTGGGTTAATTTTTATGCTTTCTTTTTCCTCGCTCGAGGCATCAACATTCATCTCCTCTTGTTTAGGGGATGTTTGGCTTCAAAAATTGGAGGGGATTGGGAGGATTGGGGTAAAATTTGTTATACCCTAAGTAATACGCCCTTCGTAATAAGTTTAAAAAATGCAGAAACATTTCTCTAATACTTAACACTAATAAAATAAAGGGTAAAGTTGTCCGTATATAATTATTTTTTCCTCCCCTCCCATCTTGAACCAAATAAGGTAACATCAAACCCCTCCCCTCCCTTCCATTAAAATCCCTCCTTCAAACCAAACACACCGCCACTTTTGGGTCCATTGTTAGCTTTGTCTATCATCATCATCTACTCATTTAGCTACATTGTTTTGCTTTGGTTCTCTTTCTTAATCTTTCCATTCTTGATGTGGTTAGATTTAATTGAACTATTGTTTTGTTACCCCCAAGTAAGAGGAATGATGGCCACTCCCGTGATTTATATCCTTATCCATCTTTAGTTAAGTATGTTGGTAAGCATTTCTCGCTAAAGAGGCATGTGGATTATTAGGATTTTCATTGACGTGAGAATCATCGCCCACCTAAGAGGTTCTTCTTTAGTTTTTCCTCTTTAATTTCCTTCTTTTTTTTTTTTGCTTTTCTTCTACCCTTTTTCCTTTCATTTTCTCTGTTGTTGTCGTTGGCATGTTCACAATTGGCATTGCTTTAATGTTATGACAAATTTCAACTAGCCTACTTTTAGTGTAACATCCTGGGTTTCAACTTTAGAAATTTCTAATGTTCATAAAGGTGTTTTAGTAAAATTAAGTGAATTTCTAATTAATGATATTTTTGGGATATTAATATAGTTTTTGAATTTTTGGACAGCCTTAGAAGAAGGCTGGATCAAAATTTATGCAGGTTGTGGCATGGAGAAAGGTCCAAAATGAGTCTAGGATTCTCTGTGCCACGTGTCGCGGTGCATGTGCAAAATCTACATTTATCAGTTTGAGAAATCAGACAAAAAATGAGATATGGGAAAGTGAGAATGCGAAGGGGGCAACGAGTGACGACCGGTGGTTATTAGGGCTCAACCTTAAGATTACTTTGGAAGCATCTAAAGCAAGATTTAACCTTGGGTAAGCTTTCTCCACTTCTCCTTCTCCCTATACTCAAACTTTTTTAATGATTAGGGTATTTTGGGGCTTTGATTCAATTTTTCTTGGATAATGGCTGAACCCATTGCCTTAGTTAAGGTCTTGGATAGTTAAATCAAGCCTCTAAACTTATATTTATGGATTATATAATGATTTAAAGTTGTTGGTTAGGGTTTAAATGAACCTTAGGTAGAAATTGGAAGATGGAGGACAATATGGGTAATGTAATGGTGTTATCTATGTGTTTGGATATTAAATAGGATTAAGGGAGTGCATTGGAAGAATTGGTGGGGTAAAATTGAGATTTTAGGTATAATAGGTACCCAAATTTATGTTATAAGTAAGGTGATTAGTGCATGGATTGACAATTAAGGGTGTAATCTTATAAATTAACCTTTGATCAAGCATTGTGGTGCTAGTAGGCATGTGTGGAGCTATTTGTT